ATTTTTTCCCAGCTCACCCACGCCAAAACGTCCGTACCGTCTTTTTTTAATTTTTTTTTTCAACTTTTTTAAATCAATTTTTTTCCTCTTTTTTTCTTATTTTACTTAAAAAAAAAAAAAAAAAAAAAAAAAAAAAAAAAAAAAGATCGGCAGACGCACAAACTACATGTGTGTTCATTATTGCACCATACCGAGCCGTCATGTAACCATTTCGAGAAAGCTGGTGTCAGACACCGCAGCTTACAATTTCCATGTACACGGGACGTTTATGTTGATATGGGGACCTAATAGTGCTAACAAAATTAAGCTTAGGATCCCCGGCTATCTTATGCGTGGGGGAATTGGCAAAGGGCAAGGGTAGAACAAATGAGATAACGGAATTGTATGTATGTAAGTTGACGTGATCCACTGTAGGTTAGTTAATGTTGTTAGGGAAATATTTAGATTAAGGTAGGTTGTACCTATTGTGTATGTACATACCGACATGTACGTACATATATGTACGTACACGAATGTACCTATGGCATTAAGGAAGCAGCTGAAAATAAATTACAATTGCTGCAAGGACGGATTGATTGCCTGCTCTGATATTAAATTTAAATGTCATGGAAGAGTTCAAGAAAATGCCTCCTACGATGATTAGTCGAAAGTTTGCATTAAACACCGAAGTTGTGAACCGACATACCTAGGTACACTACAAACGGGGAGATTGAGGATAGCGGTCAACTAGTTATATCTAGGTCACTTAACCCCATATCATGTCCTTATCTTAAGTAACCGTCAGGATGTAAATCCTTCACGATAAGTATTGAAAGACGTTAAACCGAACCTGGCATTGAACGAATAAAACTGTTATAAATTATTTGATTAATTTATTATAGCGAAAACTGCGGGATTCCGAAGTTACAACCCTTTGGATTTGATAAGTGTTGACCAAGACCCCATCGTTAAGTCCGGAGTCAACATAATATAGTCCGCTTTGGTCGAAAAGGAACCCATATAATAACTAATAGATAACTACGCCCCCAGGTTTGATTGACGTAAGTAGAGTGTAATGTGAGTCACGCCGGCGACACCTAAGGATATAAGAACCTAAAGATATAAGAAGGCATTTCTTCACAAGATTAAGAACTGGATCTGTTGCTCTTCAATTATTATTATTATTATATAGACGATGATTGCAATTATATCATCTTGGCCACGTAGATACCCTCAATATCTCATAATGAATCATACTGGCTCATATCTTGCCGAATACGAAAGAACCCCATCATCTCCCCTAAACTCTATAGCGTAACTAAGCGGGACAGCCCCTTCGAAAGTACGGCTATGCTCATTATGAATCACTCTCACTCATAATGAACAATCCTCACTCATCGTGAACCATTCTTACTTATCCACGAGCCACCCTCGCTCATCATGAACAACTTTAACTCATGTCTACTCATCATGAACCCATTCCTAATTATAACGAAGCACTTCTTCTCATCGTGAATAATTTGCTACTCATACCATAAATAGTGATGCATTCATCGTAAGATTTTCGTAGGAGGATAAATAGACGCAATGGCGATACCATGTTGTATATAGAACTTTAGCTAAAATATGAATATAATTCAACCTCCAATGAAATCTATGCTCTATAAGTAAGCCTATGTGGTATGCTGGAATCTATATCCCTCCCTCCCTATCCCCTATTCCAAGATGACTATCACGTTCCCTCAACCGACATTATTCTGCAGTCCTTCTACGGGACATAACAAAGACATCACATGGGGAAAAGAACGAGTCGACATCGTCTGAGAAGAAAAGCAACTTCCAATTTGTTATTAACGCTATCTAAAAACTTGAGACACACATGATGCTGTCCAACTATTTGCTAACTTTTCTCTCCCTTCCCAGAGTTCAGCTGTAACATGCTTCGCAAAGTTGCCGCCTCCGCCTCCTGACGAGCGAGGCGAAGTCGCAAATCATCTCGCTCTTCCTTGACGCTCCGAAGCTCCGTCTCTAACTCGCTGATGCGGTCGATCCGCTTCTGCCGGTACTTGCGAGCCGCGGCGTTGTTGCGCCGGCGCTTGAGAGCCGTGATTGCGTCTACGGGCGGCGATTGGCTCTGCGACTTGGCGGGTTGACTTGGGCCGGAAGAAGACTCGGGCATTTCAGGCGGTGAGACAGAAACGTTTTGGTTTTCAGCGTCTGATTGCGACGAGATGTGAGAACCTATGGGTGGATTGAATAGAAGATCTGGACTGAGTTCACAGTTAGGTAGTGTGTCTGAAGCTGTTTAATTGTTAGTATGTGCATACGAGATAGAGCAGGATAGGCGTGGAGAGCCAACTGACCGTTCAGCTGTCCGTTGCACTCTTCATTTTGAAAAACAATTGAGTTCCCTGCCCCCTCGAAAAGGGGGAGGGACCACTCGGCACCATTTATACCGTCATTCTCTAAACCCAGGGACCAATTTCCAACTAGAGGCTCGATCGAGCCCTCCAATGACGGGAAGAAATCCGCCGGCCCTAAGGCGGAACTCTCCCAATCAAAGGGATTATGTTGGTTTGGAGAAAAGGACTCCCTGGCACGGCGGATAGTATCCGGCGTAGGAGAGCCTGACGCATTGTGCAGCGATGAAGGCGATGGCTGCCATGACGATATGTTAAAATAACCTCGTCTCGGATTTAGAGTGATCTTATATACGCCGTCCTTCAAGCGAACGGCGGAGCGTAGTCCCAATCAAGATGGGAATAAAAGAAGATGAGAAGTTGGAGAGGGGAAAATCTGACGGGGTCTTCCTGGATTTCCGGCGCCTTTAAAATAAGTACAGAAGTACAGATCTCATCACACAATGAGATCAAATACCTTAGGTAATGGTCTGTGCTGTACATAAGTCTTAGCTTGTCTTAGTCAGGAGCTAAAGAGGATCGGCACCTCCGTATCTGCACAATTGCACAGCCATCAAGCCTCAAACTAAACGATTCGGCAGGATATTGCGGTTATCGAGGCGGTCAATTAAGTCAGCATACCCCCACTAAACCTCCCCACTAACTTATGCTTCACATGCTTGGTTTAGGTATTCCGTACCTTATTATGTACCTATTAACTACATATAGCTTTAATGCTTACCTATGTATTGACATTAACTCCTCCACACACTACAACTGCGGCCCGCCATGATAAACGCAGTTCTGGTCTTTAACGGCCAGGGCCAACCCAGGCTGACCAAGTTCTATACTCAACTGGTATGCCGTGCTATGTATCTGCTTACTTACAATCCTACCAAGAAGCCCCGATCCCCTCCAGGCATACTCGATCGACCCTAACAATCTTACATGCAGGAAACTAGCATCCAACAGCGCCTCATCTCCGAGATCTTCACTCTAGTTTCGAACCGGTCCGACGGAGCATGCAATTTCCTCCCTCTGCCCCCTCTGCTCGCCGCGTCCGGCACCTCGCAATCTGCTTCCGAGCCTCACAATGACGTCCCCTCGCTCGTGACCTACCGCCACTATGCCACCCTCTACTTCATCATCATATCCACGTCGACCGAGTCGCCGCTAGCCCTCCTCGACCTGATCCAGGTGTACGTCGAGTCGCTGGACAAGCTATTCGAGAACGTCTGCGAGCTCGATCTGATCTTCAACTTCGAGACCCTCCACGCCGCCCTGAGCGAGATGATCGTAGGCGGCGTCGTCATCGAGACGAACCTGGACCGCATAGTGGCTGGCGTGCGAGCACAAGGCACCATCGCAAAGCGACCGGTCAACGAGTCTAGGGGCACGGGACTGGGCGCCGGACTGGGCGTGGGAGGGCATTTCGTATGGCCCGGCAGGTGATTCTCGTACAATACGTATGCATAGACGCGGTGTCTGGAGTTTTATAGGTTTACGGGTTGGGACAAGCATTTTAATAGAATATCCCGACTTTATACGGGGTACAAATGACATCGAGTGGGTATTGCATTCCTAACCACCATCCCCAAACTCCAACCATGCGATGTGAGATTTATAATATATAGTGGTGATATTGCTTTACTTGGAATTCGTAATGGCTGCTATATCGGGAGTTCGTCTTTCGTCTCTCTGCGCGGGAGAGAATGCGTCGAGGACGCCCCAGAACCTGTCCCTTAACTAGATGTACCAGTTAGATCATATAGTAGCAGAATTGGTGCAAAGTAATCAACATACCCCTTGGAACGGCTGGCTCTCTGTTTGCAAGTCCATGAACAAGACCGAATAAACCAGGACAGCTACCGTAGAAATGTAATGTTAATCTAGGTCCTCATAAGTTTAAAATGCAGCTATTAGACTTACAAGTCACGCTGAACAGCTGCACCAATCGAACAAATTTATCCCACCGAGGCCGCGCAGTCGCAAGCTTTACCCTCCGTTTATAGCGCCGCTCGAACCGGAACTGTTCCTTCTGGGAGAGCTTGGAGAAATCTGGCGGCCAGATCTTCTTAGGCTTGTATGGAGTGTTATATACCTCTGCTAAAGGTGCCGTTGTCGTATTCCTCAGTCTGGGAGGTATAGGCCCTCCTGCCATCCTTCGTGCTAGAGTTGCGAACATTATGGGCTGATGTTCTTCTACTTCGACGACTAGTTTTGATATGCGCCGTAACGAAGTTTGAATCTCTGAATCGGGGCTTATTTTCTGAAGTGTGGCGTTGTTAAAAACCATGGAACCTAGGTACCTACCTCACGCAGCCCCTCGACCTAGGAAACCATTAGCCACAATTCATTACCCCCCTGGGATACACTAGTACCTAAGAATGAATTATAGGTAATTCGAGGTTTTTAGAAATTGGAACGGATATTCTAAAGGGAACTACTTAGAAAAATATAGAACTTTATTTAATTCGCCAGAGTCTCAATAATTGAAACAAAGCATGCACTTAACTATTTTACTACCGATTACATAGGTAGGTAATCCACTATCACCGAGTCACATATCTGGCTTCGCTTTTTATACTCCGCTAAACTCATATCATGCATAGAGAGAATATCAACAACGATACCCACCGACTGGTAAAAGCAAATATATTTAGATGAAGCTGAGAGCTGGCTTGAAACTATTATATAGTATAGGTCGTATATCCGCCATACCTGACTACAGCTCCCGAGTAAGCCGCTATTTGCTAATGACTAATTCAACGCTGGCTTGCTTGAACGCAATATGATTTCCAAAGCACTGATCCTACGTACGCCCCTGGTATCTCATGCAGGCCGGTCTATATTTTATTCCCCCGGATGGTTTCGTTAACTTTCGGTTCTCCTACCGTTGCCCCTATTCTGCACCATTAAATTTGTCATTGCCATTGGAATTATAACCCGAATTTGTAATAACGTCGAGTAGCGATTAGTACGTTCGTTCCCAGGAGGTCCACCAAACTCCGACGTTGGCTGCCACGACGAGGTCCAGCATCTTAAGGCCTTCCTCAAACACAATCAATTTTCCCATCTTGGCTCTCTTTCCTCTGTTACCGCCGCCTGCTTTCTCTCTTCCTAGACTCATGTCGAAGTGCCAATCTCCGTCTTCATCATGCTCGAGGCCGTGCAAAACCTTGTTGAATTGGCTTTGCAGCTGATCCCTAGTCCTGACACTTCCTTCGGTAGATCGCTTCTCAGCAAACAACTCGCTGCTGGGTAAATTGAACCTCAGCTCGCTGATTGGCTGCCCTCTGGTCTTGTGGCTTCTGTTCCCCGACTCGTGCCCGTCTACAAGAGGGTTGAAAACGCCGCCGCCATACGTGGGTAGGATATGATTACACCCGAGACTCCGTCCAGCATTTCCGGTTACGAATTCGCAGCGGCCACCCCATGGGCTGAAGAATACGTAGCCGCGTGGTTTGAGACCCGGTGCGGGCTGAGTAATTACAGGGGCATCGCCGTCAAAGTCTCCGCCAAACGACGCAGTAGACCCCTGGCTACTGTGACGGCCGTGTTGAGTCTGAATCGTAGGTGAACCCGATCGTTCTTCTTCTGAGCGACTGCGATGATGATTGAACTTTTCACGCAAGTTAGTAGCGAAGGATTTCGAGTATGCCATCATGACTTGACGTTCAAAGGTATTCGAGGCCTTGTTAGATCCAAGAAACTCGGACCGCTGTAGCCGAGATCCTGACGATGCGCTCTCAGGGCGTATATCAAGGCTAGATCTTATATCTGTTGGTGGGTGGGTGGGCATGCCGCGAAACTTAGCATAGCCGGATGTCTCTAAGTGTATGCTAATCGAAGGAGATGGCTGGTGATGCTTGTCATCGCTGATGAGCTCTGGGTTCTCTAGTTGAAATGATGCTACCTTCCCAACGTTCCATTGTTGCCCCGAACTCGGGTCTCTTCTTATAAGAGTTAATGAAAACGGAGTGAAAGGCCTAGTGGGTGACTTGGGTGATTTAGGTGACGGTGATCGACCATTACCATGTGGAGAAGCATACTGGTTAGTAAGTTGTTGTAATGTTGGCTGCTCGCTATACCGTGGTGGTAGTGGAGGAGGTTGATCAACATTTAAACCAGCTTGATAATCGGGAAATTGACTATAGGCCGGCACAGGCGGTAGACTTTTCTCGTAAGAGTCTAAATTACCTTGTCTTGGTCCTAGAGGTTTTCGCTGAATGGGACTCGTTGGTGATGCGAATTGAGATGGCGGGGGCCGCTCGGATAAAGGAGCGGATGGACCAGGTTGTTGGACCGCAGTTCGGGTCGGAAGCGGCACCGAGCCGGCACCGGCCTGGTTCTCCTTTCCGGATGAAGGTAACTGCACGTTTTCATCTACTCGCGACGAGGCAAGACTCGAGGACCCCGGTACGGGTTTCCTATGGATCTGATTACCCGACCTCGAGCTTTCCCCGCTCGTTCTAGGAGACGACGAAGGCTTAGGCTGGCCGGGAGGAGGTACGAGGGCCTCATCCTCGGGGGTATTCAGATGGACATAGTAAAATGAGCTGGCTACATCTTCTGCTGTAACATTCTTAACCTGCGGCTTCAAGGTTGAGAGAATGATGTCTAGGCTGGTTGTTAGAACAGAACTACAAGATTGATTCGAATTTTGTGCTATCTAGGCCTACCCCTCGTGCCGGGTACTCTCGAAATATATAGAGTGATCGGATTTTGCCTTTCTTCGGTTGGCTTTTTCGGATACTGGGGCGGATTGGCAGCCAAATAATTAAGCGAGGCTAGCGATCGTGCCTCGACCTGCTCCTCCATGGTTGGTGGGACGTATGGTTCGACAAACAGCTGAATTGTATGCGAATAAATGGACTAATATAAGAATTCGCGTCTACAGACGTAAATTGTCCTGTTACGGTGAGGGCAATTGACAGGGATGAATGACGAAAATGAGATGCCTCTCCGAGAGGTAAAAATAATGCCCTGAAATGCTGCGACAGCCCAGCGTAGTGAAGCTTATTTGATCGAGCCACCTCGTGTCGAGGAGCCTTACGTAGAGTTTGTCTGTTGACTCAAGGTTCAACCATGGGGTTGGGTTGAATCTAAATATAAATATAAATAGAAACTCGGTGAAAGGCTGAGATATGTATGTATTGATATGTACTTGTATCGCAGTGTTTATACGACCCGATTATCCGAGAATAACAAGAATTATACTTATGAAGGTCGTCGGGTGGAGGAGGCAAGCATAAACCGAGTGAGTTATCGAATGCGTCAGCGTTGGGGCTGAGTTGCTTGAGTTTGGCTGAGTTTTTGTTCAAGTCCAAGTTCAAAATGTTCCGAAACGTTCTGGGCATTGGCTTTGGTGATGCATGATGCTTTCCTGGCTTTCTGGCCTTTCTTTCGCTCTTGCCTTCTTTACGCTGGGTGGCTGCTTAAAGTCAGGCACCGTCCAACTAACTGGGACCCCACTAGCTGCCCCCTAACAAAAGCGCTTAGCAAACACCTCTATTGCTGCATATGAGTTGTATGGCATATGTGATAGCCTATTAATAAATGGAATGGGCATCCTAGCTGCTCAGCTGTCACTTCATCTTCCAATTGTCGCACATGTACAATGACGACTTGACCATTGCCACGAGCTGCCAACACATCCAATTAGCATACCTAGGTACCTAGGTACCTAAGACACATACATAGGTACCTATGTATCTGTCATCATCCACTAGCCACATGATTGTACATAAAAGTATGTGTCCTAGAAATAAACCAATAATAATAATAAATTAGCGTTAATATAGCGAGAAAATAGTCAGTTTAAATGCTAAGCCCCAAGAAAAGGGGCCGCGGGACCTGCGGGACCCGCGGGGTTTCTTATCATCTTAAGTCTATCCCGAGGTCTAAAACCACCCGATACTACCTACCTTTTGTACGATTTGTACGATGTAGATAGTTACATAATTTACAGAAATAAAGTTAATTCATACTACAGATGAACCTATTATAGAGTTTTAAAGGGATATATTTGTGAGACGGCTCCGTGGAATATTATAAGCCTCAAGAACGTCTGAATAGCCTCATGTACGGCGAAAGTAGTGAACTCGCAGAATACCAGTTATACGACTTCCAAGCCGCTCTACCGAATAAATAAGCGAGAAATAAGATATAATAAAATAAATACAGCCTAAGTTACCAGTAGAAACTTCAATACTTAATAATAACTCATGATGTTAACTAGAGAATCTCTAGGCTACAATATCCCGCATAGGCCGGCGTCGTGTTGCTCAACCAGGCAGCAAGTTTGACGTGACATGTGCTGTTCCTTTCTGTCTAGGCTTCTGTTTAAACTAGACAAATCAACAAAATGCGTTCTACAACACGTCTCTATACGGTCATCACATATGCTCACATATGCTTATCCTAGAAACGTAATGCTATTCTGCGTTTCTATCTACGCACAGAGTCATATTTCCAAGAAAAACGTATACTTCATAGATTCATATCATCCAGGTTCATAAAGTCCACTCCGGTCCGATTTATCCAATATGCCCAAGCCTAGGAATCACCGATAGCCAAGAGCGGGGAGAAGAAAGTCTAGCCTTCAGAGTGGTCAAGCTTGGTCTTCTCTGTAAGCGACGACGTCGGCGAACCGGCACGGCGTAGCTGCTTCTCGAACCGGACGGTCGCCAATGCGGACGGCGAGTCCTTGAACATGAGGTCAATCTCCTCGAGACTACGCCCCATAGTCTCGGGGAATAGGAAGTAGACCGAGACGGGCACGCAAGCGGCGATGACGGCAAATACGATGTAGTACTGCCAGCCGATGCTATAGATGGCGACGGGGGTGACCATGACGACTAGGAAGTTCCTTTATCCGACATGTCAGTATATATCATCCGATCGACTTGGCACGCATGAGGGCCAAGAGGACAAGAACTATGGAAGGACTTACCAGGCCCAATGGTTGGCCGTTGAGATCGAGCTCATGGCCATGCGCAGCCGGAGTGGGGCGACTTCGGTGCAGTACAAGAAATTGGCGCCAAGGAACCCGATGGGGACGAACGTGTTGTACAGGTAAATAAAGCAGCCTGCGGCTATCTGAGAGGCTCTGTTGGACGTGGGGAACGACGTTGCAACTGCGAGTGCTATCATGCAGCACGACACTTCAAGAACAACATGTCAGTAATCGCCTCTCTTACCGAGAAATTTGGGGAGACATGTCGTAGAAGCAGTGGCTCCTAAGGCAAGTTAAAGAAGGAGAATAGAACATACTGCCAGCGCCGCTAATGATGAAAACAACGCGTCGACCGAAGCGATCGATGGCTATGAAGGCCAAAAACGACGACAAGAACTTCCAAGTTAAGGCCCCGGCAGAAAGGATGCGAGACAGCTCGCTGCTTAAGCCAAGGTTCTCTTGAAAGAGGATCGTCGCGTATACGCTGATAAGATTGCTTCCACTGCGCGAATTTCTGTTAGCTTCTTTCGATCATATTGCCGGCCCTCGGTCTTTGGGGGGTGAATATGCTACGTACGACATCTGTTGGTAAAATTGCAAGAGTATGCAAAGCCCAAATCGGTACGCTAGCTTGTCTTCGCCCATCTTGAAGATTTGGCTTAGCTTGGCGCCGCCGTCGGCTGAGAGCTCGAGAGAAAGTTCAATGCCCTCGATCTCGGCATTGATCTCGGGCGAATCCTGCGGAAGGCCCCGAAGGATAGAGAGGTTCTCGCGGGCCAGCTCGCTCTTGTTCGTCATGAGGAGCCAGCGGGGCGACTCTGGGAACATATAGATAGAGCATACGAGGACCAGCGAAAAGACGCACGCGATGGCGATGGGCGGGCGCCAGGTGACGGGCCCAGTTTTCAATTCAAAGAAGCCCAGGTTAATCCAGGACTCAAGGACATAACCTAGGCAGATGAAGAGACCATCCAGCACGACGTGGCGACCACGGTTTTTCGCACCGGAAGTTTCGCTCTGCCATACTGGAACGAGAGAGCTTAGCTGTCCGACGCCGAAACCTACGACAACTCTACCGACGATGAATTGCGGTAGACCAAAAGAAGAGGCTTCGAGAATCTCGCCGATCAAGGTGCACAGACCAGCGAAGAAGATAACATTGCGGCGGCCAAACCGATCACCCGTGTACGAGCACGAGAGCGCACCGAAGAGGGCACCAATAACGAAGACAGCTACGACGAAACCCTGCAGTGTCGACTTCTCGCTCTTCTCGGAGCCGACAGCGTGAACAGTGTCGATCTCAGGGAACGTTTTAACCCAATCGTTCTGAGTGATCAGACCGCCAATACCGGCCTGATTGTACCCAAACAAGATGAAGGACGGAGCGACGATAAGAGCCGTCTGCAATCTGCTTAGGAGGTGGCCTTGAAGGCCGAAGTGTTTAGAAGAGGTCATATTTCTAAGATCATATCATAGGGACGGGATAGAAGGAGGAAGGGGGGAGGAAGAAGAGAGAGGAAAGGGAGGAAGAGGAGAAGACGGCAAAGGTTAAAAAAAGGTAGCGGTAAAGGCAAAGGCAAAGGCAAAGGCAAAGGCAAAGGCGAAAGCAAAGGTAAAGGTAAAGGTAAAAAGCTAACGCCACCACTACTATACTATCTATATATATGCTGGCTGGCTCTACTGCGGGAATCGGAGGAGATCTACTAAAGAACAAACCACCCAGGAAGGGCAATCCAGTAAAGGGAATTATTGATTCGGAGATACCTGTTATACACCTAGCCAGCTAACCCAGGCAGCTACAAGTTCGTAACCAGAACCAGCCACCCGATCCCTCCCTACCTCCCCCAGCGTTCGGCTTCTCGTCGATTGCGGAGCCCCATGGGACCGAAACAGCGAAACGAAAAAAAGAAGGGTTCCCATGTCGGGTCGGCAGGTAATAATTCTGGGGCTACTGAAGAAGGGAAAGGGGGGGGGGGGGGGGGGGGTCCATTGGAAAACAAAAAAGCACTGATGATCTAGGCTTTTGAGGGGATGGTGGATTCTAAGATGCGACAGCATGACATAGCGCATCTCCAACTTACGCGTCTCGTCGGTATAAAAAAAACTAGGGGATTGTCTCTTATCCATGAGACTGGGACTTCTTCTCTCCACCATGTTATATGTAGGTAGGTAGTGTAGGTTGGTTAGGTACCCTTGGGTATAGTGTAGGTGGTATTACATAGTGAGGTATGCATGTATTGTACATAGTATATGTGCAGTGGTGGAAGGGACCACCCCAGCACCTTCAATTCGTATTATCGCCATTGATGCGGGTACAACGGTTACGGGTTACGGCATAGAAGCCGCGACTAGAACCTTTTGGTTCGCGGCTTCGCTCGGTCTGGTGGATACAAAATTCAGGGTCGAGGCTTACATATTTCGGGGTTTTTTTATACACGGATTTTGGGGATTACATACTATGTAGGTACCGTACCTGTTACACATACACTAAATTAGAGTAACTGTTGCATATGTATAGTATGTACGGAAGTCGCCTTCAAAAGTTTTGTCTATAGGCCAGCCCCTGTCAGCTTGACAAGGCTTGGCAGCAACTGGCAGCCATAATAATGAATGTACCTCCAAATATATTGTTCTTTAATCTACTTATTACATTTCGAATATAAAAGCTAATTTATTAAAATATATACTATAATATAATGAAGTTATTATATTTATTAAATATTTAAAGAAATTATTTTTTAAATATTTTTAGTCGTGTGGTAATATGTATAATAGAGGGTATATTTTAGTATAGGTACTTTACGATTTTAGACTACCAGGTGGGGCAGGCTGCCCGACAGCTGCGGCCAAAGCTGACAGGGGCTGGCCTATGGACAGAACTTTTGAAGGCGACTTCCGTAGTCAAGCCTAACTAAATTACCTGATATGTTTGCCCATACGTAAGTCTCCATAGTCTCCATAGTCTCCATGTCCAACTTTAGATAGATTGATTGCATCAGTGTACATGCATCTCTTAGCTATCTTAATTGTTTTTTTTCCCTATCAAATATATGTCTTGCCTGCAGATATGCACCTGACTACGTAGGTACGCGCATAATGCAACCTGGAGTTAAAATGAAGTAGACGTAAACCCGAGCTAAACCGGATTCAATTTTGTTTACTAATGTCGCCTTGTTTATTATATAAGTGTCTCGAGACCAGCCTCATCGTGATATCCATGTCATTATAGCTGGCGAGGCTCGAGGGGTAAAGTGGGTAGATGATATAGAGATTTTCTAACGTCCCACATAGATCATCTCGCCATCTCTTAACTTGCTGAAGAGGCCGGGGGCTCAACAGTCAGAGATCACATTGAGGCCAATTAATAAATCCCGCACAGACGAAAATTCTGTAGTGGTGTTTGACAGAAATGCGGTGTCCCCAAGCTAATTGCCAACATACCATGTTGATGCATCCACTGGACATAGATGGTCCCTGTTCTTGGTACACGAGGCTAAAAATCCCATATCCCATCCCTCTTATATATGTACATCATATTCCCTCCTTCAATTCCATTTCCCTGCCGTTATTCGGCGGTCAACTCGCCAATTCTCCTCTCAATTTCCGGCACCTGTCTTAATAATACTTCCAGGTCCTCTTTTTCGTCCTCCAGCTTCAATCTTCTCTCGGCGTCGAGTTTCGTGAACACATAGTGACCCTGTCCGTCGAACTGCAAGATCCTGCTGTGATACTTCCACAAGCTTCGCCGATGGCTGACCGTCATTAATGTAATTCCTAAAGCCTTCGCATTATCGTACATGACCTTTTCGGTCTCGAGCGTCACACTGCTCGTGCATTCGTCTAGGATCGCGTACCGCGGTTTGTGATAGAAGAGACGAGCCATGGCCACGCGCTGCTGCAGTCCGCCTGAGAGTACGTCGCGCCACTCTGCCTCTGCATCCCAGCCCTCGGGGTAAAGATCTACAAGATGCTCGAGGGAGAGAATCTTGAGAATATCTAGTAATTGGGCGTCAGTGACCCCGCGCGCACGAACACTTCGTAGACTATCCGGGTATGTGATTTGTTGACGGAGGCTTCCCCGCGACAGGTATGGCCGTTGTGGAATGTAAAAAATATCCGTGAAAGGCGGCTTGTAGACAGTACCACCATACACAGGCCAGAGGCCTCCTAGGATTCGGAAGAGACTTGATTTCCCGCAACCGTTTGGACCAACGACGAGAAGATGATCACCTTGCTTAAGCGAAAATGATAGCGCCCTTACGAGAACATCTCCGTTAGGGGAGATAATCGGCACGTCGATGAATTTGATGTCCTTGCTCTCGACTACTTTCCCCCTGCCCTTCAACACTGCTGCGTTATCCTCAGTACCCGAGCTAGATACTAGCTTCTTCTCGAAGTGACCAGCTTGGATATCATCCATAACGTCCAATAACGATGCAACACGTGACGTGTAACCGGCTAACTCCATGATTTCGCGGTAGGAGAACATGATCCGTCCAAAAGCATCCGATGCGCTGAGCAACATCCGCCTGTTGGTTACGAACGACTCTGTTCGGTCGCCCATGCTAGAAGTGCCGGCTAGCTGTCCGGGTAGTTTGAAGAAAACGGGCACGCTGCAGAGTAGGAGACCTAAAGCACCCCAGAAATATTTGATGACAAAATCCTCCATTACGCCGTGGTAGAATCGCCGACGTAATATGTAGTTGACGTGTTTAATAAGCGTAAAATAGCCCTTGTCGAGAGTATCCTTTTCTGCTTCGTGGCCGTGGTAGAGTGCCACCTCTTCACTGTGGTCGATGAGTCTCGAATGTTGGAACCGGAACTCGCCTTCAAGCCGTGCTTCGTCCGCAACGTATTTCCCAAACGGAGGTGTTAAAGCGCGCATGACACCGGCTGAGAGCTGTACCAATAGGGACATAAACATAACACCTTCGCCGCCAACACTCTTTGATAATGACCAAGTGTAAATAGTCTAGCCCGTGTTAGTTTATATTACAAATGCCACAATACGCATAGGCTCTCACCATGTCTAATATTGGTTTTGCTAGATTGCTATATAGCTCAGCCAGACTGTTGGAGAACTTGGCAACATCGACTGCTATAAGCTGATCTGGGTTTTTTATTCGATCATCTAGTGCGGAGATCCCGTAGAACGTGAGCTGGGAGAGGTATTTGTCGTGGATGTACTGGGTTAATCGAGTTCGATACCGAAGAGATAACTCGGCTTGGTGGTACGACAGCTACGATACTGTTAATTATCCCATCTAATAGATTTGGGACTAAGTTTCCTACCATGGAATTTGTGAATGTCGCAGGGACAGCAATCAACATCCACCACACAATTCTCGTGAGAAACTCTTTACCACTTCCTTTTACAAGTGCCTTTACGATCGCGCCATCCATCTCGGCAACTTTTAGACTGATAAGCGTCCGTACTACTAAAAAGAAACTGTGGCTAACGAGAAGCCGAGTCTCCTTGCTCCGCGCGCCAGGAACGACTATTTTTAGTAATTTTAACAGCGACTTAAAGAACTCGCGGTTCAGCTCGACCTTTTTCTTCTTCGTCGTATCGTCACCGTCGCTCGAGGTTGTACCCGATCGTCGCTTAGCCGCTTCGCGTGCGGACGCAGCTTTCTGCTCGGAAATGGCATGTCGGACGCGGTTGACGAGTGCGACGAGGAGAGTAAGGTAGACGGCGCGTGAAATCCGGGTTCGATTATCGACGTACAACGTCGTCAAATGCGCAACAGCACTCTTAATCGACCGATCGGGAAGAACAAGTTTGGATTGCACCGCCATGGTGACCGATAATGGGAGACGAGTTGATGCGGATTTTGCTTAAATTTCCAAACCTTGTTTACCCCAAAGCCAAACAAAACATAGAATTCATCCCATAAAATCAAGATATATAGGTCAGCGGGTTAAAATTACACAACTTGAAGTATCGTTATTACATGACTGCTGGCGGTTGTGATGCGCATAGCTGACAGCTTGACCGAATCTCGTGCTATGAAGCTATGTACTTGAAGGGAAGCAACCTAGACATCCCTCGGCGGATACGACCAATACCATCGGGTTTGTCGGTTGAATTGTCTAATTGGTGACGTCCTTGCTTTTAAGCATGTGATTAACCCCAGCCTTTCCCTCGAAGGTTTCCCCCAGCTGAAGTGGCTTTAATTAGGCTAAATTAGGTGCTAGTGGCTACTCGCAGGTGGCTGCAATCACTTTGTGGCCAGTCGTTAGGTAGACCCAGTGTGGGGTGAGACTCAGGTTGTTGCATATGTAAGCTCAAGCCCGTGCTTATCCGATCCGTATCTGAGCGCGGGGCTCTGATTTGTTCAAGACTTAAACAAATTTCTCTACGTTGAGAATAGTGGCTGCTTGACTAAAAGAGTCATTTGTTCCGTTCTTCCCTTTTAATTTATGAAAATCTAGTGCTATTTACATACCAAATCAATAGGCGCTTTTACGATGGCCGACGACGAAGAAATCGCGGTTTACGACGAGGTCGAGATAGAAGATATGACCTTTGACAAGACGCTACAGATTTATCACTTCCCTTGCCCGTGTGGCGATAGATTCGAGATATCGCTCATGGACCTTCAAGATGAGGCAACGGATATTGCTGTTTGTCCAAGCTGCAGTTTAATGATACGGGTTATCTATGATCTAGTTCGTCTCATATTTCTCTCTTGTTACCAGGGCGAATCGAATCTACATATTAACAAGACACTCAGGACAACTTGCCAAAGCCTGATCCTGATCCTCCGGCTCCTGAATCGTCTGAATATCAAGTACCCATCGCCGCCTAATCGTTTACGATTCGAAGGGAAATCGCATGATATGATACACAGCGGCATAAAGCATACACGAAAGCAACAAGTGCCGAGCCGTGAATGAGTAACCGGAGCACAATGACACCTCACCTTTATGGAGCTGGACCGCTTCGTGCCTGATATGGGTAGACAGTGAAGACGAGACATTGCCACATTTTGCAAGCTTATCTATCAACGGAGATGCGACATATTGGTTCAACTCAAGTTACCCTCCTCAGGTTACCTTCTACCCCGGGGGGCGGTAGTGATATCGCGTCTGCAAGATTAGTGATCTACTGGAACCTAAACTGCAGAAAGATGCAGTTTAAATCGGGTCACCGCATATTCAGCACCTATGCAAGAAGTACGATCGCAGACAATCATTCTGCTAGGTCAGATGTGATTCAATGTAGAAGTACTATTAATGTCCAAGAAGATGCAAACGTGGGGTATATCCAAATGCGAACACCGTTAATGCCAAAACGCTATCAGCGTCTTGGAAGTAAGCCCAGACCATTCCAAAAATTCATGATCATGTCCCTAAACGCCAGTGAAATGCTAACCGACCCAGTTACTCATTCCAATTCAGAGTAGATACAGCCCAGCAGCCGAGAAGACGATGAGACCCATGACGGAAGCTTTTTCCAACGCAGGCTTCTCCGCAGCTACAGTCGTCAAAGGCTTCAGTGGTTCTGCAAGCGAACCGGTGGAGTTGACAAGAACAGGCGTAGAGGCTATCACGACTCTAGGATTAGCCGCATTTCTTCATGGCGAGGGAGATCAAAATCTAACATGCTACCTACCCATTGAACCTGGCGGGTCCTCGATTCTCATGCTTGTTGAATGCGCCGTCACTCTTTGTTGAGCAGCAGCAAAGACGACTGGAAGCACTGCGGTGGCAAGCACGCTGAATAATCGCATCTTAGCTGAGGATGTTGTTTTCAGTATATGATTATACTATCATTCGAGCTCAATGCGATCTTTTCGGTTCGTGTGATATGCGCCGATAAGGTGGTAGTACAGCCAACGGAAGCAACGTACTGTTGAGCTGCCTGGCAGCAGCGCATAGGACAGAAGGAAATACTACAGTATCTACAGTAGTAATGAAAAGATCCAGCTCATGCGGGCGAGATATGTGGTTATTCTTGTAAAGTGTAAAGCGGAAGACGAGCGGGGGGGTTTTAGGATAAGAGAAGCTGCCAAAAGAAAAATCCGGGCACATGGTGGTATGTTACTGGGTGTGTGGACGTATGGACAGGGCGTATGGACATGTGGATGTATGGATATATGGATGTACATATGGATGTACATATGGATGTGTGGACCCATTGAGCAAAGTTCAAGGCAGGGATATGTGGATTACGATGCGAAACAAGATTTCCTGCAGATAAGCTACATGTAGTGTATGTATGCGTGATAAGTGACGAAAGAGGTTGGTATTAAACCGACCTCTGAAACGCAACGTGCTCTCAGTTCAAACGGAATCTGCTGTTTTCGGCGTTTTCAGAAACATGAGGCTTGAGTTACGCGGACGGATTAATTGATTTATCATATATTTATCATATCTTATATTTGAACCTGACTGCCTGCTTGGGCCTATTTAATTTAGTTAATCCTAAAGTAAAAGATCTATGTGAAGCATACCTACCTAGGTACTTATCAATGCTAATATGTAAGTAGGTAAGTACTAATTCAATATCCATGCCGTATTCCGTAGTTGTGGCAATTCTTCTCGGCGAAATCCACTTAGCCTTGCATGCAGATCCTCGACGAACGACCATTTAGTCAGGAGTCGGCGGCGCATTGGAGAATTAGCTGCATTGACATCTGAGTAGGGAAATTCGACCGGGTGGAATTTGACAGCGGGTTGGCGCGGGTGAGCTGTTGCTGATTAGGAGGTACCTAATCTAACGAAACAAAACATACGTCATTCTACGGCAACAAGGGTGGGTTACACTAAAGACGTTGGTTCTTTCAAACTTGCAGAGGAATGCAAAAATAGAAGTGTCGCAACTTCCAACCAATAGCCAACCTAGTTTCGTTTATCGCGACATGCATGCTCTGCCATTCGTCCATTCCTTTCTTCCGTTTGCACAATGATGTCAACTTCGATGAAGAGGAGCAAAACACGACAACTCTTATACACTAACTACAAATACCTCATATACACCCGGTAGTTACCCAATAAATAAACACACACAAGGTAACAATAAGATCATTGGTATTTATTATAACTACCTAGGCAGCATATGTAGTATAAGATACCTATTATTTTCAAAGACCTCTGAAATCAAATGTATTTCATGTGCCTTCTGTAGCTTGATACACTCCCGCTACTAACCTGGATACCTAGGTAGGTACCTTTCTTCTATTAACATTAAATCATGTAGGTTAGAAAATCTCAGCAAGGATTACAATTCCCTACGTACGTTAGGTTAGGAAGCTATCTTACTACAGCGTAGAATTCTGGTATTTTGACAGCCATGGGGCATAAATCTTGCCATCCCACGCGACTTCTAATGGCGACTCCCCAGCTCGTTTCCAGCTGTCTAGAACCGTAACCGCCGTTTCATAAGGCCAGTTCCCGAATAGGTCCCAATCATGAACGGCTTTCACGAATGCGCGCATCACGGCCGCCCCTATAGTCTCGTAGCCAAGGATGCGGGTGCTTCTGATGATGCGGGCTATACGCTGATGATGATGGGAATACGTAGCTCCCCAGAATCGAAACTTGTCAGTCCCGCCACTAACTTCGGTTATAACGGGGTCCTCGACAGCGCCGCGTTTACAATACCGGATGTTGAAACCATATATGTCGAGCATACGAATGAGGGCAAGCTTCAGGTTTTGGCCTATGGATTCAGACCCGCGCATGTACATATATGTCAGCTCGTCCAAGATAGGCGCGGCCACCTCGGGCGAAGACTCGGCTCCAATCCGCTCCGGCAGCGGGAAAAGCCAACCCATGAAATCGGTCTGGCCGCCGTAGTCTTCGACTGGTAGGTTGAGCAGGTGGTCAAAATACCGGCCTTTCCAGTCGGGACTGACGAACATCGGATGATAGAACTCCGACACTTGGCAAAGGAACGGATCATTCGGTTTAGGTACGTTCATAATCCTATCCATAACCGGTATTCTGTTGGATGGATTTTTGGATGAGTTTTGGTGTACCCCGATAACCTCGAACGGGTTGGGAATAACGGAACGTGACATCGTGTATGTTGTATGTTTTTTATTATAACTCTAGGTAGATTTTCTTTAGTTACCAGACTTATAAATATAGCTGTTTACGTCAATAAACTAAATTGTCTAGAATGTTGTCGGCTACGGTGGATATGTTACGGTGAAATATGTCTAAGTACCAGTTTCATATATCCCATTCATTCACTACACTAGAATGATCTTGTTTGGGCGTGTTTTTGGATTACCATTCTGGACAGCTACGACTTGTTTGTCTCATAGGCAGCAATGTATGCTTGAACGATATGATTGTACTTGAACAATCTATATGTTTCTTTTGCAAGCAACCGAAACTAAACTGGTTTATACATCGTTTATCTATACAGTTCCCCTAATAGAACTAATTTGCTACAAAAACTAAAAAGAGCGGTAAAACACACTTTCGCAGTCATAGGCAAACTATCGTATCGCCTTTTCAGGTCTAGTCTCGGATATGTTAATAGTTACAATACCTCAGTGACTACTGACCACGCCGCTGCCATAGTTATTGTTACGATCATAACCTTATAACTCGTTAAGTCGACAATAGTTAAAGCAGGACCCTCTATCTATATACACACCACGAAGGTGCGGGACTTTTAGTGTTGGTTTACTGTTCCAGTTTTATAGATTATGTATAATACCTAGCAGATGTAGGCATTGTAAGCATTTTGCTCCGACTGTTTCGGTCTCTGGACCTGCGACTATGTACTTCAGGCAAGCATCTCTTTGTAAACTAGGTAATAATCGGGTTAGCTTTAACGTATATCCTTGACAGGAACTCTCTACCTAGGTTATAAATTAGTTACTAAATGATTACCTGCCCAGGTATTCATAATTTCCATTACTCCTACATTATTCCATAATATATATTTTCACTTCAATATGTATTGTTAGCTGGAGCGTGCGTTTGGTGGGAACTAATAGGAGAGCATGTTATGTATCAATTGAGCTAATAACCCTCGATAATGCTTATTTAGATGCATATGCACATTTGAATCTACCTATCTACGAATAATAGGATAAATAAATACAAACCAGGACAAAGTTCAGCTCTCAATGGACGGCAATAATATCGGACTAATATTTCTATCCCATATAGGATTAAGTCCATACATTTGTACCTCGGCTTCTCGGAACCGGATTAATTGGGGATTTGGGGATTTGGTAGCTTCCAATGAGGTACGTGTAATAGGAGAAGAGTAAGAGTGGACAGCGTACGGAGGGTTTGCTTATATTGAAGTAGAGACCTCTACCCCACGCGTACAGGCTTCCGCCTCTATTAGAACAACGACCGTTAGGAACTTTATATGCAAATAATCCAACTATACTTAGCGCTTTAAATCTATCAAAATGGCGGGAACTAAACCGGGACAGAAGACAGTTCTCGTAACTGGGTGAGTTGTGAGATGGTTTTGCTTGAAATCCCGTTGCTGACATGCGCGTTTGTAGATGTACTCCAGGTGGTATTGGACATGGCATATGCTTGGAATATCATCAACGCGGTAGAGCGCCCTGTTTTATCCGAGGAAGTCATTGAATTAATATATATATATATAGGTCTCCATGTAATTGCTACCGCCCGAAGATCTGAGGTGTTGGCCGATCTCGCGGCGCTGGGCATGAGCACCCTACCGCTCGACGTTACCGATGCCGAAAGCATCAAGCAATGCCATGAAGAAGTCGCGAAACTCACAGGTGGCAAGCTAGATATTCTCGTGAATAATGCGTAAGCTTGCATTTCCTTATCGCAATTTCGAGCATTGCTTATTGGATTGTAGCGGCCGTACCCATACGCATCCCGCGACAGACATCTCGTTGCCGGATGTCCGACAGACCTTTGAGACCAACGTATTCTCAATAATGGCCATGGTGCAAGCCTTTATAGACCAGCTCATTGCAGCAAAGGGCTTGATCATCAACATTTCGTCGCTTTCGTCCGTAACCCCTTATGTATTTGGCTCGGTCTATTGCGCGAGCAAGGCCGCTGTCGTAGGTTATTCGCGCACCTTACGAATGGAACTAGCACCCTTGGGAGTCCGCGTGATGGTATCGATGACTGGTACGGTCAAAAGCAATACGGCTTCCCAACCTCTTCGTGGCCTACCGGAAAATAGCCTCTATGGTCGCGCTAAGGATATATTCGCATGGAGAGTTGTCTTCAGTCAAAATGCGTCTACCTTCCCCACCGAGACGTTTGCTAAAAAGTTGGTTAACGACTCTCTGCGCCCAGAGGTTCCTACGATATTCAGACGCTGGTTCGGACGGCCGGATTGGTTCTGGTCTGGCGGGATGGCAAATCTCGTATGGTTTGGGACATGTATAGGCGAGTGGGTTATTGACGCCTTCTGTTGGCGCACCTTTCGAATGAGCGAGATAACGAAGTTGCTCAGCGAGGATCAGAGCCAGAAAAAGCTGAAGTGATGTTGCTACAATTTCGCATTTCATCTGTAATCAAGTTTCTACATCATGAACACGGGACCGTCATCCCTGAGTTGTAGCATAGCGTTCAGTTTTCTAAACCATTTGGCACTTTTTTACTTGATCCTACCGACAATATCAGTCATCGCTAGTATAATGGACGCTCATCTATAAATTATTAATTACTCGTAGTTATGGTTCCAATATTGGACCTTACCTTTGGACTCATTAGTGGGAGTCGGGTTGTACACTAGGATAAAGACATTGGTCTAGTACATCAGCTTAGCACAAACATGTGTATAGTGCATTGTTCATAATCAGGAACCTCTCAAGAGTCTTGAATCTAGCTGGAAAATCTAAGCAATTGATAATTACACAGTTACATTATTCATGATTGTTTCCAAGGTCATTCTATAAATGAGATTAGTTATTCCATGCCTTACGATGGAAATATTATCTACGCCGCAGAAGTTACTTATAACATTTACCTGGAAAACTAATAACTGTACTCGATCAAAGTTAACAATATTCAATACTTTTATTATATTACAACTTCTCACAATGTGTTATAAGAACTTCCATACATATGCGGGCTGTGGTTGCGAATGGGCTCCGCCCAAGGTTGTACACCTCCCAGATTCGCCCTGTTCGCCTCCTTACTCGGAAGTAATCGTTACTAAGCCTGGAAAATGCGCTCTGCATGCCAGAATAGGCTAAACTATTTATACATAATAGTCTAGCTCTGCTAACGAGGAACGCTGGTTTCTAACGATACAACTGCGTGAGGATGTTACCCAAGTTTAGGGACTTAGGGTTGAGTTCAAAGCTCTGCATCTAAATGGAACCACATTCTTTAAGAGATTATCGCACCACCTGTCCGGGTAGTGTTGATGGTCTTGATAGAAGAGTCAAGACGTGCTATATCCTTGGAGTTGGAGTTCTTAGGGTGCGGTTCTCGCTCATCATTAGTATTTTAGAATAGTACCCAATCTCAATAATTAATAGCTATTAGTAAAAGGCTTTTTTTGTCAACCACGTAAACAAAGACCAACTTGTCCTCAAAGTGAATGTACAAGAAGTAATTGATACTGAAAAAAAGAGCAGGGTAAGAGTGTTGAGATCGACTTGCTTAAGTACCTAATCTACCCAAGGCTATTGTTTTCTTGTTCAATACTCACCAGGAGCATAAGACTTAGCACTGAAAACTTGACGGGAATATCCCAAATCTTAGGAACTAATCATCCTACCAAATACAACTATTCTAAGTCCTAGGGAAATATTATCCTTCACCGCTCCTTGGTAATAGTATGGGACAGATATGATATGCCTAGCGTCATGTAATAGGTTGGTGTTTCTGCTTTTTCTTTCCGGATCAACGCCTCAAGCCACCGCTCGTATATCCTAGTACATAAACTCACCCTTTTGTAATAGAAATACGCAAAAATATGAGATTTTTTTACGCCATTGCGTTTGTAGCTCGTCCGAGCTAGCCCCTTATGAAGATTTATGAGCACAATAATAAGCCAATGTGAGCTGAATTCGTTACCGTCCAATCAGCTTGCCCACCCCCCTTAATAGGCAATACTCCGAACTACCTAGGCTACCTACATTAGGGCGTTGACTGTGCCAAAACCTGAAAACTATAGTACATATAGGTATCAATCATTCTTAAACCATAACACAGGTCATTTTATCTCTTTTAAATTCTCATTTATACGTTATATTTCAAATGATGCTTCTCAGAGAGCCCATCTCAGTCAATATGAGCAAGGAGATCACCGTCCACACGTCTTCTCTCTTCGACTCGAAGCAGAAACGCTTCCTTTCGGACCTGTCCATCTTGATTGACGTCAACACTGGTTTAATAACAAGGGTGTATAAGCGGGACGGACTGGTCGATGATGCATCGCAACCGAACACAATTGATCTCCGAGGCCTGACTGTTCTCCCGGGCCTCGTCGACGCTCATACTCATATATTTCTGCATGCATACTCCGAGGTATCTTCCTTGAACCAGATGCGCGATGAGAGCTTCGTCGAAAGGGTAGTGAGAGCTACGAATCACGCCAGAGCAGCTTTGATGGCCGGTTACACCACCTACCGTGATTTAGGTACGGAAGGTTTAAGAGATGCCGACGTGAGCTTTAGAGATACCATTAACCGTGGCATCATCCCCGGGCCTCGCATGTTCGTGGCGACGGAATGCATCGCTTCTAGCGGGGGCTATGAAATACGGGTGGAGAATGGCCTCCCTGGAGTCGGCCAGACTACGCCTCGAATATCAGACCCCGCGGATGGCGTCGATGGTGTTAGAGCAGCTGTCCGTCGGTGCTTGGGGGCTGGTGCTGATATCATTAAGTTCTATGCCGACTATAGGAAGCGAGCATTAAGGTATCCAAAGCCCAGCTGGGCAGGCGAGAAAGACATTGCCTTTCCTCCGTCCGACGACGTTATCACCGGGCAAAGAAACCCGAACATCATCCAATTCACTCAAGAAGAGATGAACGCGATGGTGATAGAGGCAAAACGCTCGGGCGCTCCCATTTGCGCTCATGCGCAGAGCCCCGATGCTGTCGTAATGGCGGCCAAGGCGGGTGTCACATCTATCGAGCACGGCTACATGCCTAGCGAAGAACCTCTAAAGGCAATGAAAGAGAACAACACTATCTTCGTGCCAACACTAGCAGTCTATCAGATTTCATTAGGGGACGGTGATGCAATGAAAGCTATCTTCAAGCACATTAAAGCTGCCTTCGATCGGGGAATCAAGCTCGCTGCTGGCGGTGATACGGGCGCCTTCGCGCATGGCGAGAACGCTCTTGAACTAGAACTGATGGCGAAGGCGGGTATACCCGTCCTCGATGTCTTACAAGCAGCGACATTACACGGCTGGGAGGCATGCGGTGGAGATCTTTGTGGTAGAAGGTTTGGGCTGCTGGATAAAGGATTTGCAGCTGATATCATTGCTGTTGATGGCAATCCGACCGAGGACTTCAGTGCGCTGAGGAGGGTAAAGTTTGTTATGAAAGACGGGGTTGTGTATAAGGAGGAGTACAAGGGCTTGTCCTAGAACTGAGTACCTACGTATAATAAGTACGCTACCTAATATATGCCACTAAAATTAGTAGCCTGCTAGTCTTCATCAGCGCTAGAAACCTTCTATGCTTCAACGCCCTAGGCTAGCTAGCTCCTTGTTTTGACAGCGGGATTTAATCGAGACTTATTAAACACTCAAATAAATCCCACGATGTTCTCCTCGCAAATAATGATTTTTCAAGTTTATATAACTTCACAACAACTTCACAACAATAATTAATTACCCAATATAGCTTAGCCAACCTGAAGAGGTAACTGGCATAGTGCAATGTAACAGTATAAATTTCTTGATTTGACTATATTAGAACCAACAATCTAACTATGTTAAACCCCTCTGACCTTATTCTTGTTAACCCAAACATTGCTTTAACTATTACCTATTTCATATTGTTCGTCAGACTTGCCATCGAAATGAAAATCATCATCACAGGCGCCACAGGCTTCGTCGGAAGCGAGGTGGTCCGACAGGCGATTGCAGATGAGGGGATCACGCAAGCATTCGTCCTCACTCGCAAGCCGCTACCCGAGGACCTCTCAAAGAGTACGAAACTAACCATAATCGAACACAAGGACTTTTCCACCTATCCGCCTGAGCTTTTAGCGCAGCTCGCCGGCGCAGAGGGTTGCGTTTGGTAAGTTTCAAAACAAGTACCGCCAAGAGCCCCGAATGACTTACACGTGGCAAAGGGCCATCGGGGGCCGCGCCACGCAGTTTCCGGACGTGGAGACGGCACGGAAAGTCTCGGTCGACTACACCCTCGCTGCGGCGAAAGCCTTTAGCGAGCTGGCGTCGAAGCTGCCGGAGGTTAGTGAGCTTGCTTACTACGTTAATGGACTAGACTGACTGATTAAAAAAAAAAATTTTAAAAAAAGGGGTCCCAAAAATTCCGATTCGTCTTTTGTAGCGGGAAGTTTGCCGAGTGGGATCAGAACAAGAACTTGAAGATGATGAAGGGTACTCGGCTTATCAAGGTAAAAGCTCAATAACTCATAACTATAGAGAATCCCTAGTTCACAGTGACTTGCTTAGTGGCCGTGAAGTCTAACAGCGAATATTCTAGGGACAAGTCGAGAAAGGTCTTTTCGATATCGCGGAGGCCAACGAGGATACGATCGAGGTTTGGGCCGTGCGACCCGGTGGAATCGTGAAAAAGTACGCCGGGCTGATAAACGCACTTACTGCTAACACGAGCGGGTTCATTGCGGTGGATCATCTTGCCAGGGCTATGCTGAAGATCGTGCTTAATGGTCACGCAAATCGGATTATCGAAGCTAATGAACTGTTGAAGATCTGATTCCGTTCGCGTGTCGCGGATATTGTCTTGGATGGGCTTCCTAGATTGTGACGTGCTCGTGGTCAGCGGCTGAGTGTTACCCCTGAGCAAGACATGACACTGTAGGAAGAGGATGTATATTAATCTAAACCACCCCTTTTATTCATTCATGCACTATTTTAGTATTTACCTCTTATGTTACGAGAAAGATCCCATATTAATGGAGAGATAGATGACAGAATAATAAAGACACCACGACACCACGACACCACGACACCACGACAGTCAGACTAGAACGCCCTTAAGATTCCTCTAGCACGACACCAATCTCTTTTATAGCATGCAACGCATCGGCCGACAACTTATCACGCTCCTTCTTCACCTCACCCATTCTTGGCTCCCAGTATTCCTCTATAAACCTACTCAGTGGCCAATCCATCTCTTGTAGCTTTGCCTCGAACTCCTCCATTAAAGCGTCCAACTGTTTTGCTAGATATCGGTCTTCCTCTCGTATTTCTTCAATCTCTGCTGGCTCCATGAGAATGAGCAACCCTTGCTCAATTATCCCTTGGAAGGAGGACATTCTGTAGCTACAACAGGTGTGCTTCATACCAAGCTCGTCAAATGTTATGACGCGGATCAAGCCCAATATTACCACACTTTTATTATAGCCAATCGTTCCTCCCTCGGTCACTTTTTGCCAATGTGGTATTATTGTAGGGGGACCAGTGCCGTAAACTTCAAAAACCGCACGCGCGTACTTCGAAGCTGAAGTACACCCGCTAAGAGTGCAATAGCAGAGACAAGGATCTGCGTATTCGTCTTGAAGAAGCTTTGCGAATCGAGGTTGGATTTCCGTGGATAATTTCATATTTGTATTTATTAAAAGGCATGATGCTTGACCTAAATCATACAAGGCTTTATGTATAGTTGGGTGAATTGGCGCTAGACCTTCTGGATTCGATGCGAAGGTATAACGCCCAGGGATAGGAATCGGCGTATGGAGGTCGGCGCCGTGATCTTCAAACCAGCAGACCAGCTCTAAACAGGAAGCTAAACCATGATAGTAGTATGATAGAGTCATTAATGGGGTGTATCCAGAAAATATTGTATCTGTCCCGTGAAACCCGGCGTCAAATAACATTTGGGCTATAGAGGCATTGCAACTGAGCCAATGGTAGACCGGGCGGACTTTTGGGATGTGGTAGATGTCAGGTATTGGTACTTGTTGTTGCCTGAGAGCTTTGACAACATCGAATGCCTTGTCGCCAAAGTCAAGGGTTTCATCCTCCTTCAGTCTAAGCTTGTCGATTATCTCGGCTGGAAGGTTTTGCAGTGCAAGCTTCAATAATCCGGTTTGTAGCTGTGCGAGATATGTGACTATAATCTGTATCACCTCCCATCTTTCATGAAGATCCCATATTATCGATTCCTCAATGATCGCATCAGCATCAAGTAACAACCGGACGGAATCCGGTTCGTCTAGCATTACTGCGTATGACAGAGCAGTATTTCCATTAGTATCTTCCGCATTAATTATATATTTTATTGCCCAGCCGGCGGATTTGATCAGAGTCGAGATGCCTCTAGGCCAGTTGGCAGCTAAATGGAATGCTGTTTGGCCCTCCCTAGTACGCTCGAATATCAGAGAAGGGTCGGTACGAAGGCGAACGAAGCTAGATTCTGAGCGAAGCAGCACTTCATATAAGAATTCAGCGCAACTGAAGTCTAAGGTAGGTTAATGGTAATGAGTATCGCGTAAGATAAACCGGGGATGGTCTAAGGGCCTTACTGTCATATAGGCTAGGGTTATTCAAGGATAAGAATCTGAGGATCTTATCGGGGTTGTAGTTTTCACCGACGGTAGCCTCCGCATCTACTAACTCATTGATCATATGGGTCCTTATATTTAGAGTAGTATGATGGATTATGGTGTATAGAGGCGTGCTAGGGTATTCGTTAGCTAATGTCCTGAGGTCCTTTACACTTTTTAAGCCAGTGAACTTTACTTCCCAAACTTGTCAACATCATTGATCGGTGCTCCCATAAGAACTAAAGCCTTTAGGAACTGCAATAGGATAGTTGATAATTCTTCATCCCCTGCTAATTTTTCTTCTCTTACTAATTTCAACCGACTAAGATACCAGTAAGTTGATGGTAGGGTCTCCTAAGCTTTCAAATTATAGTGAGTAGGTCATCTATAGCAAGATCCCACGAGTATTTTCAGATGGCCGATTGGTTCAACGTACATGTATCAAGTTATGTCCATATTCATTTACATCCGTCGGCCACCCCATACCGTTTGCAAATATATGTTGGAGTTCAACTAAGTAATTTTGACAGGCTCTTCCTAGTTCCTGTGTAGTGCTTATATTCTTAAAGAGAAAACCGATTCTCATTTTTGATATAATCCTAAACGCAGGAGCGCTGTTTGGTACAGTGGCTCGAAGCGTGAGATTGCGGTGTATTTGGCAACTTCGAGCCCACGCCAGTGGAGAGTATTCGATTTGCCATGTCCAGATAACTTGGTGTCGGAAAGCTTGAAACCTCATAGAGAAAGTCCGCTTCTTCTTATTGGTAAACGAATATAGGCAATCTTTTTTATGTCGCGTACTGGAATACCCGTGCCGCGCTTTTGGGCAGTCGCAGAGACCAGCTCTTCCAGACATCACTGAAGATGGTGTCCTCATAGCGCTTCTATCTTGGTAAGATTTTTTCATGCTATGTGTATCCAATGCTACTCGGTTTTCGACTGAAGGACCTGCTGTCTGTGCCGTATTCTGGGTTTGTACCATTTGGATAATCCGTTCTAGTTGATAAGTAATAATTGACGTCTGTCTTTCTTGCCCCTGTTCAAAGTTATCCGACAGGCTGTGTAGACTAGCTGCCATGGAATTTATCATATTACTCTCGGTCTTCTGAATACTTCGCTGGAATGAATCCCCTAGCTGGTCGACACTATCACGTATCGTGCTGGTCACTGCATTGTTGGCATCTGAGATAGAAGATTGAAGTTGTCTAGCTACGGAGTCGACAGCTGTAGTAACTTGCGCAAATTCGAGAACCATAGTACATCTCATGTCTCGAGTAAGGTCGCTCCATAGCAAAACAAATTAGTAAAGAAGGATAGATGCAAATCCGGGACTTACAGATTAACCAATTGCAAGTACCCGAGCAATCTAGCATTGAACTCTTGAAGCTGAAATCGACAATCATCAAACTTCCCTTTGTCAAATGGATATTTCAAATCGTGAAGGAGTTTCCGGCCGCGTCCTTTGAAGGTCTGACCAGGCTTCGAGCCGGTGTACTTAGCATTCATCTGCTTAAAATCTCGTAGGCAGGCGTCGCAAGCATCTCGGCATTTTTGCAACGAAGTAGTGATATCTCCATTAGGACTCTGTGACCCAGTAGTTCGATTTTCAATAAGGCTGAGTAATGATTCAAGCTCTTGGGCATGTTGCGTCAATTTGACGAGATCTGTATCTTGAGATTTATAGTCTTTACAGTATTGAATTAATCCGCCCGAGACTGTAAGGCCAAGCGAAACAAGACCGGCAACGCCAGTCGCGATGGAGAAAGGATCCATTGATATGGATGCGCCCTGGGGGACAGGGGAGAGTCCAAACCGAAGAGAAAGGCCTATGGTAAAATCAGACAGGGGATCCCTCCTTTAAAAATCATAATTCAAACCATCTCACCACATGATTCGTGGATCGTGAAGCTGATTGGGCGTACATCGCTGGCTCTACGACCTATCAGAGCTTCTATAAAACATGCCGTGTAACGTTGGGCTGAATAAAGTATCAACGAAGGTTCTGGTAAAAATGCCTAACAGCACTATGTACTGCCTCGTAGAGAGCCTGCTCCTACGGTCGGCTGTGCATCCCCCTTTATGAAATCGGCTATAACCGTGTCCTTGATTCCTAATGTACCAACCTTTTATGATGGTGACATGAAGTAAGTATTTCCCACGCACTTTTCTAGTATCAGATACACCATGGGTGTAAGATATTTAGCTCGGGGTTACCTGTATTGAGATAGTAGTTTAGCTTCGGTCTTTGTAAGTATGTGCTTAGTTATATTTGCCCTAGAATGCCGGCAAGTCTAGCGAGAAGAATGTATATTATTCAGGGTCTCTTTGGCTTCGTGCATAGATCTGCGAGGTAATGTGACGCTGATGATAGGGACCGGATAATACTATATTCATCGACCTGGATGTTCTATATGAATACCAATTATAGCCTTAAATATATCCAAGGCTACAGCACTTTCGAATAGACATCGCTTCATTCATCTGCTTTTTTGTTCTCTCCACCATTTCCACCTCCCATTGCGTCTACTTTCTCCAATTGAGTCAACGCTGTTTCGGCGGTTGGCTTTTGGGACGCATTATAGTATCTAAACCAGGGCATAAAGAAACTAACCAACAGCGCCACGCCAGCGAATGGAATACCAATCGCGAACGTAGACCGCAATGCGCTGCTGTAACCCTGCACGATACCTCCCTGGCTCGCTCTAGGAAAACTCGCAATTGCTTCACTATTCGCACCAGCGGAGAAAACTACAAGTGGGTTGATATCAGGGACGAACTGGCGGAGCGCCTTCATAAGCTCTTTTTGAAAGACTGCTTGCGCTGCGGGAAGTATGAAAGCGCTGCTCAGTGATTGCGAAACTCGAGGGAGTGTTAGCACGTTGAAAACCGGACAAGCAAGCGGATAGGAGACATACAAATGATGATAGGTGTGGCTGTCGACACATCCTTTGTCTGCACCACGACTTGCGATAGCATAAGCGGAATGGTGAGGCAAAAGCCAACTCCAATTCCGAGTATGATCTGAAATCCAATCCATCGGCCTGCGCTAGACTGCTCGTCAAGTAGCATGAACAAACCCGACCCAACAGCCGCAATCGCAGGTCCCAATATTAGAAATGGGTTGTGAATGCCGGTGGTGGTAATAATACCACCGACAGCAATCTGAGTAATAGTCAAGCTTAGGATAACCGGGATGAGCCGTACACCAGAAGAGACAGCCGAAACACCACGCACTGCCTGGAAATAGATAGGGAGCCAGTAAAGAGCAAGGTTGAAACAGCGTGCAATGCTAAGATCATGTCAGTCTACAGGTCTCGCTCTGGGGGATATGATGGCTTACAAGAACTCAAAAACAGCGCCAGGAACGTCCATCTGCAGGAATTTTTCCTTTGTAGTCGCCGGTGTTGGCGATGCAGCTTTTGGAGGTCGAAATGCAAAGAGCATGGCTATGGCGGCGATACCTCCACAAGGTAAGTTGATGTAGAAGCTAGGTCAATATTAGACCGTCTACGCATACGTACGATACTACACGATGAGATTCTCTTACCACCAGCGCCAAGTCACGTTCTGTGTAAACGCGCCCCCAATCAACGGTCCTACTACCGAGGCGACGGCAAAGGTAGCAGAGAGCGAACTCGTCATGGCCGGCCTTATTCGCGGTCTCGAAGATAGAGAAATGATGATGAAGCATCCCGCAAAGGTGCCAGCGCAGCCCGTGCCCGTGATGGCCCGCCCGGCGATAAAAGCACTGCTGTTTGGTGCGAGTGCTTCTGATTCTTAGCATGCTGCGTATGATAGAAGTTGGCGCGTAGGTAGGCACTTACCGCAAACTAGACTGCCTACCTCGAAGATGAGGATGCTTGAAAGGAAGACGAGCTTCACGGGAAAATACTTGTACGCTTTCCCCCGTACCGACTGTGTGGCTGCCATAGGAAAGAATATGGCCGAGCCGTACCAGCCAACATCTTCGAGGCTGTGGAATTCGTTGGTGATAGAAGGGATTGCGGTGGTGATGATAGTCTGGCAGGAATTAGAGGGCTAAAAGTTGAGTAAGTCATGTCATCTTCACATACAGTATCTAGGGATGCGAGGAAGATGCTAAGAACAAGAGCAGCGACGATAGCTGCCAGATGTAGGCCGCCCGGGTATTCATGCTCCTCGATGGTTTGGAATTGGTCGGCCTCGCCATCTTCGACAACTACTTTCTTGGACATGGTAAGAGAAACCAGCAAGGCAATGTTTTCTTTGGTGAAGTGTAAGTATTCTACTACCGCACCTCATTGGTCCAGTGTAGGTTGAAAACCCTCCCTGTCTTACGAAAGGTAAGCAGCGTATCTCTTCGATGAAGATGTCGAGGCAACGGATTCATCAGTCTTCGAAGCTCCTGCGCCTTGTCGGAGATCACATGAGCTGAAGGACTTACACATCTCAGTTGAAACTCATTTTGTAAGTCATCCAGCTTATGCCGTGTGTAATGGTAAATGGCTGGTTGTGTTGGCACCAAAAAGCCAACGTGTAACAAGACTTGAAGGAAGGGATAGATTTACTAATATCTATTTTTGTTGATTGGTAGAAACTACCAAGGTAGATAAGCTATTATCGACTTGCAGATGGTTGGTTTGTGCTTTTTTCAAACAATGGGAATATCCAGTTCATCCCAAGTCATTCCCGTCACAACCGCCCCCAGCCTCGGACTTATTTCACATACACTTCGTCACTATGCTGCCCGCAGAGGCTGCTACCAGCTTCGACGTCATCGTCGTAGGCGCAGGTTTGTTCCTAATTCTGATCCGTGTAATACGACGACTAACGACTCTCTCTAGGCCTTACCGGAATCATTGCAGCCCAGCGTCTGCTTCAAGCACATCCCGAGACACGGCTAGCAATTCTGGAGCGCGACTACTGCGTGGGAGGAGTATGGAGTGAGCGTACGGGATCTGAAACCTCGATCCGTGCTATTTTCTGACATTCTATAGGACGAATCTATCCTAGCTTTTGGACACAATGGACACACGGCGTTGCCGAGTTCTCCGACATGCCTATGGAACGGCCACCGGTTGAAGATTGTATGTATGACTTGTTCCGTGCCAAATATACAACAAAGTATCTTGAAGATTATGTCCACAACATGAGCCACGCCGGACAGACGTTGCGAGATAGAATACAGTTCAACACTCACGTCGAGTCCATCAAGAAGGTCAATGGCCAATGGGAAATCCTGTGCGTTGGCACGATTAGCAAGTCTCGGCGATCAATCTTCTCCTCGAGACTCATGATGGCAAATGGCCAATGTTCGGTCCCCAATATACCCAACTTCCCTGGAAAGGAGCATTTCCGTGGGAAGATCATCCACTCGATCGACTTTGGCCAATGCGACGTCGTCCAAGATAAGTCGATCCAGCATGTTGCTGTTATTGGCGCGGGCAAGTCGGCTGCCGATATGGTGTATGAGGCAGTCAAGGCGGGCAAAACCGTATCGTGGATTATTCGCGAAACCGGAAACGGCTCGCTTGGAGCTGCAGCCTTCGCGCCTATCGACTTGCCCACGCCGTACAAAAACGGAGGCGAAGCATTGCAGGCAAGGATCATGGCATCGTTACAGCCATGTTACCTGACTCCTCACCGATCGTGGTGGACATGGCTTCTCCACAGCACCAACCTGGGCGCGAAGCTCGTCAGTAAGATCTTTTCACTTCTGGATAAATCAGTCCGAGAATATGCTGGTTATCGGGAGAGAAAGAGTGACAAAGGGTTTGAAAAGCTAGAATACGACAATGAGTGAGTTTATTGCATAGTAGTTGCTGCTTAATTCAACCCATGGCAGATGCTAACATTTCCAAGTATAATCTGGCAGAACGGAACCGCTGGAGGCTGTCACTTCGCAGATTTCTGGCCCCTTGTCGCGGAGAAGGTCTATGTATATCGCAGCGACGTGAAGCTTCTGGACGGAAACGAACTGTATCTCAACGACGAGAACGGCACTCATTTCCCTTGCGATGCTGTCCTGTGCGGCACAGGCTGGAAAGGCGGACTTGGCATGTTCGGAAACCATACGCTCATGGAGCTAGGATTGCCATATCCCAAGGATATTGAGCCACAAGAGGTAACTGCGAAGTGGGAGAAGCTCGTCGGCAAGGCAGACGAGCAGGTCCTCAGGCGGTTCGTCATGCTCAGAAATCCGCCAAAGCACTACCATAAGTATGAACCACGAACGCCTTATCGACTTTATCACACGATGGCTCCTGTACACGACGACTCGATTCTCTTCATGAACCACGTAGTTGCCGGGGCGAAACTATTCGCAGCCGAGGCACAGGCTATCTGGGCAGTAGCCTACTGGGACAAGGCGTTTCCGCTCCCCTCCGTAGCAGAGCGGGAAGAGGACATCGCGCACATGATTGCCTGGAACAAGCGGCGTTATCTGTCGAACGGCGAGCTTGGAAATTTTGCTGCCTTTGATAGCATTCCGTATGTAGATAGGCTGTTTGACGAGATCGGCGTTACGTCGCATCGAAAGAAGGGCTGGCTGGGAAATATGTTCGCTCCCATCATGCCGGCTGACCTGGGCAAGGTGTGGCACGAGTATCTCGCACGACAAGCCAAGGGGTAGACTCCAGCTTGTTAAACCGAAAATAGTACTCATCTCGGTTTGCTTAGTTGCTCAATATATTACTTATTTAGTTATTGTTATACACGCCCACTTTGCTGGTGGTGGTGGTGCTGGTGGTGGATAAGTGTGCTTCGGTGAGCACCACAAGCCTTTTGACTGGAACCTATGTCTCATCAAAATGGAGAGTCGAGAAAAGCCTCAGTGGCGTTTGTCATGTAAAGCTCGGGCCATTATGCCCCATGCCTCCTTTCCTTCTACATACGCCAATGGCCTTGTGTCCTAAATTAAGCTTAGACCTGGTATGAAAATAGAATCTCGCAGCATCCGTATATGTGAGTTTTACGATACGCCTCAGACACTTTATGGGATACCTACCTACACACAACAGCATGTTGGAGCAAGGTCTAACTGACAAGTTCCGCCAACGTCGTGCTTCGACGCCAAGCAACCAAGGAATGCTCTGGACCACGTGCAGGTTGGGCTGCCCGTCTAGCTGTACTACGTTACAGTGCCTGCGCAATCCTCCTTCCAGCAGGATGTAATTATGCCTATATAGGGAAGTCTAATCGCCAACGTCTCTGGCACGGGACCGTCTCTCGCACGGGACCCTTTGTCTTAGGTAGAAAACAAATACCAGGTCCTCCCACGATGAGGCTCACGTTTGTGTTCTCCAACTTCTTCAGCTACCACCTCATCGCTCTCTTTAAATCGACATTTCTAGATTAAAACTTGGCGCAATGGCTCGTTCGTTCAGCATGAGGTTGTGCGTAGGGTCTCTGCTTACGGTAGCCGGTGCCGTGTGCGCCAGCGTGCCATCTCTAAAGGCGCCGGCATGTTCCGCTGGGAAGGGCACTGTTCAATATAACAAATCCGTACCTGATGAGGCCAGCTTCCCGAAGACTCAGGTCGATATCTGCTACGATGATACTTCAATCCATGCAACTTTCACCGCATTTGAGGAGGTGAACTATTATTTCAACGAAAGCCAGACAACTAACGACGCTATCTGGGCGTACGAAGTAATGGAGGGTTTCATCTATCGCGGGACCAACGACCCGCAGACTTACCTAGAGTTCGAAGTCAGCCCGAACAACGTCACTTTCCAGGCCTGGATCTACAACAGGTCTAAGGTGCGCGCGGCCGGCGCCCCGATGGACACTTCTTTCTTGACCCAGCCGGTGGTCGACGGCCTGACAGCCGAGACGACGCTGGACAAGGAGGCGCAAACCTGGGTTTCGACGGCCAAGATCCCGCTCGGACTCTTCAACGTTGACGACGGACAGGCGAAGGGGACGTCGTGGAGGATGAACTTCTTCCGCACCGTCGTAGCGCCGGACACGTTCCCGGACCAGTTACTTGGTGCGTGGAGTCCGACTAACGAGTCGAATTTTCACATGACGCCTTTCTTCGGGCATGTCGATTTCATTTAATATAACTATTACATACGCTTAGTTTATAATAGAAATATTAATCTCAACGCGAATCGAGAAACCTACATATTCTTCTCCTTTTCTCGTGAATTAGTTGGAACGTGCTGATACACCGAAGACAGAGTTTGCTTGAAATTGACCCAACTAAATTATACCTCTACTTCTGGAACCGAGCTTTTAATAAAGTGGTTTAAGCCATTTCATTTATAATAGTTTGACTCCTTACTTCTAAATAAAGCTACAACCCTCTTAGGTTTGCTTGCGAGGAAGTAGACTCAACCAGCGGAAAAGTAGAACCTCAAATTTCACTCACCATGTTTGTCCCATGCTCTATTTAATCTTTTAAGCCCGTTCCAAAAGTCCCAGGCCCTCAATTCCTATTGAATTTGTCCCTTTTCAGGGGCTGGCCCAACCCACACAGAATTGCACAGCTGCACTGTATTTCCCATAAAATGACTATGTTGGGTTATTCGTGACTTTGGGGCATATAGTTGAGTAGATTGCTGTCATATAGTAGTGCCACTATGCTCACGATGTTAGTAGGGCTTTATAGGGGAATATTCGCACTCCAATCCGCAGCTATCAGTTACGCCTTGATAGGGAAAATAGCAAGAGGTATTTAGTAATAGAGTATGTAACAAGAGGCTTTTGTAAAACAGTCTTATAGACTATTTTGGGGCAAGATTAAACTTTTTATACAAGATTTTGATACTAATATGGCTTATTCATGAGAAGCACTAGGTGGGTTGATTTGTTTAACTCCGTAATAGTATGTACTGAACAATTCAACCCCTATATAATTCATAATAAAGCTCTAACAATATCCAATCATACTATTGATGTCATAATCAAAATAGGGGAAGAAGCAACCGAAAAGGTGGATTATTAGGTTCGTCGAAATTATTATTTCACGAGTAACGTCTGAGTGGTTGAGTCTTCTTGCATACACCATACTCACTTAGAAAATTTATTCATCCTGGACTGAGAGTAAATGGTTCTATCTATATTAGTCTATAATCTATCTTGTACCAGCTGCTTAATAGATTGAAGAGTAATAATAGAACAGGTTGTTCAGCCCTTGATCATTGTGAATCATAGGTAGCCTCCCCATATGTATAAAGTATCTTCCGTTCAAGATAAACCCCACGAGCCTGCTATCAGCCTCCTTGAATTAGATCGCAGGAGGAATTGAGTTGGATTTCACAAGGCCAAAGACAACGTACACTTGCCCCATAGCCCAGCAAGTCTAACCTTCCATAACCTGCTCCTAAAAGTCGAGTGTTAGACAAGTAAATCCAGTGGCATGGTTTCTCCAGAGGGACAATTTACCTTGCATCGTATCTATGGCTCTTTCCGATCAACTGCAGCGCACATAGAGTGGTGTATACATCAACAACACCACTACGGGAACAGAGGCCAAACTCGTCGTAGTCGGCGTCCAATACGCTTGAACTTTCCCTGATCGATATGATGACGGGAAGCGACTTCATCTAGTTTATTATCCTTAGACGGATTCACAACCTCGCGCACTATATCGTGATTGGGAGCTTCGCAGAGGAAAGCAGCCACCCGATAGAACGCCCAACGAGATGTGAACTTGGCCAGCATGTACGCATACACGAGGATGTGGCCGACGGAAAAGGGAGGAAGCGACCGCACGGGAAAGCCGTCGTACTTAGCGCGGCTAATCGAGAAGAATACGTCTGCAGTCTCGCTGAGCTTCTCCAAGGGTGTGTTGGCATTTCGGCGTTCCTGGAGCTCTTCGCGCAAGCGGTCCCGGTGCCATGATAGCGGCGATTGACGCTGCAGGCCGAGGAGTTTGTGCCATTGATGTAGAAGTTTCTTGGCAATCGTACGAGCCATGTTTGCCTTTTCTGTGGTCAAGGGTTGAAGCTTGGATATTGAAGAGTGTTTAGTTAAAGAATATGTAGTGGTTAAAAACGAGGTCAAGTGTCGGCGAGTTAAGGATTCTTAATGATTCACGCGTTTAGCATAGACCACCTCGTGTATAAGTGTAGAGTCAGGCGTGTTTGCGCACACTGTTCGCCTTTGTTCATGAGGGACAGTTTTTTTTTCTACAGATTTATTAAATTCATCGTGGTTGAAAGTGAACTGAAAGTGATTGGACAAATGTCTAGGTCGCACAGGGAAAAGCATCGAAATCGCAGATCATCTTGTCCCTCAAAGATGACGTCTAATTTAATATTTACGCCACCATTCGGGAGAATACTTCGGGAACATACGTACGGCATCTGCATGATTCCGCAGCATCTTCTTTGATTGAACAGTGGGAATACAACTGTATTGTCTCTCAAGAGCTGCCTATGGACCTAGCTATTATACAGGAGAAAGTCTGTGTTTTTTCTAAGCAATGAAAGGGGTTAGACACTGGATAGCTATACTTTATCTACTGTCCTAGACAAGAAATTGGTTCATGAATATGAGTAAATAGGTACATGATCGTGACAAGATATTGGTAGAACCTTGATGTCTTAGGAGCCTTGCAGGCAAAGGCTACAAGGTTGACGGGGATACGCACATACCCGTGGGCAGATCTAGGGTTGAGCGGGATAATAAGCCATATGTAACTCCAAGCTACAACTGCGAATATCCTACGCCCTTACTTATATCCCTCTTTTATACGCAGTTGTAAAATCCTAAAGACTTCATTAGCCTATCACTTCTACCAAGAGCCCCTTGATATAGCTTCAAATATTAAGAAATTCTCACCATGTCAACTTCGTCTGCTAATCCTGAGACTAGCCGGCCATCAGGGCCTCAGACTCTAGACTCGTCATTACCGAAGCCGGTGATCATTGGCCTATACGGAGTACCAGGATGCGGAAAGTCATATTTACTCAAAGAACTAAAACGACAACTCATCGCAGAATCATTTGATTTTTATGAGGGCTCCGAGGTGATCAGTTCTCTTGTTCCAGGAGGCCTTGACGCTTTCAAGAAATTTAAAAACTCTGAAAAGGAGCATTATCGTAAGCTTGCCATCGACCACATTGCACAGAGCTGCTCTATAGCAGGACGTGTCGGAGTTGTTTCCGGGCACTTCATGTTCTGGGAAGAGGGCGAACATGGTGGACAGATAGTGTGTACACAAAAGGATTTGGAAGTGTACACACACATTCTCTACTTGAATATCAACCCCGAACTTATTTCGATATATCGGTCGGGCGACACTGGAAGAGCTCGCCCATTAGTTTCTGTCGAACACTTATGCAAATGGCAAGAAGCCGAGAAGACTCAACTGCGTCAACTCTGCTACGACAATGGCATTTTATTTTCGTCGATATCCCCGAAAGTGTGGCTACCTCTCTCCAAGATCTCGATATTGATACGAGACTTCCAGTCCCATACAGCAAATATGAATCTTGCCCGCGCCACAGACAAGCTAGACGACATCCTTGCGAAGGATGCACATCAACTGCATACAATGCTAGTACTGGACGCCGATAAAACATTAGTTGCAGAGGATACTGGAACGCTGTTTTGGGAAATAGCTTCGAGGCGTCATCCAGAGCTCGCAAACGATGTAGCACTGAAGACAATATTCAGCAGCAAATTGGGGTATTCCTATTCCGCTTTTCGGCAAGCTGCCCTGCTATACGAAGAGAGCTTTCGTGATGATGCGTTTGACCTTCTCTGTGAGATGGTAGCAGCATCGGTGACTCTACGGCCAGAATTTAGATCACTTTTGCAGAGGGTGAAGGAGGATAATCACGTTGGCGCTTTAGTTGTTACTTGTGGTCTACGGCAGATATGGGATAAGATCCTCCGAATAGAAGGTCTATCCGGAGCAGTGAAGGTTATCGGCGGAGGACGTATCTCGGATGGCTTTGTCGTTACCCCAGAGGTCAAGGCTTCCCTAGTTCTTCATCTCCGATCAACCTACGGACTCCATACTTGGGCCTTTGGGGACAGCCCACTAGATTTGGCGATGCTCGTTCAAGCGAATAAAGCTGTCGTTATAGTTGGCGAAGAGAAATCGAGAAGCAAGTCGATGGATACAGCTTTACTAAAGGCCATTGACAATGGCCTTCAAGCTTACCAGGATCTGTTGCCCAGAAATGTCCCATCACGACTGGATACCAGAAAACTCCCCTTGGTAAACATTTACGACCCAAAGTTTATCGATTCCATCTTCTCCGGCCCCTTGAATAACAATAGCCACGAACTCCGTCTAGTGCACGCTACAGAGAAGCGGTCTGCCAAATTATTAATGACACCTATGCGCAATGCAATGGTTGCTGGTCACAACCTCAGAGAAGCTCACCAAAACGCTGGGTGGTACTTGGCAACTGAATTCTTATCGGAGCTTGTCGGCGTCGAAGAGTACCCCATAGATCATGTCCAGGGCAATAAGACAAGCGGCCATCGGCTTCGCCACGAGCAAGATACCCTAATCGTCCCGTTGATGCGTGGTGGTGAAGCCATGGCTTTTGGTGTTAGTCGAGCCATCCCCCTCGCCCGATTTGTCCACGCAAGCCGCCCGGACGACATCAAGGCTGACCATCTTCACAATATCCGCACCGTAGTCTTAGTCGACTCGGTTATCAATAACGGCGGCACGATCGTAGAATTTACACGGTACGTGCGAAAGCTCAGCAGTGGAGTCCGCGTCGTAGTAATCACTGGGGTTGTTCAGGGGAAGTCGATCTCTCCAGGTGGTCAAGTATCGGAGTACGCTCGCGAGGCAGGGCTGGAACTCATAGCCCTGCGCGTTTCGGACAACAAGTACACGGGAAGCGGCGGCACTGATACGGGCAATCGTCTCTTCAACACGACGCATCTTTCGAGATAGTACTCTAGAACTTGTAATTATGCAACATAACTACACGCTTTTACTTCATGATCGGCCGATCAAGTGACTATAGTCTAAAGAATTCAGATTGTTAAGGAGAAGTCATGTTAAGTAAATCTATTAAATATCAAGTTTAAGGAGGTATGGAAACTAAACAACGGTGTTTTATTCCTTATGCTATAGAGTATGATGTTATAGATTAAGAGGTAGTTGTGGTGTCAATTCCCACCGTTCTTGCTGTCTAATGCTATTAAGATGCTACTATATCGCCAGACATCCTGCTCTATACTCATCAGGGTCCGGATTATCACTATCGTCATCACCGTTACTCTGAGACCTCTTAAGTGCTACCAGTCTCGGCATTATACATTACGTTAGCTATCCTCTGCTGTATTGCCCAGTCTGTTTCTCGTTCGACGCCGTAATCGCCCCTATGAGAAACCCAGTTACGAGCGGCTATTGCTAGGTCGATGAGTCCAGGCTGTCTCCCTCGGTCTACCACTCGACAACAGTATATAAGATCTATAAGTTGAGCATCGACGCCACGAGCTATTAAATCGTCGCGGGCTGTGTGTAAGCTACCTGCAAAGGTCTCAAAAGTTCCGGCGCCAACGGTTACTACTGCTGTTTCGTTCATCATTTCATCTTCTTGTAATACAAGATATTGCATGACCTATTTCAGGGGTTTAGCGATTTATATAAGGCACGGTTCGTAGGAATGCTCTGTCTTACCTCGCCGATATCGTTAATATTTCTTTGGGGGCCAGTACGATCAAAATCATCAAGCGAACGAGGACTAAATGTATAGTTAAGCGTGTTATACCTCACAGGTGCTGATGTCTAGTACTTACTCGCTAGGGTCCATTAATGCCGCCGTTCCAAAATCCAATAGCTTCAATACGGGGCTCATATCATGCTCAGGGTGTTGGAGTTCGGGCACGAGACCTCCAACCGCAATATTACTCCTTGACAAATCTTTATGGGCCAGAAACCCAATAGGGAACTCCCGGAGACTTTCTAGAGTGGCTGTAGATAGATTTACTCGGCCATCTTGCTGAGCACCACAATACGCCATTTCCAGACAAAATCTGATAACTAAACGCGGCCCCAGAGTTAGTTCGATAACGAAGAAGACCAACTTCAGCCTTCGGTGACTGGCTAAACTTACGACACATGAAAAATCTCCATAGTAGACGGCAGGGAAACAGTTCCCCTCCATATAGTTCGGTATGTCTTTCGACCAATCGCGTTAATGGACCATTCTCAATAAACTCTGTGAATATCCAAGTCCGCATCCGGTGCGGCGCGAGATCGTATGGCGTCTGTCTAAGCGGATCATCGTTTACGTCAAACGATTGGATGATATGATGGCAGTTGCGCAACCTCTATATTGTAAATCGTAAGTATATAAGCAGAGAAGCTCGAGTTAAAATACACGCACCTCCAGCCATTGCTTTTCGTTAGCAAGCTGCAACACTTCGTCTCCTTCATCCTCGTCATCTTCGTCGTATGATTTATTCCCGTTAAGATCGACATCTATATGACAGATCTTCACCGCGAATGTCCATAGACCACCTTCGTTGTGGTGTTTGACCTTATATACAGAACCGTTAGCCCCTGAACCAATTATGCCTTCCCATTGGAACCTATCGCTGCGATCGAAAAATGCTTTTATTCGTTCTGCGACTGCTTCGGCACCCCCTTCGCTAAACCACGACATCTGGTTCCCGCTCGACCCTGACATGATTGAATTCTCGATCGACTCGATCGAGAAATGCGGCTAGATCTTACCTGGCTTCCTCGTAGTGACCATATACGCGAGTCAATCCTTCACTGCTTTGTCTTCATAACATAACAAAGGCTTTGACTTTCCAAAGAGGGTATAGAGGCGCATGGTGTACAAATAAAGACACTCCGGATTAGTATCTATGTAATATGCCCGCTGGCCAAAGACTGTGGCGTTTGTTAATTAGTCCTGAATGAGATATTAAGATAGGGGTTTGTCAGGAACAAAGACTACGATACATATTGCCGGGTGTTTTTTTTTTTTAACAATCTAGAAAACACAATCTACTCGTAAAAGTTAGCATGTACTAAATAATAACAATTCAAGTCCATTTACAAAGTGATTTAGCGTAGCTATACGGCATTGAGCTTCAAGGTTATCCAATTCGAATCCGCTAAACACCAAAGCTAGGACTCTTGTAACAACTCTTCAGCAAATTACCGCAATATTAACAAGTCTTATAGAATTATACCATACTCTATTTGTTATTATTAAAATTACATTTGCTACGCCCACTTTGGTTGGTATTTCAGTGGCTGGTCAAATAATAGCCAGCCCTTAACCTAGACTGCTTTAATCCATATCACTCACTTTTTACTCTACATTTCGTGCCCACTACAACAATGAAATATTATATACAGATGCAAAGTTTACCTATCTTGCTAGTAATACTTAATAAACGAAAGGAAATGTTAAAAATTATCTATATAATTGTTAACTTACATTAATAACCATTTGATTATGCCGTAGTTATACTTAATTATCTAAACAATGACGTAATACTAAAATAACTAACCTACCTAGTTACTACTTATTGTTTGCATTTCTATATATAGGTAACTAAGCCATCTCATCCACAATTACACAATCTCATCCTCGCAATTCCGATAATCATCCAACAAGATCACTAACCTAGTGAGTCCAAAACTCCATGGGAAAAGCCCGCCTGCTCAAAAGCTGGACTACTCAAACCCAACATCTTGCTACGACGACACCACGCTCATTCTCAGCCACCCGCTCCTTAGCACATAAACCCCCCTCGCCATTCAAGATGTCGCAAAAGACCCAAGAACCCGTCATCAACAAGATTTCAGAACTGCCCATCGAACAGGCAAAATGGGTGACTCTCAAAAGAGTCGACTACACAGACCAGGCCGGCAAGCAGCGCACGTGGGAGGTAGCGACGCGCAAGACGCGGGGCAAAGCGGGCGTAGACGCCGTCGCCATGGGCAACATCCTCCTGCACCCGTCGCGGCCGGCCGCCACCATGCTCGTGATCCAGTACCGGCCGCCGCTGGACGCGTACACGGTCGAATGGCCGGCGGGCCTGATCGACGCCGAGGAGACGGCCGAGCAGGCCGCCGTGCGCGAGTTTAAAGAGGAGACGGGCTACGACTGCCGGGTGCTCGGCATCAGCCCCGTGCAGGCGGCCGACCCGGGCATGAGCGACGCGAACATGCAGATGGCCATGGTGGAGGTGCAGCTGCGCGAGGGCGAGGGCGAGGGCGAGGGCGAGGGCGACGACGACGAGCCCGAGCAGCGCCTCGAGGACGGCGAGTACATCCAGCGCGTCGTCGTGCCTCTCGGCGAGCTGTACGATCGTCTGGTCGAGTATTCCAAGGCCGAGCGCACGATCGTCGCGGCGAAGCTGTTCCATTTTGCGGCGGGGATGCACTTTGCGCAGACGCAGAAGTATTTTTGATGGTTTGTTGACGCATACCTACCTCATATACCTACATACCTATGTATGAAAGAGAGGGAGGGAGGGAGAGACCTTGACGTGTTTCCGCTATCGCGCTTAATTAGATGCGTTCGGCATGAGTACCTCCTAGCCTACATACCTAAGATACCATAGCTTGCCATAGCGTTAGTTATAATAAGAGAATTATACTTACAAGTTAATGTACAACTTGGGAATCTTCTGGTAAGTACCTAGGTACCTATCTAATAGTAAATAAAAACGCCATAATCCAGTAACCTAGGTTAAAAAGGTACATATCATATCCCTGGCATGCAGTGGTTTATAAGAAGTAGGTAAATCTAATCTCCAGGCCATTCGAGGCGTTGGGCTGGCATCCCCAACCAGTCAGCTTAGTCCTTGCGAGAACGTGTGTGCTTACAGGTAGTTAGTTAGTACTACCACTTAGGTTACATATAGTGAAGTCATTAAAATGAAGCCCCATCAAAGCGATACTTTCGGGGCTGGTAGCACAATACTACATATGTAAACTCCTTTCTTAATACCTACCTAGGTAACTTTCTTCATCAAGGACATGTAAACTCACTAACCCTACATGCATGTGGTAATGGGATTCTAAAATAACACACGCTAGGTAAACAAACCCATGTCTGCAGATGAACCTCTATACATAATAGTCGCTACCACGTGGGGGGATCAAGTAGGTAGAGTCGCATTTTGACGCCGACAAGGCCCTACGTCTACACATCAAGTACTTAAAATAGCTATGCCATTCCGACAACAAGGGATTACTCTTGCATTAATCTTCATTTCCCTCTACGCTGCACTAATCATCGCATTGCACTACTCTGAATTGACGGAAACCCGACCAGCCACCACCATGAAATCGTGGTTCTTGAGTCTGTGGTCTATAGCGACAGCTACCGCCGCGCAAAAAGACGATTTAGGATGGTACCCTCCAAGCAACACGTCTATAAACAACTTAACTGCCGCTTTGCGTGGCGAAGGGGTCTACGGGTTCATCTTCAACACCTCGGAGACGCCAGATGCGCAGTATGGGACGTATAACTGGTGCAACATGCCGCATGTTCGGAAGACAGAGTACGTCAAGCCGGCAAGTGAGTATAAGCTTAGATACGTCGAAATAGTTAGTCTGAAGCTTCTACCATATTGTCCTAAGGCAAGCGACTAAGCCCAGCTAGATCCAACGACACCACAAGCGAACTCCATACGCGAGCAATGCTTTCCCGGTGGAATCTTACCGTTGGGACTGCGACGACCAAGGACTGTATTACTACGGGAGCCCCTTCGGGAGCAACACCAAGCAACCCGCTGAAGTTTATTGGAAGGGCTATATATCACCGACCAACCCCTTTACGCCCTCAGGCTGGATCGGGACTTGCCAATTCCCCCAGATAACTTCTGCGGGGCTCGACGACTCCTGGATCCACGGTCGAGACCTTTACGAGGTCTACCACGACCTGCTCGGGTTTCTCCCCGGAAAAGACGAGGACTGGAGAGCCAGCGTGACGTATCGTGTGACCCAAAACGTAATCACGAGTCAGGTCGCCGGCATGTTAATCAACGGGATGTGGGGAACGGCTAAGGCCGTACCGCTAACTATCCAGGGGGCCGGAGTCGACAGCCTCGAGCCGCAATATAGTTGCGGAGTGGGCAGCAATCTATTCAACACGATCAAGTCCTCCTCTAACGCGGCTTGGGAACACCATCTAGAAGCCGCTACAGATTTGTTTAGCAAGTTAGATAACATATCCGGGGTGTCCCCGAGCGACTCCGGCTTCCACGCGAGTTTCGACCACTACTTCGACAACCTCTCCGCGCGACAGTGTCACGCCAAACCGCTGCCGTGCAAGCTAGAAAACGGCGCGAATTCGTCTATATGCGTTGACCAGGCGACGGCTGATACCGTGTATCGCATGGGACAGTGGGAGTATTCGCAGATATACCGCGATTCCCATGCTTCGCTTGCCGCGTCTGCTACTACGTACGGTGTCTGGATTGCGGAACTGAGTAAACACCTACGAGATGTGATAGCTGGCGAGGGTGGGCCCATCTACTTCCACAATATCGCGCACGACGGGTCCATGAGTCGGTTACTAAGTATCCTACAAATCGATGTTATGGTGGTAAGTTGCTTTGTGTTATCTTATTACAAAATCGAACAGGGGATTGCTAACGCGAAATATTCCCAGTGGCCCGGAATGGGTAGTGAGGTAGTGTTTGAGTTGTACGAGGGAAAGGAAAACGCGACGACATCTCGAAACTCAAGTACATCCAATATACGAGCTGGTAAGGGGCAATCAAAAGGGATATATGGCGGTAAGTTTGTCGTAAGGGTTTTATTTAGTGGTAAGCCGCTCAGATCCTCGAACCCCAGCCTCGGCCTGCTAGATATGGTACCAGCAGAAGCCCTACTGGCTTATTTCGACGGGCTAGTAGGGACAGATGCCAGCTTGGTCGTAGGCAAATGTAATGGTACATTGCCTGTCTAGAGAGAAATCGAGAGGGAAACCCCACATCTTGTCTCATGCATCGAGAACGTAGCAGTAGCATCAATAGTTGGCTACTCAGGGCTGAGCAGCGCTCAGCTGCTTCTCTACATCATCCCACCTACCCGCCCGCATTGGATCCAGGGCTCGGACTTTTGCTAGCCACTTTGCGGGATCTTCAACCTGCTCTCCGAGACCCTTCAGCGCGATTGTATATTCTAGTAAAGACTCGTAGATCCATTTCACGTCCTCATAGTCTTCCAGCAAGTCCTTGATATTATCAATCTCCTTCTTTACATAGGTCACCCGCTCCGTTACGGTTAGAGCTGGTGCTATGGTCGGCTTGTCGGCGCGGTTGACGATCTGCGATACCATGTATTGGTGGTAATACCAGAGGCTCTGATCTTCGGGTCCGACATTAAGAGCTTCTCGGACAAGATCAAGTTCTGCTTCGAGGAATGCCCTCCTTTCGACGTCGTTGGCTCCGCGTTCGTCAAGCAAACGTAATATCAGCTGACTTCGGGTGTGCCAGGCTGAGAAGTTAGATAGGTCAACATTAATCATTCTTGTGGTGTAGGCGAATTCGTTCTCGACCATGCTCTTGCCATCTAGCGACGGACTCTCGAGTGCAGCCACCACGTTCCTCCTGTAGCCCCATGCATGAAAGTTGCGGCGATCCTTGGTCAGCATCTTAGACGCCAGAGCAAGTTCGGCCTCCCAGATATTGCGCGCAGTCGTCGCGGGGAGTCGTACGATGGCTTGCTCGAGAAGCCACCTACGGTACTTCCATATCCAGTAGCACTTGGGGTATTCTAGGAGCAAAGGAATGGTGAATGCAAGCTCGGACTGCAACGTGTTGACATCGGCCTCGACGTCTTCCCTTCGCTTGCCCTCAACTGTAATACCATTCTTCCCAGTTGTCGGGGAGTCTCGGTATAGCGGGGTCGCATCCGAGGAAGAATGAGAGGAGTAGTCTGAAGACGGATTCGTAGTGTCGTTCTGAGAAGTATTCAGTGACGCCTTCGAGAGCGATGATCCATCCGAGGGTACGGAGAATAATCCAGAGATTAGACAGCGGCGACGGACGTTCCATATTGTGTAGTATTCGGGATTTAGACGGAGTAGTTTAGAGGTAAGCTGGAACAAGGCGGAATCGTAGTTGTTAGCCGAGGTTTGAGCGCGGATGGAATCCTCGAGGTCGCGATACTTGCTAATCCTATCGAGATCCTGCCGGCGCTGTTCTTCGGTTCGTGCAGTTCGGGCGGTGCGAGCTGCGCCGTGCTATCTTGCAACTCGTCAGCTATGCCACGCGATGTCTCTTTCCAGTAAACGCACGCTATCCATATCGAAGCTTCTTTTCCGGCGGGGTTACTAGACGAGGACAGACAGCAAGCTGTATACCTATTTCGCATATGATTATATTACCAGTCTTTATCTAATGCATTAACCTAGTATTATGTAGGAGTAGAAGTAAGTTGACGAAATGCCGTCGATAAGATAAAGGATAAAGGGAATAATATCGTAAGGTATGATGATAGTGGGGCAATAATTCCCGTCCTTAGGTAAGCTCCATCAACTTACATAACTTAATTACCTACCTAGGTTAGGTAATTAACCAGAGTAAAACAAACATGTCTCTTTCCTCACCTATATCCTTTCGTGTATCCTTTCTTGTCCTCACATTTATAAATTCATAAGTTGCAGTGAAATAAGTCAACTCCCTAATTTTGTTCATTATATTTGCTCGGGTGAAACAAAAAGAAACCATGCTACCCATTTTATTATGCCTGTCTTCTAGCTTATCATCCCCAAGAGCTTCAATAAAATTCAAATCTGGTATGAGTGCCAAGTTTGTCAAGCACGAATTGTTAGAATATGAAAAGACAATGCCAATATGAATAATCGAAGACATCATTCTACGATACAGCCCAGCTCTTCATTATATTTTTCATACCTTTACTTACACCCAGACGACTAAAGCTATTGTCATCTCATACGATTTCCATGTGAAGATGAATGACAAACTACCAGCTACACGAGCCCTGGGAATTACGAAAAGGCTAACCTAGTTATTGTGATTATAAAACAGCAGGTTCTACATGTCTTCCAAGTTGTTTGAGGAGGTAGTTGCCAGCATAACTCCATTAGTATTATAACCTAAGGTTTCATATGGCTTCAATCGGCGTTCCTCAAAATGGAAACAGTTTCCCGGAATACCTCATATGTAGGCAGTCTTCCTTCTCCTATATTCGCCTCTTCATTCCTTCCCTCACTTCTTCAAACAATGGAGGAACGCTCGTAATCCTCAATGGGCACCTGGCTCGCATACCCACTTCGCGAAATCCGACAATCCCTAATTTATTCTTCTCTCTCGACCTAAGCGATGGTATCAGTAGCTTTCATTATTCTTTCTTTTCCACAACATGCCTATCACGTCACCAGACCGGTTTGTACCATCGTATGTGCCCCTTCAAGATCGCTTTCGAGCTGCCAAGCAAGTCAATGAGTTATCACCATTAGAGCGGATTCATCGTACGGAAAATGCTGCCTCGGATGTCTTTTGCTTTACGCCGAAGCGATCTTCACCCCTTTCTGTCCGACAGGCATCTCGATCCGACGGTAACCAGCGGCGTGTCGGCACCGTCATAGGGCTCCACAGCCTAGAACAACGACAAGTCAGCAACGGTACCGTCTGGTCTGTAGGCGGCTTAGCCCCTGGAGGTGTCGACGACGGGCGCGGGCGGAGGGTGAGCTCTAGCACGAATGCTCGCCTATATGCCACTGCGTTTTCGGATACGCGACCCAAATCCGAAGATGAACAGGAGAAACACGAAGGCAGACTCGCTCTGGCGCTAAAGATAGACCGAATCCAACGGATCTTAGACTTTGACGGATACTCGACGTTTCCTCGCTGTAAGCACAAAGAGAGACTACTGCTGCGAGAAGCCAGGACGACATGGACGGGAAGCGAGTGGAGCAACGACTATTACGTGCCCAGTACGCAGACCCCATGCCTCTCAACAGTTCAGTGAGACTAACGGCTGTAGAAATTCAGAGGGAGGAGCGGTGTCTCCCTAATGCCCCGTTCAAGTGCGTAAGTTTCTCCCTTAGCAATACAGCTGTTGACATCTACCAGGGTCCTCGATGCTCCGGGCCTTCGTGACGACTTTTATTGCTCGGTAATGGCATATTCTCGCACATGCAATACGTTGGCTGTTGGCTTAGGCAATCTGCTCTATGGGTGGTCAGAAGCTTCAGGCGTCACGCTTTTAAATGCAGGACTCAAGGACGGTTCGTGGCTAACTTCGGTGGCATTCTCGTCCGAGAAGGGCGGCAAGTCAATCCTCGCCTTTGGCCGGTCAAGCGGTCTGCTCTCCTTAGTATCACTTTTCGACAGCCTACTCCCTCGCTTCGAGACGTATCATCCCGCACCCATAGCCTGCCTCTCCTGGCGTCCTACCTCTACCCCGCGACCTTCTCGAAACAGGCGCAATCCTGGCGTCCTGGTCAAGACGGAAGACCTCCTCGTAGGCGACGACCTAGGCGACGTCTATTATTACGCGGTTGAATGGCCCGAACCCTAGGAAGTAGCTCGGGAAAACTGGCGCGGTACGATGACTCTACTTGCTCGTATCAAAGTTCATTCCCAGCAGATATGTGGTCTCGCCTGGTCTCCTGATGGCGAACAGTTCGCCACAGGAGGAAATGACAATCTGTGTTGCCTCTTTGCTATTAACAGTCTCACAAATACTGAGCGTGACCTAAACTTGGACCTTTCGAAGCTGTCAATAGCTGACACGCCTAGCGGCGAAGTGCAATCTACTTCACCACAAACCCTTAACCCTGGAGATGGTGCTCCATTGTCATTGCCCGAATTCACGTCTGACAGCCCCGATCCATCATCGGCCTTGAGATACTTTCCGGCTGGCTCTGAGAAACACCGATGGCACCACGGGGCGGCTGTGAAAGCTATCGCATTCTGTCCGTGGCGTCAAGGGTTGATTGCTACTGGTGGAGGATCTAATGACAAATGTATTCACTTTTACCACGCAAACTCTGGCGCCGCACTCGCTACTATCTCGGTTGCGGCTCAGGTTACTTCTCTCATATGGAGCAAGACTCGGCGGGAGATTGCAGCAACCTTTGGGTACGCGCAACCCGACCACCCGTACCGCATCGCCGTGTTCAGCTGGCCAGACTGTCGACAGGTAGCTGCCGTACCGTAGGAGGGAGAACACCGCGCGTTGTACGCCATAGCATACCCAGGTGGTCCGAGCGATACATACCGTACAAAGGAGAGACTAAGGAGTCGCACTGCCGAAGAGGGCTGTATCGTGGTAGCGAGCAGCGACGAGAGCGTCAAATTTCATGAGGTATGGGCGGCATCCCGCAAGGCGACTACGCTTGGCAGCGGTGTTCTAGCTAGGAGCGATATCTTAGAGATGGAGGAAGGCATCGACAAGGAGGGCGAAGTGATTCGCTGAGCAGGGCAAAAAAAAAGGGGGAGGACCATGCACAACGTAACTTGGTTCATGATAAATTAAGAAAGCAGGTCATGTAAGTACATAGTAAAATAGCCCATACCCATCGACCAACGAATGTGGTTCGAGCTTTCGTACTCGATAGTGTCGGTGACAGGTAAGATACAGGAGAAACTTGATACCAACAACCAGATCTTCACCACTAATTCCGAGGTAAAAGGAGGTCGGTCTATCCAACGCGATAAGGATGCCTATCGGATTAGTCATGGTAACGAGCCACGAACAATAAATAATTATACTCCATTCTTTCGACGTCATTCCATTATGCTTCGTCAGAACTCAAAGATTTGGGACCTGTCGAAAGCGTGCCTTCTTTTATTGTGAAGTAGCGATCAAGTGATAGCACGGCGTGACGGAATGATCGGTACCTGTTGTAAGTGCGAATACATATGTACATGTGCCTATCTAAGGTACATAGGTACACAAATAAGTACACAAATGAGTACATACATCCATGTATTATTTATTAGAAGCTTTGGCCACCATCAAGGAAGGCCGGTTCAACTTTATGAGGCAGATCTAACTAACCCTATTTTGGCTCGGTCACGCTTTACTATGTAATTGCTCATCCAGTCACCGGTCACTATGTACATACCTACCTACCTAGGTATGTAATAGGTACCCATAGACTTGCCCCGCTTACTTCCTGCCCCGCCAATACCTAACTGCCTATACAAATGTAATACAGTGGACATCCGCGCACTAATAACCGCCCCGGCAGCCTTACTCTAGTGTAGGTATTGTACCTGCCTCTGCCTCTGCCTGTTAGGTACAATACATGTAGACAGTAGATATTGCACTAGGTTAGGCTTATCGGTAACTGTATTAGTGCAACAGTGGCTCAGTCCAAGTCATTTGAGTTGCTTTGCCATAAGGTACATTATTAACCTAGGTAAATTTGGTCATCAAACCCAAATCACCTGGGCTCTGAGCTGCTACACTACCTACTTGGGGTGCTGCGACCGGAAAGGTTGCCTTGACTCCTTCCCCCCACCGCAGACCAAACTCGTGCCTCTTCAACCTTTAACCTAAACTTCAACACCTTTACCAAACATCCATCCATCCATCATCATCATCATAATCATCAAACAAAGCCACTGAAACGAACACATCTTCTACCGTCTGCCATCTTCTATTTTTCTAGTTCACCTTTCTTATTTTAATACGACCGCCCCTCTTCTTACTCGTCTCCCATAGACCGTCTTATTATCACCAACAAACAACACCGTCAAGATGCGATCAAAGTTTAAGGACGAACACCCCTTTGAGAAGCGCAAGGCCGAAGCCGAGCGCATCCGCCAGAAATATGCCGACCGCATTCCAGTATGTATTCATTTCATTCATATTCCTACATGCATAGCTGTCTTGTCATTTTTATTATCTATTCAACCCTCTCGTCTAGTCGTCTTCCTAGCTTCTGTCGTCATTCTTTCCCCTCTAGCGTCCCGCACTCACCATCTCACCGCTTTGTCCGCTCTTCGATTTCAACCCTCCCAGAATCTAACCAGTATTTCTACGAACAGGTTATTTGCGAGAAGGTCGAGAAATCAGACATCGCAACCATCGACAAGAAGAAGTATCTCGTACCAGCCGATCTCACCGTAGGCCAGTTTGTCTACGTAATCCGAAAGCGCATTAAGCTGTCCCCGGAGAAGGCCATCTTCATCTTCGTCGATGAGGTCCTCCCTCCGACCGCTGCTCTCATGAGTAGCATTTACGAGGAGCACAAGGATGAAGACGGGTGCGTTTACCTCTGACCGCTGTCCTCCAGTTCTCCATGGTGATGACTTGCTAACTGACCAATCTTCTTTTACAGATTCCTCTACATAACTTACTCGGGCGAGAACACTTTCGGCGACGCCGCTTAAGACGTACGCTCTCTCAGATTTCCCCCCCAATGGCGTTAACGGTTTATCTCTGGCTGGACAACAACGATGTGATTATTAGTGGTGATGAATTATGGATAGGGACAGGAATAGTTACGACAGATGACTGATAGGGGTTGCGTCTGTCTGTCTGCCTGGTCACATCGCGTTCCCAAGTGTGTAGATGACAATTAGATGCACCCTTTTTGATTCCATATAATCAATATCAGTGTGGCCTGTCCATAAATTCATCCTATGCAGAGCCTAGGGTGATTTGCACAAACGAGCATTTGCGGTTAGATCCGTTAAAGCATCGCTATTCCCAATGATTAGGGTAACCTATAACCTGTGTTAGGTACCAAGCACCGGACCACCGTACACAGCTTGCGTTCTCCAACAGACGCTTTCTTAGATAACCTACTCTGTGCATAGCTTCGCAGGCCTCCCTCTGGGCACGGTCCTGTTATATATGGTTCCCTTATAGCTTAAAGCGTTTGAATAAACTCCAGCTTCATTTTCTTGAAACAAGTTAAAAACGATATAACAGGTCCTACCTGATACTTTACATACTTAGATACCTCTAATATAGCCACGCTTCAATCACATGTTGCCAGATTATATATATGTAACCACACCCCATGTATTGAATGGTTTCCATGTGTGTAGTTCAGTCTCAGATAGGTTGATAGCCTTCACCCGGAAACGAAGTTCTATTTACTATGTGCTTTTTTAGACTTGCTCCGTCCACATCCGTAAAAGTAGATGATACTTGCGCTTTTTATATCAGACTCGCGAGATTTAGCAGTATCGTGTCCGCCGATCTAGAATCACGAGGACTCTGGAAGAAACTATATTGATATTAGTTCCTTCTCTTATTTTATTATATCCTAAATTATCCTGCTTACTATGGTTTCCATATAGAATATCAGTGCAAGAACCCCTGAGATTCATGACAAGATAGACAATTCCATACCACTCACTATCCGAGCTCGATATTTTTATTGCAACGATACCGGCTATATACTATTTCACTTATTAGTCAAGTTGTATTCCAAAAATATTAGCTGAGGTCCTCTTGTCTAACCCTCCTCCTTCCACGCTGTACATAGGAAATAAGGGGAGGGGTTTAAAGACCAAGTATGTACTTAAGCTTTGTGCACCATTTATCTTTTTAACGAGGTTTACCAGGAGCGAATAATAAAGTACCTATTCCATATCATATCAATGAAGCAATGCAAAAATGATAACCTAAAAATGCACCTCGAGGAAAAGAAAAAAAAAATTATCACATCATTTGCCATTAGCGAATGATGGATGTAGTTCACATGATGAGAGTGGGACTCGAACCCACGCGGATTGCTCCACTGCGAAATTTTTTATATCTTTGAAAGAGATATAATTCAGCTAGACCTGAACGCAGCGCCATAACCACTCGGCCATCTCACCATTACTTCCAAGTGCGGGTATTCACAACTCGCGTTATTTTCTCCCAAGTAGCAACTACCTACTACCCCTAAGTAGTAAGTCGTTTTCTGATATCTTGGTCGCAGTAGTTGTCTGTTTACCTTCAAGCAAGATGAAAGGCAGTGTTTATGGAAGTACGAGTCGAGTCGGGAAATCGTCTTGCAGGTTACCTACCTAGGTAGTATCCCCCGTCGGACTAACTGACTAGCCTACACGCGCTCTCCATGAGCCAACCAACCTTATGGGATGTTTTTTTTATTTCTCTCGAATCTTGATGGGATTGCCATGGGCTAGTAAGGGTTTCCATCATCTATGCATTAGGTAGTTTTGCTAATATCACTTCCTCGCTAGGTAGAGTACTAGTTACCAGTATATATATATTTTTTCTCTTTACGAAGACTTTTGTCTTTTATAAGACTGATCATGCCTCTTAACCTTAGCAAAGCCGATATACTCAAGCTCTTGACGCATCTATTCTACAATTTGTCTGGCTTTGACATCATTATTACTTATCTACGTAAATACCTTGTGTGCCTAAACACCTACTCAAGGACCTGAATATAAACCTTTCCAGCAAATATCCAGGTTTGTATATTTATACGCCAGCTGCAGTGATGATCATATTCTCCGCCGAAATGTCGTGGTTTAGTTTAAATTGCTTTCTTCATACAAATTGTTTAGAGTGAGACCATGCCGTAAGAGAGGTAAATATAAATCACATCCTACTACAACGAATGTGCCAGGAGGTGGAGCAAAAAGCTTGGAAACAACGAAATCATTCCGTAAGGAACTCTAAGCCAACTATATGAACCCGTGGCTATGCATATTGAAGGTATCATTAGTTCTAGATAGCTCATCTAGAATCCTAACAGAACCAACAGCTTACCAAATTTCACAATAGGTAGCTTGTTCTATGTCCAGGCATATCTACATTTTCTAGTAGATAACCTACGCTCGGAATAAATAAGCTAGGTAGTAAATACATTGTTATCAACACAAACAAATACCTTGAGAACAGACAAGTTGAGAGGATACCTAGGCATGGGCTTGTCCCATTTGTTACCCCTTATTTTCGTCGTCTTGTTGCGGGGGACGAAAAGCAAAAGGCGGACTTGTTCTGTTACATATCTAACCTAGCTATTTCATACATTGATATTGTCCTAGATAGATTTGCGCTTAGATTAGTCCGAATACAGAAGACCATGGCGCCGAATATCTTCGGCCTTCTGGCCTTATACCTTTTAAGCAGAGGATCCAAGTAGTATCGAAATGCCAACCTTTTCGCTACCACGCCTATTATATCATTGGGCAAGATCGACAAAGGGGTAATAACTCCAAGCAGATTTCAAAATTGTCCTCGCTTGGATCTCTTCTGTCATGTATTGTCTAACATATAATGTTCTCAGATGTGGAGTTCTCATCCCAAAAAGCTCATGGAAATAATCACAGGTAGGGAAGCTAGTAGTATTATATTCCACAGTTGATAAAACGAGAATAGCTAGTAAGATACAGCGATAAGCAGCAAGGGTGTTCACATCTCAAGTTGATGAGCTATACGGAGAATATTGCCAAATACAATGAGTATCCCAGTTCGAATGAGCGCATCAGAAGATGCGTGTACCAATCCTTGTATGTAATCATATCTCGCTTGCCTCCCAAGAACTCAGCTTGTCCCGCTCTACCCATGTCTTCTTCATCCTGCATCTACTCGCACCCGACAGATTTTGTTTGAACAATAAGAAAGAGACAGAAAAAGATATAGGTTGCACCGCGCATTGAAGGGCGCAATGCGAGGCCGGCTGCAATGTAAAATAATCGTACACGGGGCGGATACTTGAAAAATCTGCTTGGAATTGGCAATAATTCCTCAGCACAGTCATATCCGCATATAATAACCCTTTCAGCGGCTCGAATCAAATGGTACAACCGTGGACTAACGCCGATTTTTCTTTGCTTTCCCCATAGGGAATAATGGTGAAGATAGAGATATCAGGTGATTAATCCGGCCCTGTCAGAAACGTCAAATCGTGGGTGGGAATCGCTCAGAGCCTCCAAACCTTCCTAATCCCCAAAACAATGCAAAATCCTGAACGTCCAGCCGATGTAGTAGTGCGTATAAAGCAACCGAGCCGAGACCGAACAACAGTACGGAATTCCGTAATCAGATGCGACGTCGCTATGCCAGCTTTATTATATTTTTTTTTCTTTCCTCAAACGTGCCTACTCCGGAGGGCGCGAGATATCATGAAGAGTTACCCTTCGCACGCTTTTGTAGTCGAGGTGTTCCGGGTGGCTTCTTGTTGGCCATTGCAACGCCGTTTACCTGAGGGACTCCGATACTCGCGGGTGTTGGGGCGCCGTTTTCTTCCTCGGCCTTTACCGTTGAAGGCCTTCTTCGCTTATTGCTTGCTGGACTTGTATTAGCGCTGGGCCCGCTAGAGCTTGTTCCTTGCTGACTCTGTTGTAGTTGCATGCCAGGTGCTTGCATGTGTCCCTGAGCGGGGCTGCCCATGTGAGGCGAATTGGGAAGCTGCAGATGCGCGGTAGCTGGTGAAGTGCCCATGGGGAATTGGCCAAAACTGGGAGTCCGCGGGTTGGGTGGGCCAGTGCCTTGAGGTTGGCCATTCACTAACGGTTGCTGCGGGGCGTTGGTAATATTCTGGTTGACGTACTGCTCAAGTGCAGCGTAAGGAGAGAGGCCTGGATGCGAATGGTAAAAGTTGAACAATGGCTAAACAATTGTACATGTTAGTAGGAGATATATAGAGCATATAGAGTCCATAGGCGACTCGGTAATATTTTATTGATTGGAAGCATCCAACTCACATTCATCTGTCCAACGACTTCTATGATCTAGGATATACTATGTTAGTAAAAGCGCACAAACTACAAAACGAAGAGCTCGTACCTCGAGGAATTGGAACACGCCTTCTGTGAGACCTATGTTTTGTTTGACGGCTGACGGAGGTAGGTCAATATCCGGGGGTGGATTTGGTGGCGACTTCAATGTCTTCGCCTTTCCCTTCTTGCTCATCTCCGGCGACAATCGCGAGTCCTGGTTATTAACCTTGAGCCATTCTTTGACCCAGTTGTGCGCCGGTCTCGCCGCCTCGGTAACCATCTTCCTCGAGTGATACTCCTCGTGGCTTTGCGTGACGAATTCTAATAGATCTAGTTTTTGCTCGCTGTCAAACTGAGCTCGGAGTATTCCTGTCGCGACGAGCTAATTGCCAAGCCGTTAGAATGCTGCCATACAGGGTTGAATATGTAGGGCAGCTTGTGCAACTTACATGAGAATTGTCGAACCAGTAGGTCAAGTGCGCTCTTTGGCTCTCGATGAAATGGCAACCGTTCGGCAATGGTCTGTCAGAAATGCCTCTCTCGAACGTCAAATTGATCCTTCGGATGCCGCTCTCGTAATGTGTATGAAAGTAGCGTGCTAGCGCAGGTTGTGTTATATCGTACTGCTTATCCGCGTGCTCTTCATTACCTGTGTCACTACCAATATAAAATAGAGAGATTCTAAAAACGCCTCTCATCGAGAAGAATTGCGCTACAAAGCTATTCCAGTACGCAAGGTCATCCTTTGTCCGAGGGCCCTAGGGAGTGAGGCATATTAGTGTTTAGTCTTAAACATGGTTAAGGCCCAGCAAGCCAAGTTCGGTAGGTATAGAAAACTTAGTACTGACAGGATAGGCACTAAGGTGCTCGCCGAACTGAAGCAGCTTTAAGAGGCACTGGCCCTTCATGCCATCGTTCTTTTGCTGTTGTTGTTGATGATGTAGTAACTGCTGCTGGATGCTATTTGGCAGTTGCATATGGGCTGCCTGTAACGCCTGCGGGGTGGGTTGCTGAGGTTGGCTTTGTTGGCCGTTCGGTGGTTGTCCTTGGCCTTGCGGTTGCTGCGGTTGATTACCTTGTGCGGGATTGGGACCTTGGTTCTGAGGTTGGTTCGGTTGTGCAACTGCCGGCGTCGGGGCTCTCTGGGGACCTTGCGAATTCTGTTGCGGTTGCTGACCTGGCTGTGGGCCTTGTTGCTGTTGACCCGGTTGCTGCTGCTGCTGCTGCTGCTGCTGCTGCTGTTGTTGTTGTTGCTGTTGTTGCTGTTGTTGCTGTTGTTGCTGCTGTTGCTGCTGTTGCTGCTGATGCTGCTGCTGCTGATGCTGCTGCTGTTGCTGTTGCTGCTGTTGCTGCTGCTGCTGCTGCTGCTGCTGCTGCTGCTGCTGTTGCTGTGACGGTTGTTGCTGCTGTCCTTGCTGCTGTGGTTGCCCTTGGGGCTGAGGTTGAGGTCCCTGGCCTTGAGGGCCTTGCGGGACCTGTTGCGCCATCGATTGTGCTAGCTGTGCCTGTTGGATTTGGATCTGCTGGGCATTCATCTGTCCGGGATGGCCAGGCTGGTTACCTTGGTGCATCTGGTTATTCGCTTGCTGCTGGGCTTGGTGCTGTTGCATTGCCATTTGCTGCGCAAGCATATGCTGCAAGTGAATATAGTTGTCAGCACGAAGTCTAGAATCGGGATGCTCGAAACGCGTGGGGGTGCGTATAACTACCTGAGCGTGCTGAGGATTTTGATGTTGGCCCTGCTGAGCAAGATGCGCCTGTTGCTGCATATGGGCCATATTGCCGCCGACTCGCATATTTGCGTTGTTTCTCAAAGCTGAGAAATGGGCAGCCGTCATGTTACCCATGTTCATCCCCTGCATATTCACAGGAATGCCCCCATACATCTGCTGTTGCATCATCGCCTGCCTCTGCTGCAACATTCTTTGCTGCTGTATTTGGGCAATCATTTGGGGATTCTGGGTTGCTACTATGGGCTGTTAGCACGATTTGATTGTCGTCAATACGGCCTTGAGCCAGGGTGAGCAAATCTCTCGGCTTACATGCGAATTGTTGCTGTTGGAATATCTGCTGCTGCTGCTGAGGGTTCAGGTGCTGTAGAGCATGGGCATTGGGGCCACCAGCACCGGGAGGCATGGCTCCCATCATGGCCGCGGGATTGACCTGTCCACCAGGTCCGGATACGGCCATGTGAGCAGCCATCTGAGGAGGCATACCCGGCTGAGCTCCCGGTTGGCTTGGGTTGTGAGCCATACCTGGAGCGCCCATAGGATGTCCTGGATGAGCGCCGGGATGCTGCTGCATGCCTGGATGAAAGCCACCGGGTCCCATGCTTGCCATCATTTCTAATAGTGTCGACTATCCACGACGTGGATATCGACGCCCAACCGTAACCGTTGTTTCATACGCTTTAGTTGCTTTTATCCGTCGTCGCGGTCCCGATGTGATTGATCGATCGGCTTTGGTGAGAGCTTTGCGTGCAGCAGTTCCTTGGATTTTTTAATTTCCTTTTCTCGTCCCTCCACGGGCAAACGCCTACAGGCTCCCCCCTCTTTCTACTGGTTATGCTATGGGTGGATGCGACTTGACGCAATGCGATCGCCGATCATGAAACGTGTATACTAGTTTTTTAGTGTCGTCGTCGCGGTTTTAAGGTCAGACTGGAGGCGTAATTCGAAGTTGGAGATGATTAGAGACATATAGATGTAGATCGCGTTGAAATGAGTAGAGTATAGAGAGAAGAAGGCTGATGAGGGATGATTTCGTTTGATCCTAGAACGCGATTATAATAGAATCTCCGGATGCGCGCTGTGCGATAGCACAGAGGTTGCAGAAATAAAATGGCTGATTAGGTTAGCGACAAGATACACTACCTGAGGCTCGCTCCAAAGACCGATCACTTTATGAATGTATCTCGATATGATGATCGTATGGTCGTCGCCGTCGTCGGAACAATTGACCGAGCTACGTCGCTGTTGTTGCTAGTGTCGTTGGCGCGCGTGGGTAGCCCAGCCGGAAGCAAAAGAGGCGGACGTGCACGATGCGATACAAGTGGGTGTTATTAGTTGTTGGCGTTGGCGTCGTGAGATTCGACCCAGGTACGGTATAGTACAGTACTAATCGACAGTAGATCTAGATTGCTAACACGGTGCTATCGTGGTATGATTTTATGCAGTGCATAAGTTGGTGTATTATATTATGATTTTAGTGTTGGTTCGATCTTAAGCAGCAACGGTGAGCGATCTTTTTTTCATTTTCTAGCGAAGTTGTTCCCGATAGTTTGCAACAACGCGGACGGCGGGTAATAGGCTAATAAAAAAGGGCGAGAAATTGGGGGAAGAAAGGGGGACACGGTAAGTAGAAGGCGTGAAAAGTATTAAGTATAAGGTAGGTAACGATGGAGAGAAGAAAAGGAAGAAGAAGAGAGGTGGTGGTTAATGCGGTAGTGGCAGACTGTAAAATTCAGTGGAAGTAAATGAACGAGCTGGGCTGAGCCAGGTAAGGCGGTGGCTATTTTGCTATTTGCAAAAGGAGGGATATGATGAATGAGATGGAATAGAAGGGTATCATAAAACGAATATGCTATTCTCCGCGCCTACGGGGAGACTTGACCCTCTGGATTAGACGCCGCTAGATGGTAGGTACCCTGTATGTAAGTACATACATAGAGTACCTACATGTACATAGGGTTTGGGGGGAGGGGCTTAGAGGACGGGCTGGAACTTCGCGCGCTTAATTCTTTATTCTTTTCTTCGATATGCCTTCTCGTTGGATCCGATAGTCGCGACCGACGAAAGGTGGTACGGCTCGCTGAGTTCGGTAGATTCGATGCGATGATAATTTAGTGACACATTGTACCGAGTACTGTGTAGATAATTTAGTCTAGTGGAAGTGTTGGTATTGAAAGTGGATGGGGGAGAACATGTGTGGATGTATGTAATCCCAATGGATCTTTCTCGCTCTTTGGGTTGGGGGAGGCCCAATAGAGGTGGCAGGTAAACAGTGCGAGATTATCTACGCAGAGATTTAGTATTCACTAAAAGAGTAATGAATATTCCCGAGAGTATATATACTGTATCCAATGCACTGTACCTAGTCCACGTGCGCGATATCAGCATATGTGGTAATTTGACAAGGCCTAGCCCCTGTCTTATCAGAGCTTAACTTCTTTTAAGTTTCGCTTCCTTCCCGACTAGCCCCGATGGTCCAATAGGGGGATAAATAGGTCTTATGTATTGTTGAAGTGTTATAGCAGAGCGGGAGAGTGTAGAATTTTATAGGCTTAACTAGCAGTTATACTTATATAAGATAACGTTTTGGGCTTCATATTGGGCCTGGCCATTCAATTGATAAGTCCTTCGAAAATATCATCCTCTTTCATTTTGTTGCCTGGACATGTATCCATCCAAGCTCAGCATTTAAATATGGAGTGGGAGAGTTAAAGCCATTGACTTGTGTGGCGTGTAGGCATGAGCTTACAGCATGTATCAACTTAGTCGTAGTCATATCTTAACATACTATATGTTCTATACTACACTCCAAGACATTGAATAGCTTGGAATACATACAATACACATCACTTGGTCTCTCATAGTACACCGGTTTGGTTGCTTTTGCTCTTATCCTGTTAACTATAATAGCCATAAGGACTATTGCATCCAGGGACGAGGTAACGAAAGACCAAGGAGATCAGCTTGCTCAATACTGCTTCAAAGAATTATATCCGTTAACTTTATGTCACCTGACAGCCTGATAGATGTAGAAGACAGAAATGAAAAGATGCACAGGATACACACATGTATGAAATGACTAATACTCGGAAGATTGCGGGAAGTAGTATGGCAATAAGACATTACATAAACAGCATCCATACAGTGAATAAGCAATTTGAATAGTACTGTATCCATACACTTTATGCAAGTTGGAATATGTATATTATTTTTAGTGCCCGTGTTTGACAGCAACGTTGGCAGCTGGCAATTGGCAGGAACCTTACCTAACCTTAGGTATCTTAAGCAGCCCGTTTGTCTCACGTGACACTCAAATTTTCCGCCCGGCGGGGTTGATCCGTTTCCACCTCCCGGGTCCCGCCCGATCCACATTAAGTTTTTTTTTTTTTTTTTTTCTCTGCTGGCGCGACTTCAAAAGCTTCAAACGTCGCGCTCTGCTTTAGAAATTCATCTTTTTTCCTTCTCACAACATTCTTCTCTCCCCCTTCCCAATCTATCTTTTAGAGGCTACAGCCGGAGATAGACATGTTCAGATTGCGAAACTAATGCCTACGCTTGCTGCAGTGTCTTTTTAAAAGGTTTGTTGTTCTATCTCCTTCACCAGCAATGCAAAAAGCATACCACTTTCCGGCATATTTCCCCAATCAACAGGATGACATCCTATAAAAGTTGTCTTCTTTTCCCAACTGAATCGACCTTGAAAGAAATCTAGTCTGTTCGGGCTATTCTGCTACGGTGGATGCCTGTTACTTGCCAGTATTATTTGTCTGACTTCCCATCACGCGATCCACGTCCTGTGGTAGCATGTGATGGGATGGATTGGGGATCATGTTGTGCCGCTGCGCTTCGCATCACAAGATCTCAGCACTTTGCTAACTCAACAATAGGGTTTCTATACCGTATACTTTCTAGGAACATTTTCCAAACTTAGTCCAGGTTAGTCGGCTTTTTCTATACTCGAGATCCTATTCATGGTGTTTTCATGATGAAAATTTCCAACCACATTCGCAGTTTCCACTTGAGCTCCACTCAGAGCCTTTTGAGGAGCAGATGAAAGCATAATCCTTCCTTGGATGTCTGAACGACACCGCAGATTTTATATTTTGCTAGCAATTCATCGTTTCTAGAATTTCTTACTAACGAAATCCCAGGTAGTACCATTTCATTATGCGTTTTTCATGGGGTCGACGCAGACATAGATTTCTTGGAATTTAAAACCATTTGGCTAGCCGCTAGATATTCAAAAGATAATATGATATTGATCCAATTCAAAGCTTTTCTCGTCGCCCGCCTTAGTGATGCACTTAAAACCAATCCAGTGTGGCCAGACGCCGTAATTCCGCCAGTGATGCGTTAATACACACGCTATGTAGATACAAAATTAAATTACCTCAATACCTTCGCGTATCCCTTCCCTTAAGAGGCCATGGTTGATAGAGCTATTGTTGTCCTGTCGCTTAACTCTTCCTCCAACCATACCCCTCCGGTTCCTACCAGTCCGACCTCTACCCAGCCAATTTAACTTGAGCAACCGGCCTAGCTCGGCTACCATCTTGCTTGCTTCGTCCGTATCGGCTGGGTTGACGCCTGTGTCGACGCTAGCCAATACGCTCATGCACTGAAGCATACGGCCTACCATATCCGTGACCTGCTTGCTATCCTCCACGTTCTGTTCCCGCACGCTTCCTAGCACTTCCCTACCTCCGTCTCTTGTCTGCGGCGTAAAGGACCTGAGCAGACTTCCGGTACCAGTAGAGGCTCCGTCGGACACCCCGCTGCCGAAAGATACGTTGCTGATAGCACGGCTCCGAGACGGATTTGAGTCGTTGCCGAAGACTGTCGTTGAGGTTGAATTGTAGCTTGCGACGCTTGGATCTAGCGACATGGCTGTTCCAGGGCGGCCCGATAACGGATCATTTGGTGAAGTCGAGAGGGATGTCATGCTCTCGTTTAAGAGCGGCGGCGATGCTAACGCGAGAGAGGCGAGCGAAGATGGCAAGTGCTCAAGAGATAACCGGGAGAATATAGTCTTGAGCTTCTCGTACCGAGGAAGGATCAGGGAATCTCGGTATGAGATCAGTACAAGCCTTCGAACGTTAAGAATGCTTGATGCCGGTGACAAATGCGGCTCGGCATTTGATCCGCCTAGCTGGGCATTCGGTGCTGCATTAGCTACCACCCCGCCCCAGAAGTCCCGCGCCTGCTCGGGGGTCAACAAGGATCCGCAGCCGGAGAACTCTAGGTCCAGTGGGAGAAAGATTGCCTGCATATAAGGTAAGACATTTGTGAATGTGAAGATCCATAGCTCTACTAAAGAGGGGATCAACCTATCCTCAGAAGTTGTGCGCAGTGTGTGGTCAAGCGAGGCAAAGCCTGTCGAAAGGAGATCTCGTAGATCGTCGATAATGATATGGGCCAGACGGCGTTGTATGCAGTATTGGATATGCATGGTTACAACTCGGTTGAAATCCTCCACCGGCAACCGTAGATCCTCACCCTCGAAAATGACCAGTAATTTGGCCCTCAAGAACGGCCAGGCGTCGTCCAGAGACATATTATGAAGCCCATATTTAACAGAATCGATAGGTTCCGAAAGGTAAGAATGCGTAGCTGCTGCTGCCGACCCGAAACTACTAGGCCCGGGCCATTCCGTGCCAACCCCGTATGTCGATTCGTTGTCGTCCTTCCGCTTCTCGCGGAGAGCACGCCCTCCGTGTCGCAAGTCTAGCCCGCTGACGCTTTTACCAATATTGTTGTTCGGACCCGGGCTCGGTGGTAGGTTGAAATTATAGAGGCTTGATGGCGCGCTAGGATCGACGGGTCGGGAGTTGCTAGCAGCAGAGGAAAGTGGGAGATGATAGTCATCTTTACTGCTAAGCTTATGTTTCTGCCGCGATAGAAAGTGGTGTTTCTTCTCCTTATCTTTTTCCTTGCCTTCTCTCTCCATAGACGGGTCAACTGGTCGGATTGTGGCGGCAGATGAGTTGCCCAGGTTATAGAATGACTGCGAATCTACTAAGCTGGTTGTGCTAAAATTGGCGCGCTGTAGCGAAGCCAGAGCAGAGCCAATCTTTCCGGGACTCGGCATCGGTCGTTCTTTCGCTTCACCCTTGGTATCAATCTTCTTTGGCCGAGAAAATAGCTTGACCTTGGACTTCTCGGCCTTGACAGGCTTCTCCGAAGCGGCTAGGGGCGTAGGTGTAGGGAAAGACTGATCTGGCGGTGGTATGCTAGGCGAAGTTTGGGGAGACCTTGGAAAGACAACATTCGCCGCGGCAGCAGCGGCAGCATGACTTCCCAGCAGGCCGTTATGATATCCTTGCGCGCTAAAGCCGTTATCTCGCGGGGCGCTCGCTTCGGTTAGACTTAGCATAGGAGGGCTGCGGTGACCGGTTATTGGCTTCGGGCCTGATCTTTTCAAGGAGTCATGGGCATCGCTGCCAGGGAAAGGGACGGTTTGCGATCGATGACGACTATGTTGTTGGTGCTGCATCACGGCGGCCTGGGCGGCTATTTGACTAGCCGAGAGTGTCGCGCCGGTAGCCTGGGCCGGGGCTGGGGCCGAGGCTGGTGTCTGGGCCTGAGACATGACGACTTGGGAAAGGTTGGATATGCTCGTGGAAGGTAACGTGGGTTCGAAATGGCCTTGGGTTTGCGAGTGCTTTCTTACGTGACCGACGCGAGTAGGAGGTAAGGTCAATGGCGAGGCAGTTCTCGACTGCGGAAGCTCGATACTAGGTCGAGTGGGACGGGAGAAGTTATGCGGACTGACAACGGGGCTCTGAGGAGCTCTCGTCTTAGAAACGGAAACAGTATCGTCATTTGACGATGTGTCTATCCTACGAATTTGAGGTCTCAGGGAAGCGGAGGAGGAGGAGGAGGAGGAAGAGGAAGCGGCTGCGGCTGCGGCGGTGGAAGCCGAAGAAGCAGTACCGGGGAGAGGAGAGAAGCTCCCCGGTGCTCTCTGCTGGGATCGTGCTGGCTGCATTGTGTGATAGAAAAAGGTCCGAGTTCCCAAATTCCGTTACATCTTCTCCCCGAACCAGCGGTATGTATGATCGACACCCGACCCCCGGTATCTTGACTATGGATTTGCGCTCCTCAATTACCGTACACGGGTGTAGTAGCGCAAATATATCTCCGATTGAATATGTAGATTTATCAGTAGCCGAGTAGTCGGCGCGGAGATAGGTGGTATTATACAATTGCAGAACTGTATAATACAGAAGTGGGTTAGGTGTTGAAAAGGTTGGTTATTGCAGCGCCGCCGATCTGATATGAAGTTCTAATACCTAACGTATGTACTAGGTACTAGGTACATGAAATGTAACATGAATGCAACATTAAACCTTAGTGTCCACGTTACGATGCGCCACTAAAAGTACGTTTAGATCGAATGTACCTGCTGCATCCACATGGTTATGTACCTAGGTACCTACTTTAGGTACTAGATAGCACTAGCCACACACCCCGCGCTCCTTTTACTTGCTGCCCCGCCATCATCTAAAGTTCCACAATCTTAAACTTCCACCCAAGTAAAAACAATCATATACCTTATGCCTTATGTTCTTAAATCGTTTACAGGTTACAGGTCTTATACATCTTCTCACATCTTCTCACATTCATCCACAATGCCGCCCTCCGCCTCTTCCCCAGCACCTTCTTCCGACGATAACACCTCGGCAAAGAACCGAGCAGCCTATCTAAAAGCAACATACACCAACTCCAACTCCTCCGACCCTTCGATATCGTCAGCCGAAGCCTTTGCACTTTCGACATCCCTCTCCCTCCCCGAATCCGGCACTACAGACCACAAAACGTTATACCTACGCACCCTGCGTGAAGCAGTGTCTTCTCTACAAGACGATGTAAACAGTGAGCTGACAGCGCGCATGGAAAAAGAGGCTCACGAAGCGGCTGTCATTGGGGATGGTAAAAGGGGCGGGAAGAGCATTACGGCTGCTGGCGTCGACGAGGCGGTCGAGGAGGAGAATTATGGGGAGGAGGTAGTAGAAGATGATGAGGAATGATGGCTGGATGCTCGACGTGGACGTTTGCTCGAGGCTACTCTTCTATGCTTCTCTAAACCAACAACGCAGCAAGAAAACGTTATCAATTTAACTACACGAAGGGGGTATTGCCTGCTTAATCGCCGCTGCTCTCCAGAAGCATGCAACGATACCCATTGGAATGCTCTAAGGCCTAAATGAACCGGAACACCTGCGCGCCATCGATATATGCGACAATGGTCCATTCCTTCTGCCTTGACGAACCAACCGTTCGGGCCCCGAAAATACCCCCTGCCCCGATGATATAATAGTTCGATTTCGCTCCCCGGCTATGTATATGAGCTGTGTTAGATATCAGTTGGTTTATCCGTGTCTCCCCCATGACCCAGCGATCACCTCGCTCCGGCTACCGCTCATGCTGCGCCCTCGCCTTCCTAGACATCCGTAGTGGACTACGCTATTATCTGGAAGCACTGCTACCACGCTGTTACCTAGCCTCTTGTGGCAGACACCGCATACTCTCTCCTCGCCGATAACTACCTTCCTACCGCGCCCGCTCTGCCCGCCGGAGATACCGTCGCCGAGCAGCAGCAACGCCTGGGTATTGATGAGCTGCGTTTTGCGAAGCCCCTCGATGATGCGCGACTCCGATACCACGCTATTAGCTGCGCGGATCCGGCCTCGGAAGTACGATTCGAGCTCCGTCACGGGCAAGTCGTCTGGTATAAGGGACAAAGTTGACTCTGCTGGTAGACGCGAACCGTGTCTCGAAAGGAGCGACAAGGCCGGGCCAAGATTTGGCTTGTTAGGTGCCGGTGGATTAAGGTATAGCGAGAGAAGCATGTGGTAGATAGACGGCTTCGAGTCGGGATCGCGATCTTCCTCGTCCGCAGACAACGAAGCGGCAAAGGATTCCCGGCGAGAGCTAGGTAGCGCGTGAATGTGATTGCAATATCTAACATCTCTTGTCAGTTAACAGTCACTACCAATAGATTGTGTAATCACTTACTCTTCCGCTTTAGTATAGTCCTGCATATTGAATACGTAGATCTCCAGTGCTTGCTTGTGCGAGCCCATGTTGCTGAATACTATAGCCCGAGCTTCGTAAAATACAGAATCTACATATTATTAGACGACGCTGTTAATTTCCCCTATAATTTATAGGGTTAGATGACTCACCATCACGAGGAATTATGCTTAGTGCTTTGCTAAGGCTGTACTGCTGGCTTGCTTTCAGGAATGCCACTAGACTATCCAGCTTCTTACTCCAGGCTTCGTCTCGCTCGCCTGATTTTAGTGCCTGGACTAATAGCTCTACTAACCGGTTGTGAAAGTCTGGCGTGCCGTCTTCTAGCTCCGTGATGATGTGTTGCAAATACCGTATTTCTAGGTTGACATCTATGGCGCCGAGATACCGGACAACCCTTTCACGCGGCAAGGTCTCGGCATTTTCGCTATCTGCCAGAAAAATCTCCATGCCTTGGTCGGGATCCCGCCGAAGGACCCAGTCAGCAAACTCGAGAATGATATCGATCATCTCTGGTGGCAGACTCTGTAGATAGCCGACTGTCCTATGCGAACCCCGGAGCTGTTCAGGTATGACGACTTCGACGTCCACGTGCCCATTAAGGTCCAGCTTAGCTGACTCCCCCTCCGTTTCCGCGTTGCCGAACTTGCGAAGGAGGGTGAGCGCCTCGCGGTGGAGCTTCTTTCCGTAGAAAAAATCAACTAACTCATTATACCGGTTATGCTTAAGCAAATGCTCGTTTACTACTGCGGGATCGCAGAAGTTCGGGATGCGGAAGAGAGAACCAGCAAGCGTCGGGGTAACAAACATTAACCCACGGAACAGTGCTGTATCAACCAAGGTAAAAGTTTGCTTCAGCTCGTGTTCAAGTTGCTCATCGGACTCCGAATGGGAGTTTGTAAGTAGAACGTCGAGGTTCTCATGTAAGTTTATCATAGAATCGCGGTTAGCTTCTGTCTGGCGCCGTTTCAGCTTCCCAGTTGCCGGGTCGATCCATCGCTGTAGACGAGCTCTAGTACCAGCCAGGTAGCCGTTGAGTTCGCGAACGGCCTTGACTAACTCTTTTCCTTCTAACGGCCCATCCTCATCCGTGCCCTTCTTCTTCTTCTTTGGCATAACCCTCACGCTTGCGGCATCTTCATTATCAGTCCCACCCCTTTTAGAGGATGCGATGGACGCTGTATCGGAATCCGTTTTGCGGTGTCCCATCCAATACTTTGCGAAGGCGCCCGGTTTAGACGGGGATGCGACCTCGACAGGCATGTCGCCCTTGGCGGCCTTGTCGCCGTTGACCTTTTCATCCTCTTCTTGCTCTTCTTCCTCCTCTGACGATTCCTCTTGTGTAGGTTCAGCAGAGAGGTCACCAGCAATTATCCTAGGGTACAACCTCAGTACCCTCTGAGCAGGCGCGTGCACCTCATCCTCATTAAATAATGCCAAGCTTTCCGCGAATTTCCTTTTCTTGAATAGTACTTCCGCTTTCAGCATCTTGGCCTCACGCATGGTGCCGGTCTTATCCTTCAACAGTGCATCTTCAAGCATGCCGAGCACGCTTATAGCTTCGTCGTAGTTAGCCTTGTCTATAAGTTCCTTGACTTGAGTATCGTAGTCCGTAGCCTCCATTTTCCATACAGCACGGTCACTGCTTATATGGAATCCCTTACCGGCGTGGGCAAGACTAACGGTCGGTGGCGGAAAATGTAACTGCGCTGCTCCGGGGAGCTCTATCGTCTGTAGGAGACTCAATGTGTCCGGGTTCCGCACTTCTAATGTACCTTTGATGGGCGGCTGGAGTACCAAGATGTAAGGGTAGCTGTATCCAATGCTCTCGGGCGCACTCTGCCACGGCACCTGACGCTTCTCTAACGGCCTTCCATCCACATCAATGAATAGCGAGTTGATGTCTTTTGCAAGCAGCATTTGCCCCTCGGCTAACCTCGTGGATAGCGGTTTTGGCATGTAACCTCCGAGCCCCATATAACCCATACTGGCTGCACCGAACCTGCTACCCTGCCCTCCGGTCGCAGCGGCACCCAGTCCCACGATCTCTTGCGTTTCTAAAGTAACCACATCGACCAGTACGTATCCTGCATTCATGCCGCAGACTATCTTGGTCGCATTTACCCAAGTAAGAGTCCTGATGGCTTCAGGAAGCATAATCTCAGTAACCTCATCATGTAACTCGCTTTCGTGCCAGCTCCACAGCAGGAGTCGCCGTTTCACAGCTACAGCGAGACGGCTGATAATCTCGGGTATGCCGGTGGCAGCATCCTTGACGATGTTGCTGGTGATAGCAAAGCAGGTGGCATTCCTGGTTCGCGGTATCGTTTCGATTAATTCGTAGGTTTGGAGATCGTGAAGGGAGACGTAGTAGTTGGAGAGGGAAACGATAGTATTAGACTCTTTGATGATGGCAAGCTGCTCGATGGCGCGAGTGGAGAACTTCTCTACTTCACGCAAAAGGTCTGTGGGGTTTGTACTGGAGCTTCCATTCGATTCTCGTTGTGGACTAGTCGGAGAGTGTGTACCGTTGGTAGTAGTAGATTGTGACAGGTCGTTCAGGCGGTAAATCCTCAAAGAGCCCGTGTTTAGCCCAACAAGAACGCGATCGCCTATACAAGCTCAAGTACGGTATTAGATTATCAGATAGGTAACAGTTGCACGATACTATTAAGAAGCGGTGATACAAACCATAAGCTAGTATTGTTTCTATCTTAGACTTGTCGCGCGGCCTCAGCTCGATGATGGGGCGAGCCGTGAATGCGGAGAGCATGGTGCTCGGGAGCTATCCTGGGAGGATAGGCATTGATTGTTGTATTTATATGTCCAATGGAAGTAGTTGGGTTCGTAGATCCTCGTAGCAATGTGTAGGACGTGTGGGAAGTGCATATATTTTATATAGGTCTTAAAAAAAGAAGAAGAAAAGAAGTATGTTTAAGTTGGTGTAAGTTCAAAGTGGTAGGAGGTAGGAGGTAAGAGGTAGGTACATAAGGTAATGAGTTAGGTAAGGTATGTACCTACTGTAGGTACATATGTCATCTGAGAGTTGGAGACTTCCAATGTTTGTGTTGAAGCTATTGAAAGTGGGTACAAGGTACAATACCCTTTGAGGCTTTGATACCTCAAGCTATGACCACATAGGTAAGCTCCTAACCCTTATTAGGTAGTAGTAAATGCCGGATCCACGTATGCTTCCCATTGGATACGCAGTGTTAAATACATAGGTACCTAATAACACATGTACTTGCACATGTCTGAATTTCCTTACATTAGGTACAACATGCAAACACAAACCAGCCTTATATAGTATACGCAGATTGTAGTAGCTATGGCATGATAACCAGGGTCCAAATTTACATTATCTAAAATTCTATGTAGAAAGTCGTCCATATTCCATCTCGTATGTACACAGCCATCTAATATTCTATAACATACCTTAGGTAGGTATAACATATACAACCATCATACTACCAGTTCAACCTAGGCAAATCCTCTACATTCTGATAATCCGCATGGCCCCGTATCCGAGGGTGACTACAACCACCAGAGTCAACAAACTACTCGGTACGCCACGGCTGATAAAATGTTTAACACTCAAGTACCGCTGCCCCGTGGGGTCCTCTTTCATTATCGCCGCTGCAACATGTCAGTCATTATTCTTCCATCTAATAGGGCTGTAGGTAACTCACTCATATTGGGGAACCCGCTAGTTGGCAACCCCATCGCTGCGCTACACATGAGTACCGCGCCCATGACAAGTAGGTTAGGATGCGGTTCGTCCATGCCCTTTCCGATATCCGACACGAGCGGTAGGATAATTAGCGCAGCTACTGTGTGGCTAATAAAAGTTGCGATCACCAAAGTCAAACTTGAAAAGATTAGTAGAACTCCGTAGAGGTCTACCCCGTCCACTTCGTTGGAGATTCTTCCCGCCACCGTATGAAGGAGCCCTGACGATTTCACGGCCTTGCCAAGAGCTAACCCCCCGGCCGCGAGGATGATGATTGTCCACGGGAAATTATTGAAATCTTCTTTGGTAAGTATGCCAATGCCGAAGAACAACACGATGGGTATAATGGCGATAATTCCCATGTCACCGAATATTGACTGGAGTTGATGACTTGCACACCAGAGACCGATGGTGGCAATGCATATGATTGACACAAACCACTGCAAGCCAGTGAACCGTTCCTTCACTGGCCTGATCGGTACGATCGTGGTACCCTTGTCAGGCTGGAAAGTGAGAAGAAGAAGGATCCAAATTAGAATAATCGATACGATACCCACGGGGATCACAACAAAGAACCATTCGCCCCAAGTCGGCGCCGGCTCCATGACGCTAAGCGCAAAAACGTTCTGGGGTGAGGCGATAGGAGAGAGCATGCCGCCAACGTTAGAAGCCAGTGCTATACCCATGATCACCGCCTTAGACATGTTAGAGTCAAAAGGGAGGTTGCGCAGCATAGGCTGTGAAGCTTCTTGTCAGAGAGGTTAGGCCACTTCGGAAGGGGTCAAAACTTACCTCGATAATTGAAAAGCAGAGAACAGGAGCTGCTACATTGCTGACGAGCATGCTGGCAAAAGCAGCCACGAACATAGTGGCAACGAGTACAGTCCTCGGTTGCGTACCCGCCTTACTAAGGACGAAGGTTGCAATCCGCTTGTCAATCTTACATTTGGACAAAGCTGCAGCAATAGTGAATCCGCCTAGCAGTAGCATAATAACAGGTGTCCACATGGACGCGAAGACGTAAGGAGTGGCATCTACCGAGTCTAACCTCTTATATGGCGGTCTATCATCGCGGACGACTCTGAGGACCACGCAGAGGAAAGGGATTAATAGAGAAGTCACGAAGAGAGGGATTGCCTTGAATAGAGTTAGTTACGTAGGCGATGAGACATAATGTGTCAAAACTCACCTCGGTAGCCCACAGCAAACTCACAAACACCAGCATAGCTAAACAGCTCTGCTGTTCGGGCATCTCCATAATAGGAACGAGGAGTAGAACCAAAAAGATAGCCACGATGCCAAGAAGTATAAACATAGTAGAGCTGAACAGCCAGGTCGGACAAGTAAAGCGTCCAAACGGTGTCTCAATTTCTTTAATAGGTGTTACGGGGGCATCGTCACCTTGCAGCCTCACCTTTATCCCGTCGTTCTGGGCGCCGAGAAGACCTTTTCCAAGGCTTGCGGCCTCGGCGCGACGCTCGAGACCGATAAGATCTCTCCATACCGTGTTTCGTTCCCAGACAACGTGTTCCCTAAGGTGCGACCGAAGATCCTTCTTGGCGAGAGCCTCGTCGCCATGCGTCACCGTGTCGGCATAGGCCTTCTCCATCTTAGCGATGTTCTCCTCGACGTGCTGGAGAGTCTCGCGTAGAAAGGGATAGGAAGTCTCGACGGCATCCTTCATGTATATCGGCCGAAATTCCTTGTCGATGATCTTGTCGAACTTCTTAAGTACCTTGCTAAAACCAGTCTTGTTCAGTTGTACGTATGACTTAAGCTCACACAGCTGCACATAAAGGCCGATGATACGCTTCTTCAGCATGATGCCAGAAGAAAACATCTGGGCCGTCTCAGCATAGTCATCATATCCGATGCTGTACCTACGCGACCTGGTAAGATCGGTCGAAACCGTCAAGTCGGTAGAAGCGAACATGGCACTCGGGACCGTGCGGCGTCGGCCGCCAAGGCTCAAGCGGCGCCTCCTATTCAAAGCCGAGGTCTCATCTTGATCGTCGTCGTCGTCATCGCTATCATCGACACCGTCGTCAGTTGAACGCGTACTACGGGCGCTCTTAGAACTCCGAGTGCCAAGAGTATGCGTCACTTGTTCGCTGGCAGGATACTGCTGCATGACTGGCCTCTGGGCAAGCTCGGGTTCGTTGTAGTCATCCGTATTGAGCGACTCGATATCGCGCATCAGATCATCGACTTCGTCAAATAGCTCCTTCTCCTTGACGCCATAGAAAGACGAGATCTTTTCTAATTCTACATCCAGAGCGCGACCGAAGACGGTTTCGGGTTCTTCGATTCGTAGGAGCGGTCGTGTTTCGACGTCGGAGACAGCTGGTTGGTGCACAGTTTTCTCGAGTCCGTAGATTCTACAGCGAGTGATGACTTACGGTTAGGAATATTTAAGAAATAATATACGATAGGAGATAGCAAGGACGAGGATAGAACTTACAACTTCTTAAGATTGCTATATGCAATGTAGTGGCTGCTCCAATCAGGAACAGCGTTGAACTGGATGCTATGAGAGAACTTCATCTCGTCTTGCTCGTCAAGCCAGCGCCTCTTCTCGTCCCTCTTAGCTTTTTGACGCTGTTCCCTAGCAGATGGTAGCTGCTGTAGTTCGTAGGCCTCTCCAGATATTCCAGCAATTCCAGTAATTCCAGTAATTCCAGTAATTCCAATTATTCCAGCACTACTCCCTCCTCTATCCTCTGGCTCCGTCTGTGTTCGGACGGGATGGTGGGGAGCTTGTTGCGCGTGTGCAGTATCGCAGGAAGAGGAAGAGGAGGGGGTCACCAGGAACGTTGAGGGTGATATGGTGGAAGTGGTGAGGGTGGAATAAATCGGTAGAAACTGTAGAAAGCTTTTCGTCCTTCCAGGTCCAGCATGAAATGGTGAAATCAGAATTATACGCGATGGTCCACAACGGCGTCTAACCTAATGTAAAGAAGTATGACTTTCTTCCCACTTTATAATTGCAAGCCGGTTGCAGTAGATAATGCTAGTACATAGATATACACTACATGTAGGTACTCTAGGTTAAGTGTATAGGTATGCGTATAGTGTATATGTAATAAGCTGGTGAGGGTTCATAGTGTCTAGTTCATTAATGCGCTAAAGAATCCGGTGACGAATAGGAACCTTATTGAAGACCCACGTGTGGCTACCATGTATACAAGCTCCACCAGCCTCCAGCCACGGGAAGAGGTACCTCCATCACACTCAAAATACCTCATAAATACCTAAGTACAAGTTGATTGGGTATTGACAAAGTTGTTTGAAAGTTGATATATTTTAATCCCATATATGTATGTTGAGCTTTTTTGAACCTAACAAAAAAAACCAAACAGGCTTAGGTACCAGGTATCTTACTTTAACATGTTAGCTAACTAGGTACCTAGGTAGGTAGACATCTAAACCTCTTGTTAGTCGGTTTTAGTCTTATAAATCAAGACTTTTTCTCTGCCCCTTCAAAAGGCTTTGAAAGCTTCGAATATACATAGCTACTTAACCTAACCTAACATAAGTTGGCTTGAAGTTCTTTGTCGGGCAGAATTTCAATAACCCGAATATAAGTTTACGAAATGTAATATCTAACCATACATGGAAGAGTCTAGGTTACATATTTATCCTAACGCCCAGCTCTGACTAGACCCCCTTTTCAAGAATAATTTCAGACTTGACAGAGTGATCTACAGAGATCGAAATTTTTCAGGTAGAAATGTATATCTTCCTCTAAGGTTCACACAGAAATAGCTATATATTATTTGATAAACTGCGTGATACCAGAATACAGAGCCAAGCCAACCTTCTGTCTGTAGGCAACCATACCTTTTCTAATGGGCGTTTGCAGCGCGACCAATCAGAAACATCTGAAAGATCATGGCTGCAAGGTTCTACTATGCATATAAATACCTATCATTCATTTCGGATACAGACCATAGTCTCAGATCTAGAATATCGCACAAACTTTGCCCGATAGGCCACATTCGTTCAACGATCGACCGGTCAATATGCATCGACAACCTCGGGAACTAGAGGCCCGTCGTCGTAGGCTAGCCGCCGAGGCTGGACGGCAGCGAGCGGCAGCAGCCCGCCCTCTTCAAATCATCACGACTGGGTCCGAGTCCGAGCCTTTGGCTGAAATGGACGTGACAGGATTGGGTCGTCTAGCTGATTTGCCTAATGAGATCATTATGGTAGTCTTCAACAACTGTAGCCTCCGTTCTCTCTTACGACTTGAACGGGTGAACAAGGCTGCCAAAACGTTCGTGAACCTCTTACAAGATATCGAGTACATCAAAGAGACCGCGAAGGGTATTATTCAACGTGCCGTGCCACATTACCGCAACTTCATGTTCACTATCTTGAAGATCACAACGTATCATGGATTACGATATCTTTTAACTACCTTTACCTGCGAGACTTGCGGCAAGCCAGGATCGTTTCGTATGATCAAAGTCAAGGTCCTCTGTGAGGATTGTCACTGTCCCAAGAAACAATAGGAAACCCGAAGGTGACCTCATGCCGATTAGAGACGGTTCGTTAGAGCACAGAATACAACATTTGCTTTCTTTTCTAGGAAGACTAATATTAAATCGCTAGTTTCGATGGCCTAGGGGCGATTATACCAAGGATCTATGTACAAGCATGCGACTTTGATTTATTATATTACCTACAAGCTATTAGCAAGACCAGCAAACAAAAAGAACACACCAACGCCAAAATCATGGGTTGGAAATTATGATCATGATATATGAAATAGGTGTTGGCAACATCGCGGACTTTACTTTGTCGTTACTACTAAATGCTGCTATCTATATCTTAATAACAGTCTCATTTCTAATGCTGGAGTGAATGATGGTAACTTATACGAGATGGCCGTATATAAAATACAGTATAGCTTCCAGCCTTGGAATTTACAACTAAAGAGGGTGATGACTCGATAAATATAACGTCAGCTTGATTAGATGGATGGGTGATGATTTCGAGGAGCTACTATTTTCTATCTACCTGGCTAAGGAGGCTGCTTAAGACAGTGGCAAGGTCTATCAGAACAATATAGATAATGTGATATCACTACTATGATAAGATCAACAAACGCTATTATATAGCTCCCTGATCCCGCTACGTGGCCCAAAATACTACAGTAGTGATAATAACTAGCCATACTTGATGTTAACTATCTATAATCATCATCTGCGATTTCTGAAAAAGCTCATGCGATGTACTAGAATGAAAAAGGGGGCTACCCCTAATTCAACGAGTATTCGGCATCTGACATGTCGTATTGCCACATTCCCTAGGCGTATAACAAACTACAGCTCTTAAAATGATATTTATATCCAAGTAATTTGTCCGCAGTTTTATAATTGCCGAGGCACGTAGAAAGCTACCACTAAATCAAAGCCTTAGCCTTAGATAAGGAGCTCTCGAACGGAATGGGAAGTCACTAAGCGTCTAGCACGGCTACCCGGTACAGATCATTGCTATGGCGCTCGCAGATGCGCAAGAAGTAAAGTGGCTAGACAGGGTCATAGTGCAGAAAGAGAAAAGCTATAATTACTACGTGCAACGTGATTACAAGGCGTTCCCTCCGCAAGCTACGGACAGCGAGTCAGCAGATAACTAGAGCGTCAAGCCAACCGTGCAGGAAATTACGGTGAATCCCGTCATCTCAAGTCTACGGATAGGAGATACGGTGGAGAGAGATAATGACAGAAAGGTCGAGTGCTACGGTTATGCTCTATCGAACGGCGACAGTGGTCCTGTCTTCAAGGTCGAAGTCAGTACCGATGGAGCTCATACATGGACTGATGCATGATTCGAGCATCACGACGAAGAGAGAAACTACCTTAGCACAAGGGGTAGGGCTTGTTTCTCCTAAATTCCCGTGACTAAGATATTACTTCCGTAGACAGTGCCTCCGTTTGCTCTAGCAGCCTGCACAAAGAGAAATACATTAATGAAAGGGTTCGAGTAAACGATATCTTATTTTTTATACAAAGAATAAAAGAATACTCAAGTATGACCAAAAGTTAATAATAATTTGCAGAACTTATTTATAGGCTTGGACGCAAAGCTAGCGTGTGTGCCATTACGAAGTTAACAAAAGGGGCATGAAGAAATCAGGTCAAACGACCAGTCTCGCCACCACGTTCAAAGATTTGTAGGCTCGCAAGAATGTGTGAAAGAATAACGTGGCAGGGATAACCAGAAGCTTATCTAGACTTTTGAGTATAAAATCTGACGAGATGCCCAGGTATTTTCGTTAATCATCCAAGATAATAACCAAACAACCAAACAACCAAACAACCAAAAAGCCAAACTACAATATACATTAATTCAATACCAATACTTCGAGATATAAATATATCAAAACAACTCAATATCAATTATGGCCAACATGAAGAATACCAGAATTGCTCAGAAGCCCGCAACCCATAGCAAGGGTCTCTTTGACTTCAGCGACACTGACAGCGGCCTCCACACACCCGAAGGAACTAGCTCAGGTGCTTGCTCGGTCATGTAAGGATCTGCTGCTGGCCAGATATTCGTCTACGTCTACGAGGATATGAATTACCTTTGCTGGGATGAAATTTAAGGAAGGATAGAAGGGCTAGGCGTTGGTGGCACTCTTTGACCATGCCTGGGGAATAATATAGATCGGAGTCGCTCGTTTATTTGTTGCTTTTTTGATATTTAATAAAAACTCTCGTCGCCGTTATAATGATGTTATTCTTGTCTACAGTGAGCTTTCTGACTGGGATATGGCTGCCTTTCTTTTGCTCGAAGGAATATTAATATAATAATATAATGAAGAATTTGAAGTGGACTGATTACCTAGGTAAGTACCTAACCATAGTATTATGCCTGTATTACACATACCTGTTATAAACAACTAATCTAGTGAGCAAACTAAAGATATTATAAATCTATGCTTTTCAGAACATAATAGGTGAAGCTATCGACGATACCCCCTTTTATACTATGTATACTAGCAACATTGTTAAGTGAACTCGTTGCGAACTTCACTTCGAAACAACTTCCTTTGTTTGCTGTAAGCAGGCAGGCATCTCAAAGAAGGGTCTCGACACCGAGAATATTTGATGCATATCATTCGTCTGGACTTCGGTGTAGGGCTGCTAAACGCCGGATGCAGTAATTTGGCACGAGTTTACTGTTACATCGCCATGCAGCTGTGCCTTTCTGCCTGGTCCGGCCCAACGCTATGGAGACTTACTACCTTGGTTTCTAAGACAAATAAACAACGTGCTGCTAGAATAAACGCGGGTTGGTTAAGTCGGAGTAGACAAAAAGACAGCATTGTATTTGCTAGCAGCTAAAGGTTTCTCGCGTATATCCAGTTATGAATACAGTTACGATACACCGACGCCTGCTAAGCGTGGCACCGCATGAATTGTGCAGATTTATGAGGTCTGATGACCGCATTCTGCAGAGGGGAACGGTTTTTGATTGACAGGGACTAGAATAACAGTTGTCTTGGAGGAAAGTCGGTCAAGATAGAGGTGAAGGGTTGATGGGGAATAAGGGAATGCAAGAGACCATTCTTGTCGGCATGAATCTGGATCACTTGAAGACTTTGTAAATTTATAAAATATAGATTAGGCACACGCCGCAATCGCATCGCATCGTGCTGGTGTTGCAATTGCAAATACGCGAACAATACTTATAGAGTTTATATAAGATAGGTGGGCGTTGGAGTACCGAGCATGTATAGAGCTTCGGTGCAATGTTAAGGCAACAAGAAGCCCATATTTCTATGATCTGGATGCGCTGGCAAAGACTAAAACAACAGGGGGTTAGTAACAGGGGTTAGCTGCAAACTATTTATCTGATCCCTGCACGCATCAAGTCCCGCAAATGGGTTGCCGATGGTAAAGTAAAAAGTGCGGAGGTAATGACCTTTTTCTTTTTTCTTTTTTCCTATTTTTTCTTATTTTGTCTTTTTTTGTCTTTTTTTCCTCGCCTGTTGGAGAAATACCCATGATAGAAAGAGGGGATGAAACGGATGAATTTAAATAGAGGCATAAATATCGTACAATACCTACCTAGGTATATATTAGGTATTATACATGCATGTGTCCTTACATCTAAAAAATCAGGTACTTGAATGCTTTGACGTCTGTGTAGGTCCTTTTACAACTTATGTAAGGTTTCTACATGCAGTACATGTATCAAATGTATGCATGTGTACCTAGGTACCTAGGTAGTTACATGCATGATCCAGTTAAGTTAATGCATGGATGTACCTAAGCACCATCTCATCTACATAGCTGGCAACTGTCCTGGGGCCTGCTCCTACCTGTTCCTGTCGCTTGTTCCTGTCCAATCGATCGATACGATGCCGCATTAGGCGAATCTACCTAATCTTTCTTTTCCCGACAACCTCCAATATTCATCTATCTATATTGTTCAGTTCAGCCAGCTCCAGAGTAGAGAATTTGTCCAGGTTTCCGAATGTTCTCATCAGATACCTATATATACCTGTTTTTGTTTTGTTTTGTTTCCTCGTGGCGCCCTGTGCGTAAGCTTACATGGTTTGCAGCTGGTAGACTCCCATTCCGCCGCGCCGCCCATGAATAAGACGACTATGGGCCGTTGATGGGTTATTGATGATACTTCTGCGACTTGCATGACGGCAATAATGCATGATGCAAGGTCGGATGCCCCATCGTCCACTGACAGTAATCTCCAGCGAGACAGAGCGCGGGAGTGACTCTACCGCAGCGTCGTACATCCACCCGCAAAAACATATTATATATATACAGACGCATACCTGATACATATTAGTACAATATACGCATTTGGTCATTATAGAGCAGACGTCCATTCTGCTATGTAGTGAGAAGAGCTTGGTTTCGCTGACTGTATCCAATATTTCCCCTGATATCTCTCCTCTCATTATAGTACCGACTAACACTCCGACGGTACTACCACCACCACCTCACTGATTCGCCCGAGTTCCTGGAACTGCTCGGGATATTTCAACATCTTTGATAAGCGCCGCTATTCTTACCGCGGAACTTCATACACAACTTTCATCCCCCACATCAATACTTGAATACATGCCTATGTAGGTATTCCGAGTTAACGAGACTGGCAACCAACTCATCAATGATTGTCATCAGCGACATTTGCCGGCCTTTACCGATTCTATTGAGCTTGCTGGAAGCTTACTATTAGTTCCCGCACTATCTGTTTGCATAGATATTTGCAACGAGGCAGAAAAGGAAAAAAAAAAAAAAAAACTACCGGATGGTTGATTGATTATCTATCAGAGATTGCCTTAAGACTCAAGCAAACGGCTCGTCAAACTCTTATGTACATATCCACGTACGTCTTATGTTCATCTTGTCCCTCGGATCATCGTCATCATATACGTTGTTTTCCCCACTTTATTATTTTCTTTGGCGCGACCCTGCTTTAGATGCGCCATCTACGACACTAACCGTTTCGGGTAGGCAATTGACTCAGGTTCCTTGTCCCCGTCTCCATTAGCCTAGGTACAAAGTTACGTGCACAATTGCGGTCAACCGAGAATTCAAGTCAATTTAACGGCTCCTCAAGTAACCTACATACATAGATTCCTATTTTTAAATCACCTGACCATTAGCTAGGTTGTCGCCATTACTTAGGATAACACTTCAGTCCGTTAATCATAAAACAGTTCGCTCAGCCGACGAAACCCCTAGATTTGATTTAAACAACAACAACAACAACAACTTGCGAGCCATCTGCGTGTTCTGTACTCCGTGTTCCCTTGACACAGTGACCACCCGTAAGGTACAAGAGGGGGCCGATACTTTTGGTGTGCGGATAGCCGCGTACTTGGCAAGTGGGCGTTGTGGATTCGACCAGGATATATAAAGGTGTACAAGGGTAGATGCATGTAAGTGGGGCACTCACACTTGTCCTGGGCGCACAACTCATAAGCTCCCGCCCCCATTCACACCTTTTCGTGCAAAGCTCTAAAGCAAATCTAAACAATCCGAACCCTTGTTGATGAAAGCTGGGCTGCCATACAGCCCCCAGCTCAACCAACCAAGGTCCAAGGGGGGTTTAACTGAACCAAGCAGTTCAAGGAAGGTCTAGCGTGGAAAAAAGAAGCACCACAAACCTGTGTACATACTGCGCGCCTGTGTACCTATTGTATGGGTTTGTGAGACTGTGCTTCCTTGGGCTGTCAAGGTCAAGTGAGAATCTCTGGTTTTTTTTTTTTTTTTTTTTTTTTTTTGGCTCCTGCGCTACTTCGATTTACCCGTCTGTCTCAACCTTACTACTACTCCCTTGCCGAGAGAAGAAGAAAAACATAGTACACTATTTCGCGTCGACGTCATCATTCTCTTTTTACCTTGTTCCTCTCTTGGATCTGTTTTGTGCATCCTTATGACAGAGGCGCGCGTTGAGGTTGAAGATACACATCGGTGGCAGCAGTGAGGAGAAATAAAGAAGAGAAACCTAGAAATTCGCCGCCTTACCTTCCCCCCCTTTCGCGACGGAGAATACCCGAGGTGTATTTGGAGCCGGTGCTATTGCTGGTCTCTTAGCTCACCCTACCCAGACGTGCCTATCCTACTACATCATCCCCATACCTACCTAAGCACTAGGTGGGTAAAGGAAAGTCGTGGGAAGGCCATGGATTCGAGACAGCCGCCACCACAACACCCTTTTACTCGTAATGCAGCATCACCGCCAGTCTACGGCCGATCACCTTTTCCACCCGCCTCGAATCCGGCTTCTACAGTAACAACAGCTTCACCATTTCATCCCTCGAATACCGTATCTGCAGGTCCTACCGCGTACGGCGAACACCAGCGACATTCGTCAGACACAAGTCCCTTCTACTCGCAACAAAGACCACCTACCTATGCGTCAGAACCCGCGCCGCATCCCGCGCCCACTCATTCGCGACACCAGAGCTCATCATCTATTAATGCTTCTTTGACACGGAATATGCCTCCTCCCTCATCTCCTCAGCATCAAAATCAACAGCCGCCTCCAGTTCCTCATCCGCATCAAATGGGTCATTACAACGGCCCACCTGCGCCGAGGGCTCCGCCGGTGAGTCTCGGTCCTCCGGGCGCTTTCCCTTCCGCTAGAGAACTTCCCGCGCTCAATTCAATACCGCGAACGGGAAGCACAGGAGGGAGCATGTCGATATCGTCAATACTTGGAGGTCCTCCGCCAGCCTCTCGCGAGCCAACTCCCGGCCATCCAGCTTCCTTTCAGCCTCCTGTTACTACTTCTGCTGTTTCGGGTCCTGCGTATGCCGCGCCTGTCCATGCGTCACCTAGGATGCAGCCTGCAAATGAATACGCTTCTTATAATAGGAGGCCCCAAACACCGGACCAAGGTAGACCTTTTGACCCGAGAGATCATAGGGGTGCTGTAATTGGGTCGCCGCAACAGGGCATATACGGAACTCCTGAGTTATCCCGATACAACACCCCTCAAGCATATCCGCCACGTGGCCCGCCGATGCCGCCCGCCGACGAGAGAAGGGAGCAACCGGGTCGGATCTCTGCTGCTAATTTACCTCCTAGACCGAATAGTCAGCCAAGGTCTTACCATGGTATACCCCCGAGACCTGGAGACGTGGGGAGGGGCCCACCACCTGGAGAACCCGTGTACGGTAGACGAGAAGAGACGCGACCTCCTGGCCCGGGGGGGTACGAGCCGGAAAGACAACCTCGAGTCATGCCGTACGAAGAGCAGCGTCGATTTGCTGCGGATCGAGAAGCAGAATTCCAGGAGAGAGAGCGAAGGGAGAGGGAAAGAATACATTACGAAGAGCAGCGCGCCTTCGTAGCTAATAGAGAGCGGGAAATGGAGAGAGAGCGAGAAAGGGAAAGAGATAGGGAAAGGGAAAGGGAGATGGAAATGCGCGAGAGAGCTAGGAGAGAAAGGACTACATCCGACCCGAGTCGCCCGCATGGTCAACACCCTGCAGAACTTGGTCCTCAGGTGCTTTCACGACAGCCGCCTTATGGAAGACCAGACCCCCGAGATGCGGCAGCCTGGCAGCGGCCTGGGTATGATCAACCGCCGCCGAGAGAGTCGTATGGCCAGCCGTATTCCGGCCCGCGACCAAACGAGTTCCCTTCGACTACCGCACCGCCATATGGGGCGCATCCTGCTTTTGCACAACCTCCTCACGAACGCTTCCCAGCAACCGGTCCGCCTCCTCACGTGGTACCCGTAAGCCAACCAGGTCCACAACCTGCGCATCCTTTCGAGTCGCCTGATAGGCACCGTTTTATCCAGGCCCATCCTCAGCAGCAACCGCCGCCGCCAGCAGCTCATCGAGGTAGACCGACCGAGGAGATTCCCCCTCCACCTTCAGTCGCGTATAACGGCGGGCCAGGCTCGGTTGTGTTCGAAGTGGGTCGACCGCGTCCCCAAGACGATGGTCCGGCTCCAACCGGCCATCAGAGGGCTTTCCTTGGCATCCAGGAAATCAACCGCAAGGGACGAGTCTCCCCGCTGCCGCAAGCTGTTCAAGGAGCGCAACCTCAGTTGCAGGGTCCCGCCGGCGAGCCTGGGATCAAGAGTGAATTCGGCCGTATGTTCTCCGGCATAGGAAGCGGTGTTCGCGGTATCGGTGTCTCTAGCCCAGTGCCACCTGGCATGCAACCCCAGTTCTCAAATGCGGGCCCGCCGCGACGTGATGAAGAGCATCCTGGCCAAGAAGCACTTGCCGACGGCCCCACAAAGCGGAGAGGAAAGCGGAGGAAAGCCAAAGATGATGATAGCAAGGGTGATGATGATAGCAACGGTCGAGCCACGCCAGTTGGCCCAGCCAAACGTCCCAAAACCCACGCTCACCACCACCATCACCGGTAAGTCACAAACTCTCATATTCATGCGCTTCAACCGATATTCATTGTGATATTCTTTAGTCATCATCATCATCACCATCATGGTACGGAAAGAGCCCCTTCGCCCCTTCAAGCGGCAAATGGACAGCTCAAAGGTCTTAAAACTAACACGCCTATACCTTCTCCCACACACAAAGATTTCGCTGCTTTTACTCATCACCACCAACCTCCGAGAGCAGTGCCGGCCCCGTCTTCGAAGACGGCGGCACCTGGCTCGACTATTATCCCAAAACCGAGACATAAGATCTCGTCTCAAGCGGTGCTCGATAGCGTTGCGGATCGGCCGCGGAAGCACCTAGGCGACATTGTGTATCAGGTGACTTTAAAGCCCACGAAGCTAGAGTCGTCTCATGCCAAATTTGGTTACTCATCTAACCCGCGCCCCTTGCCTATGGACGTGATTAAGGGGAACGAAAATTCTACCCTGACGGTTAAGATTCCTCGTGTACACTTAAGCCCGTCCGCGCGCGAGGAGATTACTTCTCGCCGAGCTGTTTGGGGCACGGACATTTATACAGACGACTCGGATGTTGTTGCTGCATGTATTCATGCGGGTTGGATTCGAGGCGAGTGGAATGATGATGTGGATATCGACTTGCTGGACCTGTACAAGCCTACGACTTCGAAGAAGCAACGTGCGGCACCTGCTGAGCAACAACTCGAGGTATTGACTTCGCCACCAGTCTCGGGTCCCGTCCGAGTCCCTGCTGACCGAGATTTGCATGTGACGCTTCTCGTGCTCCCCGCGCTCGAGAAATATAGTAGCTCGACGCGCTTCGGTATCCAGAGCCGCGAATTCGGCGGGACTTATAACGGACGTAAGTCAATCCACGATGGGATTAGCTTTATGATCATAAGCGTGCGCTGGGTGGACGGTGCGGCGCCACAAAGCAGGCTTCGCGGCAAGGCGCGCAGGGAACGAATTAGAAAAGCCATGAGTGAGGTCAACCGGAGCCAAGTGGTAGATATAGGGGAAAAGGAGATTTTCGGTAAGGTGGCCGTATCAAGGGATTCTAGCGCCGGGAAGGAGAAGGGCGCCGGGAAGGCAGCCGACGGCAACAGAGAGGGCAATAAAGAGAATCGCCCTACAGCTGCATTGAATGGTGATATGAGAATATCAAGCCAAGAGAAGTCTAACGCAGACATGAATCCCGACCTGGACGGCGGGGCTCGGGAGAAACCCCGTTTGACGGACGACCAAGGTGCAAAGACGATAGATGCCATTACGACTGCTGATGCTAGAGAAGAAGCCGGAAAACATGGAGTGAGTGAGCCTATAGGTGCTTCTACGTAGTGTCGAGCTGGAATCACATCAATACAAAGTGGTTAGAAGGTAGCAGGACTTGTATTGGCGGTCACAAAACGGGTATGTTTAAAAGCTATAGTTGGGGGGGTATGCATAGTAGAGGGATACGGCACAGCGTTGCTTTTCTTCTACACTCCGTACCCTTGACGATTTTCCAAGATAGCTATCTACCTATCTGGCTGTTGTTGCTTCTCTTCCCCTATATAGCATAGCGCGGAGTTTTGAGCAAGAAAAGTGTATGATAATACAAAATACAACCACCCGATGATACTTCAATATTGCGCAAGTGATATGGCTATTTCCACCTCTTATGTTTAATAGCTTGGTGGTTCCGTAACTTGTTGTTGATCGAGCAATCGTTCAGCTTAAGACGACCCTGGCACCCTGACAACTTGTACCTTGTGGAGATATATATTAGGTTATTCGGGTTATGTGCCTATAGGCAGGTGGCAGGTAACCATGATCAAAGCGATAGACACGTAAACGCGTATAACGATGTTGATTATTTTCGCCGAGGGCTAGGGTACCATCCTCCTCCGTCTTTTTACACAATAACCAAACGGACAGAGAACGGTCGTCTCGGCCTGACTTCGTAACGGGTTCTACCTCGGTAACTCGACTGGGTCAGGTATGTATCTCCCGCAGACCTCAATTGACGTGACCCAATACCCACGTCAGGACGCATGACCTTGATCAGTCGTATATTAGGTAGGTGCCTAAGGTAGGTAGGTATGTTAGGTAGGTATGTTAGGTAGGTACCTAGTCATCTAGAAATCCGTAACCCGCCCGTTGAAGCTATAATCGCCCGCGGGTCCCCAGCGCAGGGGCTCGTTCTTGGGGCCGCCGACCTCACCCGTCTTGGGGTTGACGTCGCCTTCGAATTCGGGCGGGGCGCCTTTTCGCAGCGGGACCGATGGGAGGTCGTCTTCGACGGCTGGCGCTGCTGCTGCTGCTGCTGCTACTGCTGCTGTGGTAGAGGGATCGGAAGCGATGGGTGAGCTGAAGTCCGGGGATGAGGTCGGGTTGAAGCCTTCTTGCGTGTTGGCTGTGCGCTGGAGTCGTTCGAATTCGGCTTGTTGGTCGGGTGGTAGGCGCGGCGGGGATGGTGTGAATTGGAAGGGGTTGAGGTTGGGGTTGGGGTTGGGGTTGGAGTTGGAGTTGTTGGAGGCGTGGCGTTGGTGTCGTAGGGAGAGGAGAGAGGGTGCTTGGAGGAAGGATGGTTGTGGATGAGCGCGCATGTATGGACGTGCGAGTCGGGTAAGGTAGATGAGGCGGGACGCCATCGTGAGGGTATTTGGCATTATTTTCTTTTTCTTTTCTATTTCGATTTATTTCTACGAGACGATTGTCTTGAATCGAGGGTCTTGTTCCTGGAAATGTGGCAATTGGGAATGGAATGGTTCAGACTTGTATGATGATTTCCGATTTGTATGATGGATAAAGGGACGAAGGAAGACGGGACTACCTAGGTTACGCATATATGCATGTATGTATGCATGTATGTATGCATGTATGTATATATGATGAGAGGTTGATATTAGCGCGGATTTACTTTGGTATCGAAAGTGTTTTTGACTTCCGTTTTCTCTTGAGAGATTGCATCTGATTGGCTTATCGCCTCACACACTACAGATCTATCCGATAGATATTTTATTATGTATATCACTACCTAGTAAAAGGTCAGTATCCTGACTCGGGAGCAGCCCATAAAAAAAGGTTTTTTTTAAGGTATGATAGTAATAGCACTATAAGTGTAAGTAAGGCAAAAAAGATACACACGAGCTCAGCAGGGATCGAACCTGCAATCTTTAGAGGGCGGAGAATCCAAGGATGGAACCGAAATCTAACGCCTTACCATTAGGCCATGAACCCCATTGGTGTTGATGGGGCTTTGTGTTCGCAAACTAGCTTTATATCCAACATCCGGTTTGTGCTCGACCGAGTTAAGTAGTAGACCTATTAAAAAGCCGAAAAATCTAACTCCTTATTCAAGGTACACGTTTGCCTGTATGCCGGCTGGTCGGCCACCATGACCTAGGTATATATTACAACAAAACTACTTCAACAACCACATACGACCATAAGATCTGGAAAGCTCGGGATCCCGTCCGCTCTCCCCTCGATAAACCAGTTACTGCCGGATTAGTAGTTGGGTCGGTGACGACCAGCGAATCCCTGGTGTTGTATGTTTTTTGTTTCTTTTTTTCCTATTTCTTTTCGTTAAGCCTTCAACTTATCTGTGTGGATGGGTATACCCGTCTTTCCCTTTTTTATTATCTAGCCAATTGTATTATTATTATTATGGGTTGGAGGTTACCTTTTGTAAGGCTGCGTAATAGATATGATAGTTAGGTACTGTAGTCATAGAGCAATTTGGTTCTATCAAGTCTATCAAGTCTGGGTATTTAGAGATTGTAGGCAGTTGTACGAAGTAATGAAAAATGATTCGTTTTGGATAAATAACTAAATACCTTATGTACATAAATACTACGTACTTCATAGAGTGGCGTTATGACTCAATCAATCTGGTTGGTCCCTTGCATTTTTTTACCTTTACTAGGGGCCGGCCCACCTCTTCGGGAAGCGGCAAACAGGGATAATTGGAAGTACACACAAGGGTGCTGTATTGTACATCACCTGCAATATGCTAGGTTAGGTACTTGGATACATAACGTAGTGGGATGGCGGGGTTAAGATAGAAAAATGATTCACCCCTCCGATTATCGCTTTAGGAAAATATCTGTATATGGCATAACGGAAATACACATATCTATCCATTTTGAGGTACCGACCCTCAAGAACTCCGGTCAAGAACTCCAGTCAAGAACATCTTTCGTTTTGACTCAGACCTTCAGACCTTCCAACCTCAACTCTCTCTTATAAAGAGTCAATCTCCAACTTTGTCCCTACGAGTTATCTCTGTCTCTCGCTTCTCTTAACCCAATTGACTCGGCTTGCGCAACATGGAGGCTCTCAAACAGACATTCAAGCGCTGCAAGGCAGAGAAGAGGGTATGATCCAATTTATTACTTGACTTTTTCTTCTTTTTTTTTTTCTTGCGCTATGTATACGCTATGCATACATATATGATTATATTTCCCACTTAACTAACAACTAACTAACAACTACGCATAGGCTGCCTTGGTGACATATGTCACTGCCGGTTATCCCAAACCTGAGGACACTCCTGATGTCTTGGTAGGAATGCAAAGAGGTGGCGCCGGTATGTTGTGGCAAATAGACAGATCTAAGATGAGCGCAGACGCCAGTAACTAACAAAATACAGATGTGATCGAGCTTGGTGTACCCTTCACAGACCCTATCGCCGACGGCCCGACGATTCAGACCGCGAACACTGTCGCTCTCGACAATGGTGTCACTATTAAGTCCACTCTCGGCATGATTCGCGAGGCCAGGTCTAAGGGATTGACTGCCCCAGTTTTGTTGATGGGCTACTACAATCCCTTACTCAGCTACGGCGAGGACGCTTTACTACGAGATTGTCAAGAGGCCGGCGTCAATGGCTTCATCGTCTGTGACCTCCCTCCCGAGGAAGCCGTATCCTTTCGAAAACTATGCAGCAGGGGAGGCTTATCCTATGTGCCCCTGATTGCGCCCGCGACGTCTGACACTCGTATGCGAATCCTCTGTGCCCTGGCCGATTCTTTTATATATGTCGTATCCCGCATGGGTGTGACAGGTGCTCTGGGTACCCTCAATGCCAACTTGCCCGACTTGCTCCAGCGAGTTAAGAAGTATAGTGGCGACAAGCCTGCCGCTGTCGGATTTGGCGTGTCGACACGGGAGCATTTCCAATCTGTCGCTTCTATTGCCGATGGTGTCGTTATAGGCTCACAGATCATCACGACCTTGCAGAAGGCTGAGAAGGGCAACGGTGCTAAAGTTGTTGAGGAGTACTGTGCCTATGTAAGTGGACGAGACTCTCAGGAGACAACCCGAGAAGTCGGCGTAATCGAGGCTATCAGTGCGGCCAAAGAGCCCAGCGGCGAGGATGTAACGGTCAACGGCGTAATTACAGAGCATGACGATGCCGCGCTAGTAGCTCAACTTGCTGCGCTTCATGGCAAGATCCCTGAGCGGTTTGGCGAGTTTGGCGGCCAATACGTGCCAGAGTCGCTCATGGACTGCTTATCTGAGTTGGAGGAGGGCTTCAATGCCATCAAGGACGACCCTAAGTTCTGGGAGGAATACAGATCCTACTACCCTTGGATGGGCAGGCCCGGCCAGCTACACTTGGCCGAGCGGCTTACGGAACACGCCGGAGGTGCTAACATCTGGCTAAAGCGGGAAGATCTAAACCACACCGGATCTCATAAGATCAACAACGCTTTAGGGCAGCTTCTGCTGGCGAGACGGCTAGGGAAAACGAAGATTATTGCTGAGACTGGTGCTGGACAGCACGGTGTTGCAACTGCCACAGTCTGCGCCAAGTTTGGCATGGAATGCACAGTCTTTATGGGTGCCGTAAGTTATCTTTTACATGAATGCAGCATCTGACTCGCAGTAAAGCTCACAATATAATTTAGGAAGATGTCCGCCGTCAAGCATTGAACGTATTCCGAATGCGGCTGCTCGGTGCCAAGGTTGTCGCCGTCGAAGCTGGCAGCAAGACTCTACGAGACGCCGTCAACGAGGCGCTCCGCTACTGGGTCGTCCATCTTGAGGATACCCACTACATCATCGGATCAGCTATTGGTCCTCACCCCTTCCCTACCATAGTCAGAACCTTCCAGTCAGTCATCGGCACCGAGACAAAGGCACAAATGCTCGAAAAGAAGGGGAAATTACCCGATGCCGTTGTGGCTTGCGTTGGTGGAGGCAGCAACGCTGTTGGCATGTTCTATCCCTTTTCCAACGATCCTAGTGTCAAGCTTCTAGGCGTAGAAGCCGGCGGCGACGGCGTGAACACTACCCGTCACTCGGCTACGTTGACCGGAGGTACCAAGGGTGTCCTACACGGCGTTAGGACGTACGTGCTGCAAAACGAGTTCGGACAAATCTCAAACACACACTCGGTCTCGGCTGGTCTGGACTACCCGGGTGTTGGTCCCGAACTATCGTCCTGGAAGGATTCGGAGAGGGCCAAATTCATCGCCGCTACCGACGCCGAAGCATTTATTGGGTTCAGACTTATGAGCCAGCTAGAAGGTATTATACCCGCACTCGAGTCGGCCCACGGCATTTACGGAGCTATCGAGCTGGCTAAGACGATGAAGAAAGACGAGGATGTGGTCATATGTCTTAGCGGAAGGGGTGACAAGGATGTACAGAGTGTCGCGGAAGAGCTGCCTAAGCTAGGCCCCCAGATCGGATGGGATTTGCGTTTCTAAATGGTAAGGGTTATTTTCTAGGGTTGATCGAGAATGGACAACCTTTACGAAGCTCTTAGACTCGGCGTTGGATGGCGTGGAGGGTCCCTAAAATGTGAAAATAATATGATACATGGTATTGGGCGATATATAGGTGTGCGCATCTTGATGCATTTCGTACAAATTAATATACACGGTACAATGCCATATCTTTTGTATCTTGTCTCTTGTTTTTCCACCTTTGCGCCTTGCGACACTTGAGCTTTTGAACACCCTTGAATTCGTGAAGCTAGTAAAATAAGCCGTATCATGCCCCAGGTGCCTTGTTGTCGCCGCTGGGTTTCTCAACATCCTCAGTAGTCTCCCTAGTCTCCCTAGTCTCCCTAGCCTCTCTAGCCTCTCTAGCCTCTCCAATCGCCTCTCCGTCTTCCTTGATGATCAAGTCCTCGCCATCCTTTACCGGCCCTATGACAAACTCGTCGCCGCGCTCTAGCATACCGTCGACCTCACTCAGCACAGCCTCAGACGTAACGCCGTCGGCAACTAACTCGCCGGGAAGCGTCTCCCCGCCATCTTCCTTCTTGGGCGGCAGACCCAGGGCGGCGCGCTCGCGGGCGAAGCGCTCGCGTATAGCAGGGGTCTGCATGATCTTCCAGCGGAGGGCCCAGCCGGCGGGGCCGAGGTCCTTGATGCGGCGGGCCTTGGAGCCGAGGAGGTACTCGTCGATGCCGCCGAGGCGGTCGACGGTCTTGAGGACGCCGGTGGTCAGGCGGGTGCGCACGAAGGCGCCCAGGCTCGGGGACCACAGGCGCTTGGTGTGCCGGTTCGGCAGCCAGGTGGTGCGGGACTTGTTGCCGTGGTCCGGGGCGACGACGTTGCCGAAGCGGATCTTGGAGCCGGCGAATAGGCCCTCGTTGGCCTGCTTGTAGGTCCGGAACCGGCCGTACGGGTATGCGGGGACTTTGTCCGCGGGCACGGTTAGGTGGGAGGGTTTTTGCCGGGGGGTTGGGGGGGTGCTGCTGAAGGCGCGGAGGGCTGTTGTTGTTGTTGTTGCTGCTGTTGCTGCTGCTGCTGCTGCTATTGTTGTTGTTGTGCTGGGTATTCGCTGGGAGGAGGTGCTGGAGGATATGTGGGATGTAATCGTGGAGAGACGGCATGGCGACGGCGCCGAGAGTCGTATTGGCGCCATGGTGTGTTTCGGCCGGTTGGCTGTATGATTGGCAGCGCTTATATTGAGAGCTATGCTATTACGACGGCGACATGGATATTTGAGAAAAGCTGGCGTCGGCCTTTTAGCGGTGGAATTGACACCGGATTTAGTGGTGGATGTTGGATTGATTGATTGATTGTAAGGTATAAGTATTCCCGAGCTTTAGCTTTTTGGAATTGAAGATTTGCAGATAACTTTCTTTGGTTCATAATGCGCTATATACCGATATGTAAATAAGTACTGTAGCGCTTTAGAAGGTATATGCATATATCCATTCTATGAGTGTCTGCATAGAGCAATTGAAGTCATGTGGCAGCGCTCCACGTTCGCGATTTCCTTATTCTTATCGACCGCGGGGTTCACCGCCCAAGTACCCAGTACATGAGGCATGCGCATGTATGTAGGTATTATTCAGTTCTAACCTTACTACATAGGTACCTACATGTAGGTAGTTTAGTGGAACTTGAATCGCAAAAATATAACAAGTCAACAATAATCTAATCTATACCTTCCAATTGCTATTAGGCACTGCGCCTCTAACAAAACCAACAAAAAACCACAATGCTTCCCCCCTTAGACGAAGCCGTCCTCAAGCAGAACCCCAACTTCGATCGTCTCTACAAGACCCTCACCGGCTCTCTTCTCAATCCCGACGGCTCGACACGGAGCAACGACCCGGCAGCTAAGAAGCGGGATGCCGTGCACAATGTACGTTCAAGTCGGACGCCTTCCAGCAAATACAAATGTACTTATAATAAGTCAATTGACTAACATAAGTTCTCATATCTACCTAATATAGGAACTTAAAGCCTACCGCCTCAAGGCCACAAAACAACATCTCCTCCGCCGCGCGATAGCAGCAGCAGCCAGTCCCGAACCAAGCACGAGCACGAGCACGAGCACGAGCAGCGCCGCTTCATCTAAACTACAACCGCAACCGCAACCACAATACCTATCCCAGCCAAATCGACGAACAAGACCAAGACCCCAAACACAAACTTCCACCGCATCCCAAGCCCCTCCCCCCGAAATCCTCGATCTCCTCCTTCTACTCCCTCCTTTCCTCTCCAACCCAACCTCCCTATCACCCCCGGCCCTCACCCTCCTCCTATCCCGCCCTCCGTTCTCCGACCTCCCCTCTCTCTTCCCCATCCTAACCGCCACTCTATCCAACACCCTATTCCGCCAAGCCAACTCCCTAGCCCGCGTGCTCAACCCCCACACCAACCCCTCCTACATCCACCGCTCCGTCCCAGCCGTCGCCTCAACAACCACCGCCTTACTATCCACCATATCCAGTTCCGCGCTTGCGCTGTCGCTTGCCCGCCAGCGCGCCGCGTACGACTTAACGACGCATCTGGCGCGACACGCTGCCATCCTAGCCCAGCTCATCCGCGTGCTCGAGTCGAAACACGGTCCCGCCGCGCGGTCCGCCGAGCTACGGGCCGAGGAGGCCAATCTTTCCGTGCGTGTCTGGGCCCTTGCCGCCGAGGCCCTGCTCTGGGACACCCGACGCGCCGTGTACCCTCCCGAGGCGAGGCATGCCTTGACTAATTATAAGCGACACTTGGGTGATGCGCGGATGCGCCTTGCTGATACCCTGCGTGTGCGCCAAGCAGAACTAAAAGACTACGGAGTGATGCCTGCCGAGAAAGGGGGGCATGATGGAGAACCGAGCAGCAAAGAGCGGACGATGCGCGAGATGGCTAGGGTATGGCGTGAGATGGAGTCACGGCTTAATGAAGTCAAGGGTGATTTGGATCGATTGAAATAATCCATTTACCTAATCCCCAACCCCAACGCGCTACTTTCTTCTTGGTTATTCCGAAGCAGGCCAGTCTGTTGATCACAGGCATAATGAACATTTCAAGCGCTATTATTTCGTCAGTAATATCATATCGTAATGAATTCCATTTGTGTAGGTATCTAGTGGTGGTATCACAAGCATCGGCAGTCTACCGTCCATCATTCGGTGAGACAACCCAAGTAGATGCAAAAGACAGGAAGGGGGGAAATAGCAGAGATGTATCAAGAATACCACACCGTTGTCATTCAGAGGAATATCGTAATGAACAGGTGCTTTTACCAACCAATCCATCCATTTAGGTCATTTATCTATCTCGTACCATCATATCGGGTATGGTGCTTTTTTTTTACCTTTTCCCCTCGAAATATTCACATCGTACAGAACATTCCCCGTGTGCAAAATTTCCAGCTTTCTTCACTCAAGTAGAAAAGGAGGTCAGCTTAACCCTTGACCTTGTAAATAGCCTCGGCTAGACGTCCGACATTGTCGGATGTGATGCCAGCGACGCTAATACGACCATCCTTTGTGGCATAGACGCTATGCTCCTTGGCTAGCTTCTCCATGGAGGCGGCATCGAGGCCGGTGTAAGCAAACATGCCGATCTGCGAAGTGATATGGCTCCAGTCATGAGCACTGCCGAGCTTCTCAAGGTTTTCCTTGAGGAGGGCACGCATTGAAATGATACGGTCGGCCATGCCCTTAACCTCACCTAGCCACTGCTTGTTAAGGGCCGGATCGTTGAGGATCTCAGATGCGATACGTGCACCGTGGAGAGGAGGATTCGAGTATAGGGGTCGGATAATGATCTTGACCTGAGACTCGAGGCGCTTCTTCTCCTCAAGTGACGAGGCAACGATGGAGAAGGCACCTACACGTTCTCCGTAGAGACCCTAGTTCCATCCGCGTTAGCCAAGCCACGGTGCTTCAAATAGGCGGAGAGGAAAATAGCTGACGTACCATATTCTTAGCAAAGCTTTGCGCCAGGCAGATGTCATGGCCTTGTTCGACAAAGTGTCGTACGGCGAAGGCATCCTTGTTTGTATCACCGCTGGCGAAACCCTGGTAGGCCATATCAAAAAAGGCATAGTGGCCTTGAGCCTTGACGGCATTGCTAATCTCCTTCCACTGCTCGGTGGTAGGGTCGACACCAGTCGGGTTGTGGGCGCAAGCGTGGAATAAGAATATGCTTCCTTTGGGAGCGGCCTTGATGTCCGCTAGCATTCCTTCAAAGTCCAAACCGATGGTTTTCTTGTCATAGTAGCGGTATTGCTCAACCTTGAGACCAGAGTCGTGAAATACTGCTTTGTGGTTGGCCCACGAAGGAGTTGGGATGTAGATGGTCTTGTCGCCCGGGTAGAAGCGAGACAGGAAGGCAGCGGCGATGCGCAGAGCTCCAGTGCCAGAGATAGACTGAGTGATGACCAGACGTTCAAGAGCAGATGAGCCCTTGCCATAAGCCAGCTCAGCGGCTGCCTTGGTAAACTCGGGAAGGCCGGTGATGCCGAGATATTCCTTATTTAAGCGCTTCGCGACGATCTTGTCCTCGGCGGCACGGACGGAGGGGAGCACATAAGGCTTGCCTTGGTCATCTCGGTAGGCACCAACACCTGAAGAGGACTGTTAGTATTCGGGGAGTATTGACGTCCGCCTTGACCATTGGGATATAGGGAGCGCAATGGGAAATCAAAGAATGCCTAACATACCTAGGTTGATCTTCTTCTCAAAGGAGTCGGCCTTGAAAGCTTCGGTGATACCTGCACAAGGTAAGCAGAATGACTCCAAGCTTTAATTATCAATATTAAGAGAGAAGTATATACCAAGAATAGCCTGGTGAGTAGTAGGAAAGCTTTCTGTTAGCTATTTGCTAAAAACGAGGTCTTTACGAATCCGAGATAAATCCGCAGCAAAGACGTTGAAACTCACATCCTACATATTCATTCCAGCGTTAGCATTTCTCATTCGTTTGTTATAGCTTCAATTAAGTTAGGAGCACAGGGCAATGAGAATAACGTACTGGAGGACCTTGAGGCACATTGGCCCAGGTGGACCCAGCTCTCGTAGCTTGGAAGGCAATAGCTGAGGTCGATCCTCGACGAGTTGCAGCTTGGCGAGCGGCGATGCGGAGTGCGGGAAGCATGGTGAAAGAGGTATTTTATCGGAGATTGAGGATGATAAAAGGGAAAGAAAGGTAAAAGAAGAACAACAACAAGAAACTCAAGATTTCACAAATGACAGATGGTTACCTAAAGTCCGAAGTTAGGAAATAATAAGTTGTGTGAGTAAATTTTAACCTAGATGGTTTGGGAAAGTTGTCGAACGATGTCGGATCCTAATAGAGAATTAATTAGCTGATGGAGAATTAGCTCAGGGACCGGGGCTGCTTGCTATTTCCAGGTCAGATCAAGTTTAAGTAAGTCGCGACCCGACAAAGCTGTAAAGGACCTGGCAATTGATTGGCACATCACCTAAAGTTACCTAAAGTTACCTAAAGTTACTTCTTTGCCCAGATAACAGTTCCTTCCCCAGGTTTTTCAGCGCTGCTTAATTATTAGCGCACCAATACCTATCCCCAGTTGAGATCCACTACTCCGAATCGGCTTATTCCCGGCTGATCATCCAAGCCCCGTCCCCCGGCGTTCTCCTTTATCAGATCCGAATAAGCCGATGAAGGGCTGATCCACGATGCATCTAGGGAAGCCACAGTATTGATATCTCAACCCGTCTTCCACATATCTCATACAGGGCGTGGATCTTAGTTATCAAATGACATCATATCATTATTCATGCCTCATACAAACAACCCTCATTCCTCAATGCGCTATGCCTGCTTCGGAGATTCCCCAGATGCTATCACATCTACTCTCCATATTGGATCTTCTTCCGGCCATATTTCCGTCGTGATCTCCCCCGCCTAATTGCTCATTCTCTACTGTGTCATCTATCGTTATTGAACTTCTCTCGCTAAAAAACGTGTATCGTTCTGAATGGCCCGGTGGTAGCGGCCACTGTCGACTATCCCAGACGTCTTCATCGCTGTTGAATATGGATGCAGGGACGTCGACGGAACCCCTTGTATCTCCCCATATCGAGCTTCGGATGGTATCAGCGGCTGAGTTTCTAGGCTCATTGGTACTGCCTTGCTCTATCTGAGACACCGTACTATCTGATGATGTTCCTATCTCACGCTTCGGTATCTCTTTGATGTCGCGCCGCTGCTGCCGCCGTCGTATCACATAGCAGCGCACTGCTACTAGAACGGCGATTAGGAACGTCGCCGCCGTCACCGTTGATGCGACGATGGCTATGATCTGCCCCGTGCTAAGGCCAGCTTCGTTCGATGACATATCAGGTACAACCAAAAGCTTTTGAGCGCTGCCAGGGTGGAGGTGTTAATATAAGGTTTCTTTTAAGCCGACTCTCAACGTTGCGGTCCTCTCGTTTGCGGTATCGAAAGGCTAAGGTATGACAAGATGATAAACTCGCTATCAGGGCCTCATTTGACAAAGGGCCTGCCCGTAGACGTAGGAAATGTGGCGATCTGCTCTTGAATGGTATGGTTATTAACGCAAGTGAAATATAGACTACCTAGTCATGGGTAGTATAAATCTAATTTTGCTCAGGATAACATGTAGCTTAGGTAGGTACCTGATAGGTAATGCAATCGTCGTAGTTGAACCAGACAGTTGTAGAATTAAATTTTTGCGTTCTGCAGACCTCAAGTCTGGTATTCGATTATGGCCAAAACTCGATAGATATTTGTTCTCAAAGCTGACTGTGTCCATGCTATTATACACCAGAGGCAAATGGGATATAGTTTGCGAGTAAGCCACCACGTGTTTGGAGACGTCTCATAATGGGAATAACAAAGATAGCCAGGTGCTCTACACGCCCAAACTAACAATGGTCTCGGCGGGGGATTGAGAGAGAAATATAACCTAGACTCATGGTGGCCCAGAGACTGACACACTCTGAAAACAATGCATGTTTATCATAGAGTGATGTAGGATGTAGTAAGGGAGGATTCGCGGGGAGGATGAAGAATCGATCGACTTGATATCAGCTGCCATGTGCGTATGATGGCACAGATCTAGGCCTCAGCGGGTGTAACAATCATACGGCTACAGCGGGAACCAATGCAGGTTGGGAAATCTCTCAATTGCCTTGGATATAGGGGGCTAGTCTATCTAACAAATGTCGACATCGCGACTGGGCCGCAATGTGGCATAAGGTCGTCTGTAGCGACAATAAGCTCATCGCAACCCACCATAGCCATGATCCTGAAATTCGATTAATCTCTCGTAAGCTTGAAATCGCCGCTCGGTAAGGAGATATGTCAAAGACTGCGGTGGCGTAACCTGGCGTAACCTTATTAATTTATTGCTTAGTTATAGATAGTTATTTCATACATACATAATAATGGCCAGTATACGAGGTAGTATTCAACTTATCAGAAGTAGAGGGCGTATTTTGCACATAATATATATTTTGCCGTGTGCCTGGGGAATTTGTGGAGGATACCTAGAAGCACAACTTATTTCCTACGACTTTTCCGGTGAGTAGTGAGTACTGCTATTTTGTACGGAAGCCAATCAGGATCTGCGTTATGATCACGGTTACTTCTTGAGGGAAGCAGAAAGGTAACATACAAGACATTCTGCTGTAACCCAACATGAATCCTACCGGCCCCCCCAACCAAACAGCGTTCAGGGGATTTGGCCAACAGCTGCTACCACATAAATGAAGTTCCCATAACGGCTGTTTTTCAAGTCGTAAATGTTCGACAGCCTCGTAGGTTTCAGATTTGGTTGGCCTAGATTCATCCAGACTCTTTATTTATAAGAATGCGAGACGCGCCCCCAAATTCTTACCCAGTACGCCTGGCGTAGGTAATTTACTTCACTGCGGTCCTTCTGCAAGTCATCTTTATTGGCCATGCGACGCAAGTTTTAGTTGTATGTAGTTAGTAGTAAATATCATCTTTTCCCCGTAAGCAAGTTTTGGGTTAAGCGCCTCTTGCTTTAAAGTAATCTGCCTCGTTGTAAGCCTTAAACTCTCAGCTTTCTAACGATACCACGCTTATTTCGAGAGGCTCAAGCGTTATACCGCAATGTGGACAGAGACGGGATTATTTATAGTAGCATCAAGTATATTGCCTTAGTAACATCGAGCAGCTAGGTAGCTTAAGATTGTAAATACAACTTAATTCTTCGAGTACTAATAGAGCAAGCAGGAGAGGGTAAAAATTAAGGTGTCAATATTGCATTAGATACTATTATAACTAAATATTGAGAAACCTCGTAATGTAATCGATATCAACAAAAGATACAAAGCCAAGACCTGGAGGGTTCTTTTATGGTCGGAGGGAGGTAGCCTTACCTGTTAGGACTTCAAGGGCCAAAATCAATTAGCTGGATTGAATATGAGAAACCGACTGTGGAATTAGCTACTGATATGATTCATCCTATTATTACCTAGGATCAATGCTCAAAGATACTTAATCTACCTACTATGAGAGCTTAACATGTTACGTGGTCACAGGTGACAGCCTATATTCCCTAATTTGCCCAATGTTGGATACTTTTGTCGGTGTTTTCACACCAGCCACGTTGCCACGGCATTGCTATCCGTTTATAGTACACCTAGTGATGGCATCTTATCCGTAGTATGTTGTACAAGAAAGGAATAATCGCGATCTTCTTTCATTGCCTCTCTAACCTAGGTTAGTTAGCTCGAAAGATACTAATAGAGGCTTCGCTCACTACCATTGAGTAAAAATATGAGAAATTATTGCCATTACTAGTTTAGTAGCCCTGTAAAATGAGACGAATAAGATTCATTCTAGTGGGCATCGCCAATATCAAATATTTTTTTTACAGATCCCGGGGCTTGTTCCGTCGTAGCAGTATCCGTTGCTTAAAATGTAAAACCCCCCCCAGCCTTGTCAAACCAACATGCGTATGACTCACGTACATGAATACTACGAACATTTCGATATTTTGGAATGGCGTGTTAAGTCGCAAAAAAGAGATGAGTACCTACACAGGCTTTACATTGTCCTGCCGAAGCTTGTATTTCAGTAGCATTATCCTGGCTAACCCTGAACTTCTAGAAAATTGGGACGGCATGATGTTGTGTAACTGATAATCAGGGCTAATTTCTTATTCTTTCGTTGGCTGTAACAATCATCCTTAGAACGCTGTCTGATTGTTAAATCAGTGGCTGGTAAAGCTACTCACCATTCACCATATCCACAGTATATTCATATAGAGGTATATTTTCTCTACGCGTGTTCAACGATTACTACCTAACGATACGCGCTAAACATGTGTGGCCTAAATTTGCCCCTGAAAATAAAATAAAAATACAGGATATGTCTCTACTTGTTTCTTAATTGCAAAGTCAGCATCTTACCGCCATGGGAATTCATACACACGGGAAAAGTAGCAAAAAGTAGCAAATCCAAGAAGATCAATGAGAACGTAAGCTACTTAAGCGTGCTTTATATACTGTAGCTTAGTCACCTATCCCTAGAGCCGGCATGTAGGGTGTTGGCAATCTACCCGCTGGGAGAGGTGGCACACCCCTTTTTCTGGGCACCAACGGCACTATCTAATCATCACGCAAGACCTAGAACTAATAATAAGGTACATTCTACGCGTTTGCGCAGTTCCTTATTTTTTTTTTTCTCCATTGAAGTTTCTTAGTTGCTTGCCTCAAGGGAGCACCGGCTAACCCATCCAAGGCATCATCGATCTTAATATCGTTTAAAACATATAAACCAATTACTTTGCAGATTGCTACATGGTGTCATGTTTAAATTACTCAGAGAGAAAGGCAAGTTTCCCTTGTCTAGACCTAGGCGCATTTACAAATACGTATGTTGATACGGCCCGACATATGACTTAATGTTACTGCGGAAATGCTGCCATATTGCTGTAACTCGTACACAAGTCGGAGAGTATGTACCATGTAAGCCAAGCGAGTTGTACTGTAAGTCATTTGTCATTTACTCAACTACTATCATATGAACCTCTAAATTTATGTGTGTTGTTGAGTTAGAATTGGCCCAGTATTAGTCCCCGAGGAGGATGATCCGAATGTTCGAACCAGGATAGTGACACAACTCTTCGTCACAAGCTCACCCAGCGCCATAACGAGGGCGATTTCATTGCAATGGCTCCAAAAAGTACCATGCAGCCACGTCAGTCATTAAGACTTACATAACCATCACTTTCGTTCACCCTGTAAGGATACATACGGTGGCTCTTTGGCGATCCGTACACGTAGCCTACCCTAGGTAGGTATGTTATACATCACCGGGCCGGAAAATGGCGTTGTATTTCTATATGTCTTCGAAGGATTTGTGACAGCCAAGATCTAGTCTACAGGCCACGAAGGTAGGATAGCTGGGACATTGGCCCCTTCCACTTCCCCTTCCTTGCTCAGGTTATTTGATTGCTACGTTAATCCCATACACAATGTAGACCGCCATTAACCGGGCTTGTACCTACCGTGGCCAAATGGTGTATGATATGAATACCGAGCTAAGACAATCCCAGCAGTTAGAAAGAAGCCTTGCCTAAGCCCCGATGTTGATAGCTGTTTCGTCGGCTTGCAGAGAAAATATGTCTGTTTAACAACGACTAACCAAATCATATAGCATATCCAGCCCATAAAAAACAAATCAGTATGAGGCCGTATGAGGCCATTTCAGAATTAAAGGCCAAGAGCTTGACCTAGTATTATTTCAGCTCGTATGCTTTTAGGTATAGCATTGACACCTGTCACGCATACATGTAAGGATCTCATTCGGTAGCATTGTAACAATATGAACGGGTAGCTGCATGAGTTCAATGTGACAATAAAGCTATAACTCTCAATGAAACTGGCGAGTGCCAATAGCTTTCTGCACCTCGTGGATCTTGGTACGTAGCCAGTTTATAATTTTTCTATCTTCTTCCTTGGCCAGGGTGGGAACTGATCAGCAGTTGCCCTTAGCTGCATAGAACAAATCATCTTGGGCCTAGAAACATGCTCATCCGACGTTTATTATTTTTTGATAGGGGGTTACAGGAGCTTGGATCATAACCACCCAGGGACAATGGCGTCGAAAGGTCCCCCCCCCATCCTTCGAAGATAACCGAATCGGATATTACTACATGAGATATGACTTATCACACTTCCCACCTCGTAACTGTGGGAGGGTAAATTGATGAAGATTTTCCTGGACCGATTGGGGTACTCTGGAGATGACTGACCATAAATATGCCCATAAACTATGCTGGAAGGACGGTGCTTAGGCAGGAATAATTGCAATCTGAAGAACGAAGACGCAGAATGAAGACGCAGACATCACGAGCTGAGGCAAATTCCAGTACGAGTACCTAGCCATGTCTGATCAAGCTGTGAGTTTAAGAAACTAATAGTATACCTTTTGGTTTGTGCTAATTCTCCCAAGGAGATTCTTCCCGGTAGAAGAAACCGACAGGGAAGCCATGAACAGCTTATTCAAGCCAACCCCAGCATGACCCCAGCAAGTAACGGGAGAGGACAACTTACTGTCGACACATCGATTCAAGACACCCTAGAAAGGGCAATTACCCTTGATAATACGAATCATAACTCAGATGAACACAAACTACCGTCTGAGCAGATGCATGAACCCGACAATCATAGAGCGCTTCGCGACGGCGACAACGAACGACTGACCCATTATGGGCATTCATACCTTGCTTGTGCCTCCTTCATACAGGCCTTCTCCGTCCAACAGCCCGCGAACGGTTCGATCGAAACCCAAGGGCCGACACCCACGCGTACAAACTTGCAGCAATACCTGCCTCAGCAGCTTATTGTCGGAAACTACGCTTTAGAATTCTGGAAAGCTGAGACTTTATACGACGGTCCTCTTCCAGTGATTCCTCAGCTCGCTGATCCTAGCTACTGGCTTCTTCAAGTAGAAACCAACAACGACCATAATAATCGGGAGAGTGACCTGGAGGCAGCAAGGAATGAAACTCGTAACGGGATTTACGAATAGGGGTATCGACTGGCCGAGCGTTGTCTACTATAAAAACTTTAGCTAATTCGAAGGCTTCTTGGGGTTGTTATAACTGAGTACTAAGAAGTTCGCTTCCAGGAGAAGCCTTTAAACTAGGTGGTTCGTGTATAGGTGGGAGGGCAAGTCAGTAGCCAGATAGTAAGAGCTCGTGACCCTCTTGAGGCTTTACAAATCTCCGAAGAGCTCCATTAATAATTTGAAGCTGGACGCCAATAAAATGTATTATTTCTTACATGCATCCTTTATTTCGCCGCAGCCCACTTCGTCGTTGTTGTATACTCCAGTTTTTCTGACCACATTTTCGCCTTACCTGCTAGCAATCAGCCCAATCCTTTCACAGTGCGAAAATAATAGCAAGGTAAATCAGTAACTAGACTATATAATACTAGGTTAGACCGTTATGAGGTGAATATTGAATGATTATTCAAATTCAAAAGATCTCTCTGGAGAATATGCCGCAAAACTTGGTAGGTACTGGTACTTTTGATATGTTCAAATTAAAATTAACTTATGCAGTCTATGCTATTTCTACAATCTATATTTCATTCTCGTTTTTTAAACGGTGGCGTGTTCTTTGTGAGTTGAACCCTCAGTAACACCTTCCGGCACTTTGCTGCCGTCCCAAGAACTAGACTTGATGGGGTTGACGTGAAGAAGATACATGGTGTCAATCTCTTCTAGGCTTCGGTCCTTGGTTTCCATCACGAAGAAGTAGACGATAAAGATGAGAGCCGCACAACAACCAGCAAACACGAAGCCGTAGAAATAGTCGATAGTGTCGGTAATGAATCGAGTGAAGAACGAAATCATGCTGTGTCATCTATTAGCATCTTACATAGGTATATATAGATCGTAGACGGGTTATACTCACAAATTCCAGAACCAATTAGAAGCGGTGGCCAAAGCCATACAAGGAGCCCTGTATCGAGAAGGGTAGAGTTCGGCGACAACAGTCCACACAAGCGGTCCCCAAGTCATGGCAAATGCAGCAATCGCAAGACAAGAGAATACAATCAAAGTTGAGCCGGCTTTGGGAGTGTTCATAGGGTTGGTCGAATCCAAAGCATAATGGCCGACGAAGGCGTAGACACTATGGTGACAAAGAGTTAGTTTCGATGAAAATACAACGAAGCTTCTGTGACGGAAGGGGGGAAAAACTTACAAGAAGCAGGCCATCATGCTAGCAGCACCGGCGATGAGCGCCTTTCTACGTCCAACCTTCTGCACAACGTATAGACCGACGATCGTAGTTGCGACGTTAACAGTTCCGAGGATAATTTGCGTGACGTAGCTGTCGCTGAGACCGGTTGACTTGAAAACCGTTGTACCGTAGTAGAAGAAGAAGTTGGCACCCGTCAGCTGCTGACCAGCTTGGAGTACTATACCCAGGAGAGTCCTGTAGAGCATCCTGGGTCCGGTAAATATCTCGATCCAGCTGGCTTTACCACTGGACCTCTCCTCATCTAGCTTTACCCGAATCTCAGTGATCTGATCGTTGACGCTGCGGTGGTGGGGGTCGACTCCAGCCAACTTGGCGATCGTCCTGCGTGCTTCGTCTTCTTGACCTTTGCGGTACGCGTGTCGGGGACTCTCGGGGAGAACAAGGATGCCGAGACACAGGACCAAGGACCAGAGGAAACCGAGACCGTTAGGAATACGCCACGATGCGCTCGATTGCATGTCGACAGTGCCCCAGTCGACCATGTAACTGGTCCAGATGCCGAGGGTGATGAAGAGTTGGTATGTCGATACTAGGACACCGCGGATGATGGCCGGGCTACTCTCGGACTGATACATAGGGACGAGAACGGAAAGGGCACCAATTGAGATACCGGTGACTAGACGACCGACGGCAAACTGTGCCCAGACCGTCTCGGACGATATCTCGATAACAATTCCGACGCAGGACCACAGAGCCGAAAGCGATATAGCCAAGCGACGGCCAATAATGTCGGCGAGTTGTCCGGCAATCAAGGCACCAAACAGGCACCCAACCGGGAGAAGACCGATGATCGTTCCTTGTCTCGCCGCGCTGAAAATGTATTCTCCGTTGTCCGCCCTTTCGCCGAAGCGCTGGGCGAAATCGTTCATGCTGAAGAAACCTGATATCTGACCGCTGACATATCCGAACATGAAACCTCCTATACTCGCGACGGCGCCGAGGAAGATTGCCATGAAGGTAACCCTCTGTTGCGCTACCGCCGAGGGTTCTAACCTCTGCTCCTGCTTGGTAGCAGAGCCTGCCGTGCTCGAAGTCCCGGCATGTGGTGCTTCCACCTGATCGGTGTGGTGTTTTAGGAATGGCATACTGTGTTGACTATGCTGTCCTGTCGATGATAATGTGTTGTTATTATTATTATTAGAGATGATGTATGAGTAACTTGTGTCAAGCTGAAGATAAGCTTGAGATGTGCGGGTTCTCTTTCAATATACATAGGGGTAGCCATGGCCTACGGTCTTATTTAAAGGTATTCGGTGTTCCCTGAACCTTGAAGAAACTCTACTATACGCAACAAACCAACTAAGACTAAAACTTCTTAACTTCTTTTTTTTTTTCTTTCCTTCCCCTGACCTCGGCCGCTGCGTCATCACCCCATCGAACTCGTGACGGCGTGTCGCGCGAGTCCTTACGTCGGGATAGGTACCAATGTCGATCGGCGGCCCCGGTGGAACCATTAGGTAGGGCACCCACATATATGGGCCCATCTCATGAGCAACTCACGTACATGCTGAACTGAAGAGCGGAGCTGCGGTTAGTCCCGACAGAGCCGCTCTCCGGCGGATCCGGCTTTCCTAGTTTTTTTATTAGCTTTTAACGAGCGCCGGATGCCGAGACCAACTTCGCCCCCTTAGGAAGAATGTGCACGCGCGAGTTTATACAGAATACCGATTATATTCTTACATGTCCCCGACTTGAACAATTGATTGAATTGATGTACTTATTCTAAAAAATTAGAGTTGATTGTCCTTAGTAAATCGAATTCTCGCTCATACGAGCATAACAGACTGCGTCATTGGATAACAAATCTTAAGGGGACTTTTTAGGCTGGCCGAGCAAGTACCGAGTCGGTCCTGTTGTGGATCCAAAGCGGCTCTGCCCTGGGTCTCGAGTTCAACAAAAACTTCTTATTTCTTTCTTTCTTTTTGCACCGTCGCCGAGGTGAGGAGACTATGGCCAAAGAAAATTAAGAGACAAGAAAAAAAAAAGAAGTTCATCTCCTGTTACCCCATGCGATAGAACGATGATATTGAAGCACCAGTGGTACGGCACTGTTAATACTATGGAGAGACCCCGCGCTATATCATAGTATTTTCTGGTCACATGCGTCTTTCTTTTCCAATCGAGACTTTTATTAAAATGGAAAGTATTAATTTTATTAATCTCGTCTTTCCACTTTTTTGCCCTCTACTTTGGTTCTTGTATCGTCTTCTACGTACCAGTGCCATTTTAATCCCCCCCAGCTTAGCTGCTTGGTCACGGGATATATACACAGTATCCTAGCGTTCCGATGGAACAATGAGAGAGTCTATTTAGAATGATCCCACTGTTCACATACATACAATGTAGTTCACCGTTCACCGTTCGATTGAAAGTTGGGGCTATCATATCACTAGTAAAGGAGAAAACATATCCCCGCATAAGTCCCAAACTTATATTCGGGCCTTCCATCGTAATAAAGCTGGGGATCACATCACCTCTCCTCACTAATAACCCCATTTTAGATCTGATCTCTGGGGGATAAGATAAAATGTAATGCAAAGCCGAGAGGGCACTGTCGTCAATAACTTCATCTAGTGTATACCTCGGCGGCCTAATATTCTCGTTCGTGATCTCATCCGGTTCCTTCTCTAAGTAACCCCCGGCGTTACCCACCGCAAACCCGGTTTCGACGAGTGTAGACGTGGTAGTATTATTGCTTCTCCTAAATGAAAGCCTCACTCTTGGTCCCCGTTTCATATCTTGCACCCCGTATTTTCTCCACAGCCTGGAGCATGACCTGGAGCAGTTGCTTCTGCGTAATGGCAAAGGCGCTTACGGGCTTATTCCTGTTCTCCGTCTCCTTTGGCTTCTCTCGAGCCCTAATCGGGATAGAAGTCGTAATTTTCCTTGGTAGTAGTACGATAGAAACAATCATCCCCGTCGTCCCAGAAACCAAATTTCCGCTCTCACACGTGCATTCCCCACGGAGTCGTGCGCCTTACCCCATCAAAGCCACATCTCGTAGGAGATACTCATCCATTCGATAGTGTCATCAGCACCTTTCTCTGAGTCTCTGAGAGATATTATTGGAGCTTACCCCTGTCGTAGAAAGCTACAACGATGGCTTCAGCTTCCGGTCTCATGTTGTTGAGGCCATATTCACTTGGGACATATCGGCGTGCCTAGACAGCTATAGCAGCATCTATCCTTTAGAACTCGTCTGCAGTAGAGAGCCTTACAATATCGTTGGCCAAAATATCTCTGCCTCTTAAATTCTTAAGCGTAGCTTGGAGATCATCCCTCGACCAAGGGTTAGGAATGGTGATGACCCTCAGACGTGCAGGCGGCCCAAATTCGGACGATACCTACACCACTCATTGTAGGATCGTCAACATGAGGCCGGGCTCTCTCCGAAACTGGTCAGTAAACCGGTTCCGATCGCATTACTAGCGTCGATGTTTAATAAGCCTATGATAGTAGAGATTACAACCTGATAAGGTTAATTGACGTCGTTGTATCGACTGAATCCGTTTCCAAGGTCCACTAATCTATTTCTGGTTCCTTATCTTGAATCCTTTGCGAATAAATGCCGGAATTTCAAGGCACGCCATCCGCCAATTTTATATCATCGAGGACTATTTCACTTTATAATCTTGGAATCTTGAAAACGATATCATATTCCGTCTATCGACCCCTAATTATTTTACACCGCTCTTAGGAAACACAGTGCCTATGTCCCATCAAGCATCTTCGACAATCAATATGTATTTGTCGAAGGGCGTAGATATACAAAACAAGAAAAGGAATAAGGATCATTTCGTTTAGCTGTAGTCTACCCACTTGCCTCGAAGTATCTCCCGCATTGGTATCTTCAAACGTGATCCAAAACGCAGATGACCCATCTCTATCCTTTATTTTATAGGATGATAACAGATCGATCTCCGATATTATCCCAAACACTAGCATATAAACCACGCAGATCAACAAGATCAAGATATAGGTGTCTTATGCAAGGGTTTACATTACAGCCCAGTTAATTATTTATGAAATTCTAGAACGATGATCTTTGATGACGTTTTAATAAACTTGTTTATATGTACTCAAATATGCATAAGTGTGCACTCCGGTTCAGAAACCATCATGTTATAGTAACCTAGGTATCTTCTGTTTGAACTTTGGACGGATAAATAGGGGGGCTTGATTACGTAACCCGACGATGAGCTGAAGGCTACAAACACTTATAAGTCGAAAAGTCAGACCGAACCTTCACGTACGACCATAAGATCTGGAAAGCTCGGGATCCCGTCCGCTCTCCCCTCGATAAACCAGTTACTGCCGGATTAGTAGTTGGGTCGGTGACGACCAGCGAATCCCTGGTGTTGTACGTTTTGTTTTTGTCGGTGTTTTCGTTTTTGCCCTTGTCCAAGTTCCTTTCGTCATTGTTTTGATATATCCCCGCAATAGAGCCCGTTTACCCTACTAGACTAGAGTCTGGAACTGTCTTCCAGATGATCTTCGTATGTAAAGAATCTGCTAGTTTATCCTAACCTAATGTTCCTCTCCTGTTGTGATTGTTGGCTAAGTCCGGGACACGCCGAGGATTTGACTTGACTTGTCAAAATGGCGTCAAGAAAGATACTTGATACTACCTAGCCACCACAGTATCAGTCATGTTTTTTGACGGCATTCTGCTTGTATAAACGCGTGCTTCCTCTAGTGGCTAACTTATCGGTAAGTAGATATTATGTACATGTACACATGATGAACTGACTTTGGTGGGTATATCAAATGAGAAGCATCATTAGTTTTCCTTAATATGGTCTTAGTGCTATACCCGACACCTCGGAATGCTACGGTAGGCGAACTTTTTAGTGGAGCGGTGATTACCGGAGGCAAAGATGGCTAAATAGTCGTATACCTACACGATGAAAATCAATACTTGGCGGACAATCATCACTCGCCACTTCAACTCTTGACTGCGGAGACATCTCCGTACCTAATACTAGCCGGCCAAGAATTGCCACTACATCTAAAGCCGATAGAGGGGTGACGCCTTGACGGGCTCACCGTGGCTTAGCCGCAACCCCGGCTTCTAATTTAGAAAATCCATGAATCAATTCATATCAATTGATTTCTTGTCAAGTTAAACTAGTCACTGTAGCGCATTGTGCTTAGAGATGTCAAATATTCTTAGCTGGGCTTGAATCGTAATTTAGTCAGTCGCTCGTACACTCTTCAACATATCCCGAAATCATAGCGGAAGGGGTATACTAAACCACCGTTAGCCGAACTCCGTATGCAAATGACGCCCCTAAAACAGAACACAATATGCCTTTCATCACTCATATTCGGATCTCATACGGGCTCTTCAGCTCAGCCATGCCCAGTTGCCAACCACCCTTCCGGTGTCCAGCAGTGCTAGCTGCTCAAACACGGCAGTACTTAAATCCAGATCTGTAGCCGCACAACCGACACATCGGTCCACCACCGTGACGTCCACGCTCCGGTTCCCCACGCCGGCTTCGACAAAGTCTCTCGTAACTCTGATCTTCATCCCACAAAGCGGATTCGCGTTCGGATCAGACCCTTGGCTCGCGGCATCGAAGATAATGTGAGACACGGAGACGATATTCTCGCCGCTGTTCGACTGTATGCCGCACGCACCCAGAGAAGGTTCGTAGTATGTTAAGTCGCCAGTGAACACGCTCTTGTTGCTCGGCAGAGGCAAGTGTTGCGTCTTGGACGAGCGGCGTGATAAACCAACACCAAGGCCGATGGCCAGCGGGGTAAGGACGAAGAGAAAGATGGCGACAGGCAGGAGGATGCAGAGAAACAGAAAGCGTCGCGAGCGTCCGAAGTAGGTTCGATGTGGTGGAACTACCAAATCTAGACGCTTGTGCAACGAAGAAACAAGCCTAGATTTTGTCGTGTTATTCTCGGCAGTTGAAGGAGCATATGTTGGGAGCGTAGACGCTCGACCAGGCTCTTCTTTGGCTTGCTCAAGGTCCGCGGTTGTTGAACGTTGAACCGAGACGGATAACGGTTCATCCAGAGCATCCCTCGAAGGAAGGATACGGCCTAACAGGGACTGTCGAGGTTTAGGAGGGTGAGTTATCGTCTCCCATTCTGGAAGTTGATAGATTGGCGGAAGTACAGTCGGGACATCTCCACCGCGGTCTGCCATCCTGACAAAAGCATTGATAATCTAGAACGACCTAATAATGAATGATAGACGAGTGATGTGGTCGTGATGCCAAAACGATGGTTTAGCGAAGGCTATCGCAGACTCTCTTTATCATTCTGTTAAGGAATCGAAAAGAATTGTATTCGGGTAGAAAACTAAAGAAGCAGGCCGAAGACGATTATAGATGAGGGCATCTTCATCCTCTGGACTAGACGCATTGAGGGGATATCGGATTTGGTGATGTGTTAATTTCAAGCTCGCAGGAGTAGATGATAGCACGGAAAATGATGCGATCTAAGGAAGAAGAGGAAGAAAAGAAGAAAGAAAAAAACAAGATGACTTCGAGTAACGTGAAGTCGAAAACAAGCTTTTGTTTCCTTTTTCTTGACCGTTTCTCGTTTTTCGGCGGGGTTGGAGGTTGGGGGTTGGTAGAAGGCGGCAAGGATGCGGGGAATTGACAGGGCACCCACCTTGTCACAAGTACCGAGAAGAAAAGGTAGGTAGGTACGAATGCAGGGGTGTTCAGTGTACCTGTGTAAGCCTGTAGTCTGAGGTAGCCTGTAGCCTGTAGCCTGTAGCCTGTAAGCCTGTAAGCCTATAACCTAAGGGGTAGGTATTTGAATCTTTAAAGCAAGGGGCACTTCAATTCTCCATTTATCTCAATACAACATCTTTGCATTGTTTGACCTAGATCGGATTCCAGTATACAGATACATTAATCCGCATATTTTCTTCGTTTGTATAAATTAAAGGCTCTCAAGTCTTAGCTATAGAAACGGATATCAATAGGAGCAATAACAAGTACAGCTAAAAGTATAACTCAGCAAAATAATCAAGACTAATACCCCCAACCCAAGATCACTAACCTACATTATTACAACTACCTACAAGGTATAACACATCTTTTAACCCTAAGACAGCCGAATCCATAACCCGTCGGTATTTGCTGGCCCACCTTCTGGCCTCGACATCGACTCCAGAGAAGGGTTCGAAGTTCTAATTAAACTGCGCGACTTCGGTGTATGTCGTTCGGGCAAGATGCTATGGCGGGAATCATTCGTCATAGGCTGTTGCGTACCTGGTGTTCCCGAGGCAGAGGAATAAGGGCTACCGCTGAGCAGTGGCGTGGCCACCATCCCACCAGAGTTCACGCTTTCCCCCCAAGGCAACTGGTCTTCTAAGCCAACTTGCGATGGAAAGCTGGCCGCACTTGCTTCTACCGACCTATAGTGCATCGGCTTATATTTTTCTGGAGTCGACTGAGGCACCATGTTGTACCTAGATGAACCGAGGTATTCGACGGTGCCAGCTTGCGACGGCATCTCTTCGTCGCTATGCTTACGGTTGTTGTGGTTTGTGCATTTCTCTAAAGGCAGAGAAACCAAGTAAGCATGAGCCAAGAAGACGACATACAAGATGAAGAGGAAAGATAACATACCACTTATAATCTGAGCGAAGCTAAAAACGATCAACACGCTAGAAATTATAGGAACTAGCTGGCCGAAGCTTTTGGCGTCGTTTTCTGGGTTCTGGTTGTTTTGTGGGTTAATCCATCCTGACCTATCAACCCATTTTCGAAGTTCGAATATATAGCGTGTCGATATGCCGGTAACAACATAGCTCAAGATTACGCCAGCCAGAAGGTAGATCGTGGATACCCACTGCGAGATCTTCCTTGCGGCCGTTCCGAGGCTACCGCACTTTCGAAATTGATTGCCGACGTGACCTCTCCAGCCGGGTCTACTTTTGCTACGTCGAATTAACCTAACCAACTCGGCAACTATAGCGGCCCCGTAGAAGAGAAGGGTGAGGATGTATAAATTCCAGCCTTGGATTTTGTTGCGTGGTGTCGACTGAGCAATATTGTCCTTGAAGAAGGCATGGACATTCAAAGTAGTCTCCTTTACTGTATCCAAGGTCGTATGAGATCCGCCCTGGAAGCAAGCAGCTGGGAGAAAGATGGAGCTATCAGTCGCATTGGCGTCCGGTATTCCAGTGGGAAATAGCATTTCCATGTCTGCATTCTGGTTGGTCATGAGCAATCCCGTGACTGCGAAAACAGCTGTTATCGAGATGACGCGAAGGGCGGCCAGCCATGGAAACTTCCAATAGTTTCGGACGATGGTGACCGATATCAGGTGCGTGGCGCAGGTGAGAAGCATCATATTCGCAACGATGTTATAGTGATAGGCCGAGATCGTACAGCCTCTCCAGTACCGAAGTGTGAGCGCGTACGCAGCTCCCGTGAAGACCTGCTGATCACTACAAGCCAGGACCAGAGTTTCCAAGATATCAGAGAAACTTGTAAAATGCTGTCTCTCCTTCTTCTGTCTAGGAAAGAGGTATGTTAACTAAATCATAAAACCCCTCAAGTCACAGAAGCCTGTGTTTCTCTTACTTTTCATTATAGGTCGTCTTCCAGTGGAACCTCTTTGCTAATTTCCAAATAATCGACACGGTGCCGGTGATTATCGCAAATGAGGTAACGGCAACAAAAACAGCAAGAATCTATATTCGCATAAGCTTCCGCGTATCGCAAGGGCTTGGTACAGAACGCACTCCTATGCCAGCAATATCCGGATCTCCAGGAAATTGTCCTTTAGTATAGCTCCCGATCCTTGTAATCGATGTTTCGCCCATAGTGGTGTTTCCAATAGAACAATCTAAGGTGATGTTGTAGTCTGCCTTGCAGTCAACAACTGAAATATATGAACCCATTGTGTCTAGAAAATGATATGGCGGCGGCCGATTATACGAAAGGAGTTGGTTTGAGCGATGCGTTATGGAAGCATACTCATTTTTGATATGATATGCACCAACTATATACGGTAGCTATTTTGAAACCAACCATTCTCAGCTAGGGGGGATCCGTCACAATAAGGTGCAGAAGGCCTATCCTGTGTCAGCTTATCAGAACGAGGCGGTACTTCTATCTAGGGACCACGCACGACATTGTATGCCGTGTAATGTCCTCTCAAAGCCTCGTGCTGGGGAACCAATTTACTGCAATATTTACGCTAGCGGGCTCCGATGCTACATGGGTATGCAATGGTAGTTCTTCAAGTTAGAAGCTGACTATATTCTTCTCTTGGTTGACGAGACTGATAATGACGATATAGCTACCTAGAAAAGGAGCAAAGGGGGTTGTATTATATCATCAGCGCTTAAGAGTATGTGAGGCTATGTAGGGGAACTAATCCGTCCCTTGCGGCAAAGTAATAGCCGACTTAATTATTCAAGATAAGACGACTATTCGACCAGCTTACTATACCTACCTACCTAAGGTATCAATAGAAGCATTATGCACTTGTTGCGGGTGCATGTCGGCATGAAACAGCCAAAAGCCATATGCTACCAACAGCACGCATGGTCTAAATATGGAACAAGGCTATGCTGCACACCCAAAGAGGATCATCCTATGCCCCCGCGTTGCCGGGATTTTCTACTATGTATGTGACATGTACACGTTTAGATGCGTCCGGATGGCTGCCGATATTATGTGGGAGATAGTAGAATATTATCAAGGATGGAGAATGCCCCTGATGGGGTCGAGACACCTATGACTCGCGGAAGCATACCCGGATCCAATGAGTTGAAACCAACCAGTCCATCGTATCATTCATCCTATGGTTGTTACCGTTCTGCGACCCGATGTGGAAAACATTCCGTCGCTAAATATGTTGGACCGGGCTTGATTCCAAATTCCGGCGTTGAACCCGAATTCGGTATCATTTAATGGATGTTGGGGGTTAGAATAAGAGAACTAACCGGTCCGAGTGAAGCTGGGACGGACCGAAGCAAGCTGAATTTCTTTTTTTGCGACATATACAATCATTGTTAGTGGGCGGTGCAAGAGAGTACATATGGTATGGTAAGAGAAAGATATATCCTAAAACCAGCCAATAGCTCAAATAAATACCAATAGTAAGGGGGTTCGAAAGACATCGGCCTTTATATAAGGAATTCGGTGATTTTGTATTGGCTCTGGCTAATTAGTTCTGTACCGCTACAATGAGAGGCCATTCTAGTTCAAGCCTCATAAGCACAAATAGAGACACAAGTAGCGAGAAGAATTGGGATAATAGAAACTGAGTTGGCAAGTGTGCTTCTTCGCACCTTAATTGCTAATCCGCCAAATACATGGACGGACGGCAACTCCTCCATAAGGGGGAGTATCCAACTACCACTAGAACTGATTAAAGGCATTACAATACAATCGAGTACGTCAAAAGAGAAAAAAGGGGGAAGAATAGGTAAACCCAACCAGCACGCCCATCCCATATCTAATGCACTCCCTTTTCACCCGATGGCCAACATCACAACCCCGTGCCGAGCTCAGGGCACTTGAAACTTTCTCCTCATAACCGCTCCCACGCACCGACATTATCCAGGAGACCAAGACGGAGAGAAAACAACAGCAAAGAATCCAGTCTCCTTTTATCAACTGCCGTGCCCGCCGCCGCCGCCGTATTGTGCTTGCTATAGCCTCCTCAACTCCGCGCTAAGCCAAAATGTCAAAACTCGGATCCCTCTCCATACCGTCTACCCGCCTAGGCGACAAGTATATACACACGTAAACGCAGGGGGACGGCGATTCCCTGGAGGGCCGCCCACCTCCCCTAGCTCGTCCTACAAAGCAAGAAAAAGGTTTGTTTCTAAACGCCAGAACCGCGCCTTGGCGACGAGAATCGAAATGATTAAAAGCGAGGCGCTGCCTCTAGGTCGCCGGGACGCCTTGTAGATACCCTATCGGGAACCGTATTTACAAGTAACGACAGCCGCACCATCTACTGGAGCGGTATGGTTCACTAGGGGGCCGTGGGCGCGTATAACCGAAACTTAACACCCCCGTGGTAAAACGCCGTATTCGTATGCAGTTCGGGTATAAGTTCGCCACGGTGCTAATACCCCTCGATGAACCCAGGAGGTGGGCAATTACCATAGCTACGCCGAGCCGGAGAACGAGCTGGTGACGAATACGTAGTTCTATTGAACCAGTGGAATAAATGCAATTCGAAACGAAGTAATAATGTATGTACGGCTTATGTACGGGTCAAATAATAAGCGAAGAATATCGTGTTGGAAACAACAGCGCAAAAAGCGACTAGAAGCGCAACTTGGCTAGGCTAAGGGGCTTAGGCAGATTCGATCACCTCGGACGAAGGGAATCACTGAGGGTAGACCATGTTGAAGTCGAACTCGTCCACATGCGGTACCTCGTGGTAAGCTGTCATAGGAGTGACGGTCGCAGACGACGAAAGCGCCGAGCTATATTGGTTCATATGGTCCTGGGGAGTTATCGCCGAAAGATCCGAGTTGAAGTTTGGCGACATGGTGGCGGGCGATATGCCATTATTGAAGTTGAAGTCGGCGGACGAGAGCGGCATCCCGTTCATGTAGCCGACGTCGGTGTTGACGACTAGATTGCCATAGTTTACTTCGAACACATCGTGGTTTGCTACCTTGTGCGGCATGTTGAAATCGGCAGGATACGATTCCATACCTCCGGCTTCAACATCCACAACAGGGTGGGCCATGTCTTCGTCGGCGTCGTCGTCGTCGTCCTGCTCGTATTTGCTCACCCAGATCTCTTTCATCCAGTTCTTCAGCTCGCTCATAGGAGGCCAATCGCCACCGCCCTTACCTCCGCGCTTGTCCTCGTCGCCGCGGCTGTTACCGTTGCCCTTGTTTTTCTGCCGCGACGGCTTCTCTTTGAAGTGAGTGCGGCGGAGATGCGCGGCCGCGTTGTAATATGCACCATACTTCTTCTGCGCCTTGCAGGCCTTGCACTTACTAAGAGGATTGACAGCTGGTATACCTATCGGGAGGCCATGCGCAACCGGATCGACACATATCCATTTCTTAACAGTAGCTTGGTGTTTGGCATCCCTATGACGGCGAAGCTCATGCTCGCCACGGAATCCGTCTTTATGCTCGTCACATTGGTCGCAATAGACTTTGGGCTGCTTCGGCCGCACGTATTTGGTCTTCGCGATGGCTGTCTTGCCATCCTTCTTAGCACTAGCCTGTGATTCTGCTGGATCCTGCTCCGTGCTGGGTTTGGGCTTCAACGGTGCGTTTAAAGCACGCTGGCACTGCTGCTTCAGCGTATCTTTAGCCCGGGCCTTGAGGGATGAGCTTGACCGAGTACTGGCCATGCTTGCACTGGATACCGATCGTTCCATATCCGACGCCAGGAACGCGTCGGTAGGTGCCGAAGGGGCATATTGATGGGCGAATGGAGGGGCGAGGCTCGACCCTACAGCAATAAGAGCGTCTTCGCTGCAATAAGGTCTCTTCCCTAGCGGCGAATTATCGCCGCTGCTGTTATTCTGTTGAGAAGCTTCGTGATAATGTACTTCGCCGCCTTGAGACATCTGCGATCCGAGGCTCATCATCCGTACGCCGCCGGACACAGACTGGTTATCGAACAAACTATTCTGTCGGGTCATTGGCGCAGTATCATACGTAGGCGCTGTAGTCATCGAACCGCAGACTGACACATTAGTAATATTGAATTGGGGCACGTCAACATCTTGGTTCTGCGATGGCACGGATGAACCAAAAGATTCTACGGTAGGGGGAGTTTCTTCATGGTACGGGTGCTGTGCAAAATAGACTTCGGGGTCAAGCATCACGCCAGTCATAGGCCCTAACTCGGAGAGGGTAGGCATGTCATGTCGATGTCTTGACGACTGAGACGGCCGCATAGACTGCGAGTGGACAAGGGCATATGATGATATAGGTTCGTCTCTATCTACGAAGTCCGTCGTGCTAGCACTTCTCATCTGCATACCGCCGTTGTGAATCCGTGTTTGGGGGGATATCGGAACATTGCCAGTGAAGGGGCCAGCAGATTGTGTGGACATATTCGAACCGACGCGGTCCATCCTCTGCGATGTTGGTGTTTGTTGAGACATGGTTCTGGCACGCTTGATAGTGTGGACGTTACTGCTGTGCCGATTCTAATAAACGCCCGTCAGTATGGAGCTGACCAGTCACACACGAGGACGTGGTCAGAAGTGATCTTACAGATTGTCGTGCAACACCTTCATGACGATTATGCACATGGATACCATTGCTGCGAGGAACTGTATTACTTCTCGACATGCCATCTTGATGGAAGGGTGTGGCAGGGGCGGCAGGCGTGGCAGTACTCGACAGTTGAAACTCATTATGAACAGCAGAAGCATCAGATACGCTCGGGCTCGAGGATTGTGTTATTTGCGATTGATAAACAGAATTCTGTAGCTGCGATATTTCTTGCTGCGCTCTGCGAAGATCCTCGTCCTTATTCCTCAGCAGAGCCCGGAGCTTCTTAATCTCAAGATCCGGATTTGAGCAATGACTCATGATGCTAAGATCCGGTTCGCACGAAGAGTGGTCAATGATGGTGTGTAAATTCAACGATGCTGAAAGGAAGGCAATAGACGAGGCGAAATTAACCGTCTAGAACGCTTCACTCTTCCTTCTCCCCCTTTCACACTAATACAAACAGCCTCGCTGGGTAGACCCTCGACGAGAGAAAGCCCAACAAGGATGATTGATGCTATGTTTGTCTCGTCGACACAAGATCTATCAGGCGAGAACAATACCTATTGACGGACTGAAATCCGATCTGGGAAAAGTATGGGGAAAAAGGAAGGGCGAAACACAGACTCGGATACCCAAAGACCAGAAAACCAAAAGGACGTTGCTTAATTATGTACCAGTCAGTCAAGACGAGGCTTTGGACCATGCGCTGCAGCGGGTCTGTAATCCTCGCCCGCTCTTCTCCCACGCACGATACGCTTGCCCAATCTGCATGTACCGGTATGTAGGTATGTAGATTTGTAGGTATTTAATTTACGAGGATCCCGCGGGCTTAGATCGACTCTTGGCCTTGCAACCTGGCCGGGTTTGGCTCCAAACCCTTGCAACGTTGAATGGATGCCAAACAAGCTAGCGTCCCAGGAACTTGTGTGATTTGACAGGGCGCTTGGGGACGAGCGATGTCAGTCGATACTAGCCCGCTGGGGAGGGATTTCCGGAGGGTATGATGGACCGTCATGGCCTGTCAGACCTGTGTATTCTGCTGCAAGAGATGCCCACTTGGACTTTGATCTTGGACTTTTCAAGACGTGCTGACAGGGCCGATGGGAAACTTGCACCATCCGGATCGTCTCGTTCTGCAGAATACGACAGCGCCTGGCTAACTAACTAACATGTACGTACAAGCTGCAAGTACTGACGGTCTTGATGTGATGTAACCTTGCAAAATGCAGAGCGAGTTCAACGCTGGAACCTCTGCTACGGGATCTTACAGGTCAGTTTTGCCAGTACCCTTACAAGGGGGGCCCCTCGCCCGAGTGACGCAGTCAGCCAATTCAGCGATCGACCATTTTTACTATTACATATTGCACCCAACACGGTTGTTTCTGCAAACTCATCAGGGCGACAGACGGGAGTCTGGTGTTAAAGAAACACGTAGACAGGGTACTGTAAGCAGCAGTGTATGACATGTTACCGAGCCATGCTACCGTAACTAACACATGTGATTGCAATTTACTAAGAATTATCGGAATCCAAAAGGATCATAGTAGGTGAAGCGGGTAGTTAGTGTAGATAGCGTTTGGCTTAGATGCGTCGTCTAACGAGTAGCTAAGATTGTAGCGCCGCTGTCAGTTCCAATTTTTGTAATGACGAGTTGTCGAATTCGGTATTGGAGAGGGGACTAAGGTCCACTTGGATCTCTATGTAGATGATAATAAATAGCAGAGGGGCTAAGACTAGGTCCAGCTAAGAGCCTAAGACGATGGAGGAAATGTGAATCCCATCTCTCAAGGCATTGGCAAATCCTCGGAGCCCGATGGTCCTCATAGTAGTGTAAGTAAGGCCTGACTGCATAGGTAGGGGTAGGAGAATAAGTTGTTGCAATTTTGCATATTCCGTAGAATGTCGACAATGTGAAAAATATCGATTCTCTGAGTGTTCTCTCTGAGCTTCGGGCTCCTTTCCGGATCTTTCTCGTTTCGCTGTAAAGCCACGCATGCACACACCTGGTCATGCATGTTTCCCTTATCCGTTCTCTGCTCATCGTCATCCAAAACGTGGGGTTGCATACAGAGATGGGTAGAGAATAATTCATACCTACTAGTACATATATTAAGTACTACCCAAGTCGGTACCCAGGTATGGAGAACTGGGAGATAGAATCTCGCCGGTTGCATCTTGCATTTCGATAGGATCGACTTATCGGGTCGGTCGTGCGTAAGCTGTGTACATATCCGTATGTGGTAGAGTGCTGTATACGGATTACATACAAAACATGTAGTACCTAGGTAGTATGAGTATGTATGTATGTACGAATAGAACGGCCGCTCCTTTCGCTTAAAGGAATCTTGCTTATTGAGGTCCACTTGAAAGTCATTCATCTCTCTTTTCCCCGTGCTGCGCTTATGGGCGCCGGGGGAAAAAAGAAATGCCAAAGATGGACCACGCACCGGTCTGCAAGGGAGAACCTCGTGCCCACCGTCCAAGGAGTCAAGGACAGATGCATGCAATAGCTTGCATATCCTAGTTGCCAATGTTTGCCTTGTTTTCGACGAATTTGGTATTCATTGGGTCTCGATGAGTCAAGTGGATTTCTTGAGAGTGAGGCGACCATCCCCGCGACCCTTTTGAGTGGCTGATGATTCTCTAAGCGGACCAGATCCCTGGCGGCCGACGGTGGGCCGCGCACCAGGACATGTCCTGACATGTCAGAGCATGTACGTATATCGTACATTATTATATTGAAGCATTAAGATTGGATGTAATATGTAAAATACCACTAGCAACATGTTCATCGCTGGCTGTGGCTGTTGTTGCCCTACTACGAGGCTTTGCAGCATATGAAACTACTATGTATGAATGCTCTGTGATGAGAGGGAGTTATTGGATAATGGAGAGATGTGCGTCCTATTCGATTTGGTATCGGCCCAATCTTGCTCAGAGATATTCGCAGATCCATCTGGTCTTAGACGAGCGGCTGCCGGCGGATATTGTATGTATGGCACGCAAAGATGTTGAATGCCCAGTGCACACACACTTTTGTTTATTCGGCTGACCGCCCGTCTATGCATGCACGGCCATGCTTCTCATGCTTCCCATGCATAGAACAGTAGGTTGGATGTAATCGGGCAGCGAAAATAGCAGTCGGTAAGCTCTCGCAGCGCGTTCGTAGCCGCCACGTTCAAGCCCATCCGAGTTCATCCAACCCAGTAAAGTTGTTAAGGAGGTCAAGAATGATGACGTTGGTGATTCAACTAATTCTCCTCGATCCCTACTAATAGAGGAACATATCTCGATGTAAGATGGTGATTTCAGATAGGTATACTATTTTCGTCTGCTCAGTCGACATATCATATCTAATGCTCAGGGATAAGCCCTAATATTCAACCATCACGTCACCACAGCAGCTTTGTAAAATTAAATTTCAGTGGCTTGGCATTCGTTGCAATATGACTTCCGACGATGTCTAACGATGATGTATTATTGGTGCTTCAAGCCATATGCGACAAGAAATGCGTTCCGGGCATCATATCATCGTCATCCGTCGGATAACAGAACATTGCGGAATTGACGTAAGGAAGTAGGACGAGAACGTGCTTTGCTGTGATGCGGGAGATTAGATCGTGCTTCCGGTGCTTATTGCCTAGATCTCTCCAACATGTAGTGTGACATGCCTAAGAGGTTGATGCTAACCAGTGGCTTACGGATAGACGCCGGCGGTGGTAGTAGTGGGATTTGTGCGCTTACTGCTTTACTCGTGGAGTTATGGAGAGATGGAGGGGAGAACAAATTCTCTTGCTAACAAAGCCGCATCCAATGTCCGGATGTTTAGACGGCCCAGATGGTCCAGATGGTCTAAGGCTGCTATGTGGCAGTTTGTCGATCAAAGCTCTACATAGTATCACCGGCAGTTCTCCGCAAATTGACGGGTGGACCGAGAGATGTGGATCTTCAATCCGGAGCAACCCGGCGGCATGCTCGGTGACAAGGAGATAGGTACGCACTCCGCAAACCGAGCAAGAGTCCTGTTCTAGAAGGTAATAACCTGGACATATCTCGGGAATTGCTGAGAAGTGATGCTACGGGGTGGGGGTGATGATCGTCTAGAAGAGACCATCTTTACACTGAAGGGAATTATCATTATGCGAACGAAAGTCGAGACGTGTTGCGAGGATGAGAACGGATTAACGAGACAAACCTGGTCTTACCTCTAAGTGGTCTAGAGACTTTTGTCTGATTTAAATATCGGATATCAAAAATTAAAACATGCAGTGGGTAAAATGAATAAGGTGGACCTACCTACGCACATGATGTAGGTATGTACATAGGTACCTAGGTAGGAGGTAGGTACCTACGTACGATGTCTGAATGTATCCTCGTACTAAGTCGAAGGGGGGGGATACGGCACCCCCTTAGATACGGCACCCCGGATTGGTTTTAACCTTTTTAGGTATAACGCGGTACATTACAGGGAAAAAGGTAAATTATTAATATATAATTGGTTAAGAAATATCTAACTGCCATTCTAAGCATAGCTCATTTAAACCAGCCAATAAAACCAGGTCGCTAATCCTAATCGGGTTTAGCCTTGCCGCTAGCTCCTCCCTAATGCGATGAATATTTTCTATTTAAACAAAAATATTATTTGGGTCTGGGTTAACTTTAACCCGTTTTGCGGGCTTTAGCCGAACCACTAGCTATTTTAAGCTATCGCATTTAGCTTGGAGGATAGCCAATTGGTATGAGTATATATCCACACTTTTCCCCACCTTTTCAAAGATGAATCGTTTGATTGGTTCGTTAAGTTCAATTCGAAAATATTTTTATGCGACTTCAACAATATCACGTGACTTTTTAGGGATAGCCACCTAATCAAAAGGCTTATTATCGATAAGAATCTCCGAAACTGAGGCGTTTTGAGGCTCTTGTAAAATAAAACGAAATCGGAAAATTATTGTACGGAATGGGCCTTAATAATCGATTCGCGGCTTTTGATTTGTCCAGCAAATGTAGATTTTGGAATGGCCCAATTAGAAGCAGCCTTTTATAACAATATACCTTTGCATACGGCTTGAATGGCTTCTTCGAGGGCTTTTAATTAGTTAAATAAATAAAAGTAAAAGTGTAAAAAAGTTTTTTTAAAAATACATCGAATTTATATTAAAAAGTGTAGAGCCCTGGTAAAACCCTGTTGTATGATTGGTTAATTCATCCTTGTTGTTACCGGGGTGCGGTATCTAAGGGGGTGCCGTATCCCCCCCCTCCGACTTAATAGTAATGTAACACAGACTCGCTAGCTGCCGACCAGCTTGTTTCAAGAAAACAAACCAAGGATGTACGGCAAATCATCGGGTCATGCAGCAATTACCTTATGGGTAACCTTATGTAAGATGGACATTATGTAAGTTATCGTTATCGTTATCGTTATCGGCTTTTGCAGATCAGATAATGCCATCTTCCATCGGCCACCTTGTCATTATGTACGTAACCCGAAGCGCAGCCGCCGGCGCATCTACGATTACTACAATTACCCATACCCATACCAATACAACACCACGTATACAACTTCAACGAAGACTTACAACTACAGTGATTGTGTCCATGTAATATATCCCCAGACAAAGCGGCATAATGTGCCGTCAAAACTTGCTACTCCTCTTAGGCGGCTTGCTGGGGTTAAGCCAGGCTCGCCAGCCAGGATTCAGCATCCACCACGATCTTCTAGCATATCCTCAGGTATGTTACATGTCTATACACATAGTCATATATACAGATATATGCAGATATAATACACACACATATATATAAATGCCTACCTACATAGGTAGGTAGACATGGTCGTAGTCTACCCTCTCGGCTACCACCACCGTATCTAACTAATACGTACGTCGCCAGTTCGAGGTAGTCTTTTCCGAATCATATATATCAGAAATCGATGCGCAGGCCTTAGTTGAAAGGGCTAGCCCCTCTCCCGCCAGCTATGACACCAACTTGCCAGGCCAGAACGATATCATATCTAATATACAACCTGCTAAGGATGGGGCCGACGTTGATAGCAGTATCGGTGACGGCGATCGAAATCTCGCCGAATTCTATGAGATCATGACCGCTCCTCCCCATCGCTACCTATGCGCCATACCGGTTATTGAATCTCCTCCCGCACCTAATAAGACAGCCACTGAGCTAGCCAAGGCCGAGGAGGCCCGCGAACTCGCAAGAGCTTCGGCTCACGGTTGGGATCTTATCAACGGCCTTGACGGTAACTGTCTTTACTATATGTCTGGTTGGTGGAGCTACAGTTTTTGTTACGGTCGCGACGTCGTGCAATTTCATGCGCTTCCCGCCAGTGTCAAGAGCGGCCCCCCCATGAGAGATCCCAATACTGCAGAATACGTCCTTGGAAGAGTTCCTGCTCCGCACTCCACTACACGCTCTTCGCGCCGCGGACAACCTGCACCCGCGGGTGACAAGGGGCAGGCTGCTACTACGGTACCACCGAATACAGAACTCCAGATCAAGGGCGACCAGCGGTATTTGGTTCAGAAAATGGCGGACGGCACTATATGTGATCTGACTGGTCGAGAACGGACGATCGAAATACAATACCATTGCAGTCCAGGCAGCACCCAAGACCGTATTGGTTGGATCAAAGAGGTAACAACATGCGCATACCTTATGGTAGTTCATACCCCTCGTCTATGCGTAGACATTGCTTTCCAGCCACCCAAGGAGGAGAAGGCGAATATTATTAGCTGTCGCACCATCGTGTCGCAAGCAGAGGAGGCAGATTGGCATACGCAAAAGACGCTAGAAGCGCAGTCGGCTATGGTAGGCCAAGCCAAAGGAGAGGCGAAAGCTCCCATCACGATTGGTGGAATCGTGGTTGGAGGGCGACAGATGCTCGGACGAGGTGAGGACGGAAAAGCTGCACACCAGCTAGCTCCTCCGCGAAACTTCCGAAGTTCGAACATCCCTTCTTTGGTCGAGGTGGTGGCCAAGGGGGCCAGCAAAGAGGAAGGTAGTAAGGTCGAAATACTCACTGACGAGGAACTAGCCAAGCTAGATCTCAATCCCGAGATGATTGAGGAACTGAGGAAAGAGTTGCAAAAGCTAGCAGGAGATAGGGGCTGGAAACTCGAGGTTGTCGAAGTTCCAGGAGACGGCCGGGAGATTCACAGTGTGGTTGATTCCGACGAAATCAAGAAATCCGATGATGATGACGAAAACAAGGAAGCAGGAAGCGAAGAGAAATTTTTCAAGGAGGAGTTGTAAAATACAGGTTATTGGCATAGCAAATGGCGTTACGTAGGTAGGATTAATTATGTTCATCTTCAGCATCCCGAAACAAGACTGTCGACCACACGAGATAATGTCCTTGATCCTTACCGGTCACGTTATGGTAGTCGTATTGATGTCTCTTGGGTTGCACCACATCTCAGATTCGTTATCTACCCCTAACGGGAACACAAATACATCATTCACGGCAGACTAGCAATACACACTGATTTGTGACACGACTAATACTTGATACTCACCGATCCTGTTACCCTCAAGACAAGTCTGCCGAGACCAAGTGGGACTCTGCCAGCACGGAGAGGTAAGTAGGCTAATGGCATCATCCATCAGCTTCTATGTCCCTACTAATAGCTGGTGTGCTGCCTATTCGGATGATTTAAGTGGCACAATACATAGATATAACGTAGAGGAGGTAACGATATCGCGAGGTCAAATAAAAAGATTACGTGAAAACAGGTGGTCGTAGCTTATGTTGAATACTACGTGTTAGCTGAAAACAATCCTCTCGTCGAATTTGCAGTGTTTCGTTAGAAACTTTGGAGTTTGAAAGTATGGCGGACTGGCATATATCACATAGTTAAGCTTTAAGCCTATGATCCCGCTCATTCAGGGTCAGAGTGGCTAGATTAAGGTATATATAGAAATATACTTCTCGATTCAGTTGCTCGATCTACTCGTCACTTGATAATTCGAACGAGTAGGAAGCTTCTTCGTAGGATTTCGCCATCATGCTATCACATTAACGAAATATCTGAGCATATATAATTGGCAATCTAACTAATTTGTGATAAGGCTATAATATACCATACCTTATAAGACATGCGGCCGGTATTAGGTAGTAGTTAACTCTAGACCTGTCTAGCTGATACCAGGATAGCGTCAATCGTTGGATACTTCTCCATTGCTATCGAATCCCCCAAAACGTGTAGCATTTTCCCGGAATATGACGAAGGGCTTCGAAGGCCAAGCGAAGTCTTACTATTATAGTTATCGGTAGACTTCTAGCCAATAGATGTGCTGTGGGTGTAGGGACAGGATATTAATTCACGCAGCCGGAAATCATATCAACGATCCATCATCTTAGCTTGATTTAATGATGGCATATCAATATTCACGATATGCTCTCGTCATGCCGCATACATCACCAATAGGATACATCAAGAATGGGTAGAAATCTTGCGGGCAGATTGCCACGTCGCCCCTATAAGCTTTGTAATACCCTTCTGCGACCAATACGCCTGATGGTGGGAGTATTGGAGCTTGCATGCTATTTGTTATTAGCTTGATAGCTGGGCCACGTAATTTTTGACGCTGAGGATTGGATATATAGGTACCTAAGCTAAAGGTTGATTGATCGAGTTTGAGCTACCAGGTATGCTATTGGTGTTTAGGTCATCCCTTATCCCTTCATTACTCTTGGATGCCAATCTTTATATTCATGTCCTTTTACATTCTAGCTCGAAGAGTAACTCGTAATTCTTAATAATTATGGAGAGCGAGCGAAACCGAATTTGATTGACGAATTATCCTTGGGGAGTCTATGCTATCACGACCTGTCTAGTACGGGCAAAGAGAGCTAGAGCTCGTTAGGCAGGCAGGTAGTGTGTAGATTTAGTATAGAGAAATTTACCAGGCTCATTTATGGGCAGGTTACTGATAAGGAGATTTTAAGGAGAAGTGTAACACGATCACATTTACATCTAACTTACGATGATGATACCGAGACTGTGACAACTTAAGGGTCCCGCTAATGACGACATCTGGAATTAGAATACAATACAAGTCCCACTAGGTGGACTTTTATCTCCAGTATGTATGTACATAATAGATAGGGTCAAGGCTCGCGCCATCGTGGGGAAGTGCATCGAATGGATACCTAGGTGATCTGTAGAATGGGCAATGGGTTCCTTTACGATCTACCGAAACTTGAGGTCATAATATACTTCGCGATCTTTTACCGTACCGACACAAGTTTATATAAAAATAAAAAATAAAGGTTACTATGTAGGCAAAGGCTCCTCTCCACATCCTTGCTTTTACATAAAGTACCTAGGCTACCTATCATACATGGTATTCATGTCTTCTTAGTTCTTACAAACGTGAGGCGCTCGGCACAGGGGCTCCGAACAGTGATGCTCCAATGGTGTTGAACGTCACATCACTGTGGGAAAGAAATAAATAAAAAAGCCCACTGTAACTGTCGGAAACGATCACTTTTAAACTACCCTGTACGAACCCTGTGAGAATGTTTTGCTTCGACCAATCATAGTCTTTCCCAGCATTATGGAAGCCAGGTTTACTGAGTACATACCTAGTCCCGGCTCACGGCGGGCTGTAACCAAACCCTAACCAGGGTTTTTAACTAGGGTTAAGTTAATTGGTTAGAATATCAAAATCGGCATGCCTTCCCAGCATTTCCAGCAGTTCCAGTCAGCCTAGCATAACCGTCAGCTGCTAATATTTGAGCTAGCCCCTTGTTCCTAGCATAACCTCTAAACTGGCCTTAGCCACTTGCAGTAATGATAACCCTTGATATGCAGGTTCCCCTGAGACACATGCATTAGCTTGAAGAGATCCCGACGCGAAGGGACCAAACGGGGGACTTAGATGCATGGGAACTACTCTTACGTTAGGTACGGAGATGAAGCAGGAGTACATAGCTATCGATAGCTTTTAGAGAAGAAATTAGTGCATGTTCTCTCTGATTTCTTTTTCTACCTAATTCCCATGATCCATCCTAATCGTCGTGAACTTCGTCACACACCCCTTTGAAAAATCCTCATCCCATAATCGCCCGGGTGATAGAAATTGTGTGCCTTCTTTATCTCTATTACCCCGGATACCTTGTGAGAGTTTTGACCGGCCTTTTATTTAATTTAATTCATTCTCATTGTTTTCTTGGGCATCAATTCTATTCTTATTGGTTCTTCTAGTTAACGAGTCAACTATGCGCATATTTCCCTAAGACACAACAACCTCTTATCTCGATATACATAGTCTTCCTTCTACTGGTGTGACAACAAATCTCGAGTTCTCAGCCTCTTTGAAATACCTTTGTAAACGCAGTTTTTTATGGGTAAACGGTCGCATTCATAAGCTGTGGTTCTAGGTTGAAGCAGCTTTATTATTTCAAGCTCTCTTGCAGCTGAAAATCATCTTCTACACTGCGCAGTTGTGGAGCAACAGCAATTCAACGGTTATTATTAGCATAACAAAAACATTGGTAGAGATTTAGATCTACTAATTACTTGCGAATTGCGAACCACAAATAGCCAACGGCCGACCTGCCAACAATAGAACGGTCCTAGCAAACCTGGTTATAACTTATAACTTATAAGTTGTCGCATTACATACCCACCTACCTACGCATTAAGACGCTCAAGCCACTGAGCTGCTCGACCGCTGATGACGCCTCTTATCCTAGGCCATTGAGCGCCTCGATTTTTCCGTACATCGTATGAAGTACATCATCTATCGTACTGTACATTATTCAAAGTTCCATCTCGATATCGAATCTTTTACAATTCCTTAAACAGACAAATACCGTGCTTCAATCCCCACCTTCGACCCCATATCTTACGAATCGACTCGCCTCGTCATTACATGAATCGCTACTTTATACTTCTAATTTTGCTTGTTCTTTTCCCACGCGATCGAACGAGGTTATTCCAAACGATAGGGTCGCCAATTGTTTTCGTCGCCCTCACTACCACCAGACCTTCCTTAGCAAAGAGTACGTGACAACATTGTAATATTGTTCGTTATGGATGGTAGCGGAAGTCAGAAGGAATCACGCGAGCGGTTGTACCCTCGCGCACCTTCACGAGCTAGTAGTGCCAGCACCGCGAACACCCAGATGACGTCTAAAAGTGCAAACAGCACCTCTTCGTACCCCCGGGAAGCTTCCTATACAGGTTCGCATCCGATACATAAATATCACCATAGCAGAAGCTCAATAGGTACTCGGCCTATGTCACGATTATCCAGGGAATCTAGCAATGAGCTACGGGAACCGACAGCGTCTGCCTCTACTTTTCTGCAAGAAAGGTTACAGCGGGAGAGAAACGAAAGACATGCAAGCAAACCAAGCACCGACTTGAGCGCTTCTACCGGCGACATCCGGGATAGAGATGTGCAGAGCTCACCTATTAAGAGGAGCGCTACCTCTGTGGGACGACGGCAGTGGTCGGACAATAGCGACGAATTGGCCAAAGATGCAGGGATGGGGGCAAGGCACATGGAACAGGTACGAAATTTTCATAATAACATGCGCTTTTCTAGCAAGTTAAACTTGGCAGCTGACTTAAATGGGAAGACCCTGTCAACATTGCATAAACAGAATTTCGATCTCAAGCTGGAGCTATACCATCGACGAGAGAAGCAGACAGCGTTAGAAGAGAGAGTTGAGAAACTTGAGTCTCAACACGGAGAGATGATAGAGCTTCATGAAGACATTATCCGCGAGCTGGACATGAAGGATGACGCCCTCGCCGAGGCCGTCACACTAATAGTAGAACTAGAAACTCGGATTGACGAGTTGGTTCGAGAAAGAGAAATGGTTAGACGAGTCGAGGCGGACGGCTCGTACCGCCATTCTTCACCGGATCAACCTAATATTGAATCTGCCACGACCGTTACGCCCCCCGTAGCTACTGTCCCCAAGGTGGTAAACCTCGGCGTGCCGCGTTTGACTGCGCATGTGAATAGCCTCGGGCGAGTACCCAGTTTCCTCTCCGAGCACAGCCAACAAACTGAGAATTTGCGCAACGCGGTCTTAAGAGGACGAACTAGTGCAATGCATATGCGAAAAATTTCCGAGTCGAGTGCTGATCCTAGCGAGATTAATCGTATGGCTAGTCCTAATCTCAGCGTACTCAGCGAAAGTTCCTTTGTTAGCATATACGGCGCTAAGGATACAAGCGACAGGGTAGGGTTACAGCCACCGGCAGATGTGGTAGGAATGGATGGTAGCTATTGTGACCGTTCCCCGACGCCAACGATGAAGATTGATGACCAGAGTCGAGGCGATCAAAAGAGCGCAATTTCAAGTCAGATGCTTTCGGGCTCACCTGGTACACCAGGCGGAGGCGTTAGATTATCGACTCGTACGCGGCCTACGAACAATGTTATCAGCCTGACTTCACCCTTACAGGAGATTGAGCGACTTGACAAGCAAATGATGGTCGGCAACGATATTTCTAGACAACCTATGCCCAACCGCAGTCGAGGTACTGCAACCCCGACTCTCGCGAAGCCCTCTACAAATCCACCCCAGCAGGGCAAGACTAAACAGGAGAAGCGAGAGGCTTTAGAAAAGGTCCTAACCAACTATCCTACATATAGGGACTTCTCAAACCCTCATGCCTTTCCACCCACCCCTGATACCGTCTCGTCATCAACGCTTCGAAACCAGCAGAATTTCACCGGCTCTCAAGATAGTCTTACGAAGCAAACAAGAGGTGTCCCTGAAAATGGTATCATGTCTGTTTACGATAGAATTGGGGCTTTCGGTAGAGAACTTCCTTACTTGCCGTCTTCGAATCAGCATCGACCGACCACAGTGCTCGCCAGTCGTAGGCAAATGCCAATGCCTACCATTAACACGAATACGTTCTCTGACCTTACCCAGCTTGCAAGATCTCTTCCACCACGACCTCACTCGTCAGCTGAAACAACAAGCTCCCGTGCTAGGGCTGCTAGTTTAGGGTCGGATTCAGACTCGGACGGTGGCGCAGATGCCCGTTCCGAAACTGATAACTTTGATTACTGGATGAGGGAGAGCATGAAGCCGAACAAATATCAAACAGGCTCGTCAGAACAGCGCGGAAGCGGTCGTTCTGCATCTCCTGATCTCTTCTCTTTCCCTGCCGACGCGAGAGGCTGGGAAACAGACGTTATCTTTGGAGCTCTAAAAGGTAGTGGTTATCTTGGTTCACCGGTGTCGGCGTTGAAACGTGACCCTATCGATGAAATGGCCAGCTCATTGCAAACATCGCAAACAGAAATATTTGAGCCCTCAGTGATGGGATCTGCACCTCCTACTCCTGATCGACGATCGAGTTTGCATGCTCGCACTGGCAGCACTAGCGCAATGCCTTTAGCTGGCGGGATGTTTAAGAAGCATCCTGCTATGGGTCTGGCTACGGCGTGGATAGACGGGAGAGGTAGGAGTGGTAGTATAGACTCTGCTGCACCCGCGTCATCCACCAGAGCACAGTCCCAACAACAAGGAGTAACGACGCCTGGAAAGCGAAATCATTACCCTCCAATTTCTGGACAGTCTAAGGGACGGGGGTTAGGTCTTAACTCGTTCTTCAGAAAATCCGGCTCTGATAACTTCAGCGCCCCGTCTACCGCGTCCGAGGCAACTTTCTCTCTTCCAACTCCGGCTCAGTTATCGGCAATACCACCAGCGATGAGGTCTGTAAAGCCTTCAGGAAGAAACAGCGTCCCACCAACGCCGACTATGCCCTGGCACGCCCCGGGCATTGTTGAAGACGATCTTCAGAGCGCGACACCTCCCCCAATCATGCGTAGCCGCGGTATGTCGCTCCTTTCAGGAACTAGCAGTACACCGCAGCAACAAGCCCTCGAGATATCGCGTCCAAACACACCAACGACGGTGGTTCAAGCGACGGCTACCGGAGCACAGGGAGGCGGTAAGAGGAAATGGTTGGGTCTCGGGAGAATAGGAAACTCAAAAACGAAGATGGGCTGAGAATACCCTTTATGTGAGAGTTGTGACGCTAACGAGACCCCGGGATAGAAGTCAACACCAATAGGTCAGTGCAAACTGGAGCATTGGGTTTGGAACATAATCGAAGTAATAGAAACTATGTTGGTATACCGAGTTTGCAGAAACACGGGATATCGCTTCTCGCATTCTCTATACTGTAGCATTCATGTAAGAGTATTATGAATGAGTATTGAGTGTAATGAAATTTGTAAGGCGTTATGGCATAAATAAAAGAAAAGGAGGGAGGGTATTTGGAATCCTATGTAGGAACTTCGAGGTACTAGTTAGTAGAGAAGACGGGTCAGGCCTGTCCATGAGGATACCCAGGGAACGATGGACAGGAAACAGGAGATGGTAATGAGAGTACCTCGTATGGGATGAGTGTAATTATTATATTATTATTGTGAATTGATGCCTACGACTGCGACTACATGTTTACCTCCTAGGTACATTTACCTAGACTTTCAGTAGCAAAGGAAATGTTTGTAAGGCTTCATGAAAATGAGAATGAGAATAAGTGGTAGGGGTACGGTACCGTCATCCGCCGCGGTCTGAGCTCAACCAGTAAGATCAGCCTGTAAGCAACGCCGCTGGTCTAGCCTAGGGGTACGAATTATTGACGTACATACTGTGATAATTATGTATAAGAAAAAGGGGTCCTTGGGTTACTAGGGTTATCTTTGACATCATCTCCCGCGACTCAAGTACCACGTACCTAGGTACTCAGCTGTCTCATTTCGCAAAACATTACAGTTTCAATCGTACAATTCATTTTTATTTGTCACTTTCACTTTACTTGAACGGATGTTCATATAACATAACGAACGTTATAACCAAATTTGAACGGCTAAGGCGGAAAAGGAATAAGAGACTACGGCTTGCATCGGACTACTGTTTAACTGCCCTATAGACTTTTAGGTACCTCATCATTGCTACGTTACCCGAAGCTCCGCTATCATGGCCAAGGCCGCCGTCAAATCCGAAGCGGATAGCGTAGTAGAACATCCCACCCTCCGACGCAGCACGAGGAATACCAGTAAGAAAGGCGGAGATGTGCCAATCAAACAAGAAGATCTACCTGCGAGCGTAACAACGTCTGCATCGGCCCGGCAAAGAAAGAGAGTCAGGCCGAAAGACGAGGATGAGGATGAGGATGAGACAAGTGAAGCTAAGCCCTTGACAAAGAAGAAAAAAACTACATCATCTTTATCCAACTTTGCTACACGGGTCAAGGCCGAACCATCTAGCCCGGGAAAAGAGGTCGTGGGTAGAGGAAAGGAAGGAAAAAGTCAAGAGAGTAGAGGGAATAAAGGAGCCGACCTCCGGGCGAAGAAACTAAAATCCTACGCGCAATTCGCCAATAAGTCGCCATACCCGGACTTCCCGCGGCCGACACCAGAGGAGTGTCAGCGCGCCTACGATGTTCTTGCAAAGGTGCACGGGGAGCGGAAGCGGCCCGAGAAGATATTAAGCGCGCCAGCCGACAGGGCCGGTTGTGGCGATGCGCCGTCAGTTCTCGATGCGCTGGTGCGCACCATCCTATCGCAGAACACAAGTAACAAGAATAGCACGCGCGCCAAGCTAGACATGGACGAGGTATACGGCAGCGGGGATTCCGAGGAGCGCTGGGCTGCGATCGCAGCTGGCGGTCCTGAGAAACTCGAGAAGGCTATTGCTAGAGGTGGTCTGGGAGGCGTTAAAAGCCGCGTCATCGTAGAGATTCTGGACCAGGTTAAGCAACGTTACGGCAAGTACTCGCTAGACCACCTGCTGCGACTCGAGGCTGGAGGAGATGACGAGGAGGCTATGCGCGAACTTATCTCGTTCCGTGGCGTAGGGCCTAAGACTGCGAGCTGCGTGCTGCTCTTCTGCGTGGGGCGCGCCAGCTTCGCCGTCGACACGCACGTTCACCGGCTGACCGGCATGATGGGATGGCGGCCTGCATCGGCGTCTCGCGACGAGGCGTTTGCGCATCTCGATGCGAGGGTGCCTGACGCGCTCAAGTACGGCTTGCACGTTCTGCTTATCGAACACGGGCGCGCGTGTCCTGAGTGCAAGGCTGGTGGGAAGAGGTTGGGTCGGTGCGAGCTTAGAAGGGCGTTTGGACGTAAAGGTGGCGACGGAGGGGCCGAGGAGGAAAAGGAGGGGATGGTCCGGATTAAGGACAGCATCAGTGACGATGATGATGATGGAAACGAGGCGAGGATGAGTAAGTGAGGTGGTAGGGCTCTCGATGTTGTCGATTAGGTCAGTGATAATTAAACTGTATATTCGTTTCTAAAACTACCTTTGGTTCAAATATTAATCGTACTGAATAGACTATGCATCATTCCATGTTTAAATCACCTTCCTCGAGAAGACTCAAGATACTATGGGTAGGTAGGTAAGTACCTGTTATTATGTTTGGTCTAGTTAGGAAGACAAAACCGGCTGGCCCTAGACAAGCATCTGTGATGGGACAACTGTTCAACCAGGTTCGAATAATGATTTCTCTGCTCTATCTTGTTATCTCCTAACCTAGGGCGGCATCCTGCAGGCTTCTGCGGAACTTGACATTAGCATTGGCATTGGCAACTAGGTTACTGTATTTATATAGCACCTCCGCATTGACCTTAGCATGTGATGTCTCTGGCACCCTACGATTCTGATCTACGATTCCGTAACCTCAGCGGTCGAAGCTGTACGGTCATCTGCCTATCTACATTAAAGCAGCACCGTGCATGCGTAGAACTCTACGTCCTGTCTCGCTAATACCCTAGTATGCGCGGCCGCTAGCGGGCTACGCAAATCTCGGATGAGCATATTTCACTTGCTCCTGACTCTAACGTACATTCAAGGTGGGAAAGAGTCCGGATTCTTTTGGAGAAAAAGCACCCCCATGTTTTTGGATATGATAAGTGTTACTGTCTCAGAGCCGTTTGCCAATAAGCTGACCAAGTGAGAATATAGCAAAAGATAGTAGATCCTCACCATTTCTTACAAGGCTACCTGAAAAATAAAACAAATGTTTTTTTTAAAAGCATAGTTGGTATCTATCTTGCAAAGGACTGCTAAAATATAAGTTCAGGGCACGTAATTTTCGTCGCCTACGATAAATATACGACGGGAAGAACTTTGTTTAGACGCTATTCCGAAATCCCGGGATTCATATAGGCTACTAACCTAACCTAGTAGAAGAGCGTACGACCCCGTATTTGAAAGTACAGCTCGGAGAGCAACGGGGCTGGGGACTAGGGGGGGGAGAAGGAAGTACCCCAAGTCTCCCGGGCAAGATGTGACTCTGTATATTTAGCAAAAGGGGGCGATTAGCAACCTGAAGAAGACTCAAAAGGAAGAGGCTTGGCCCCTACCTAGGTTAGGTACCTAAGGCAAATGGGCCAGGTCAGATCTACATATCAGATCTAATTCTCCACTCGGCGCACGAGATTCCTAACGTTACCTTATTATATAGTATAATAAATCTTGTTCAGATCCTCACTGTTGGGTTCCAACTATTAAACTTTATCGGACGCACCAATTACATGGAATCAATAGCAAGGCAATCCGAGGATTCTGGTCTCATTCGTGGGGCGTGCACTTTACGCGAGCCTGGAGCGGCACGCGTCATGGTGATAGAGTCAACGGCCGGTAGTGATGTAATCATGACTCTCATAGCCTCTACTTGCATCTGCCGAAGTTCTTCTCCCGAGAAATTGCAGTTCAAGTGATATTCATTCTTCTTTTTGCCGAATCTTGTAGAGACTAGCATATATTCATATTGTTAGGCTGATTTGCGGGAATAGTTAGTTCTAATTGCCTTATTCTTCACCAGCATTCCACTCCAACTACATACCTAACATATCGCTTCCTCTTAGAAGCGTAATGTAGCTAGAACACCATACTATTAAGCCTTATCTTGTATATGGATCTGCCCGAAAATACCCAACAGTCTGATGGCTTGGCACGCTCAGGAAAATCATCATGGACGCCAGATCTTCCCCATCATTTCCTCCAACCCGGCCCCGGGGTTGACCCCACCGTACCGGGATTCGGTCCTGGGCTGCCGCTGCTCGGGCAACATGATGGTTTGAGCCATCTTGCTTCCGCGGCAGCTATCTCCGACCCATACAGCATGCTTCCTGGAACATCGCCGCTGGGTCCGTCGCCGCTAACTCAAGCTGGGCCGTCTGCATTTATAGCTAATGAAAATACCGCGCTCGGAACGTCTACGGAAAACGCTGAGCGAAGGGAGCAGCTAAGAGCTAGGCGTCGCGTTCCGAATTCCCAGCGGAAGAGAACCCAAGTCAGCTGCGACGCCTGTAAAACGCGAAGATGCAAGTGTGTGCGTCTAAAAGCAGCTCCGGGATCCGATGATGATATGGCGAAAACCGGTGGCCAGCCTCCTTGTAAGTTGTGTGTCGAAACAGGAATCTCGTGCGTGACATCTTTGCCACGGAAGCAACGGGTCTACGGTAGCGTTGAGAATCTAGACAAGAGATACCGGGCCCTGGAGGCCTTGGTTTCGGGCATATTTCCGGAACTAAACCCCAGAGCCTCTGCGGAAGAACTGGTGATCTTTGGGCAGGAGAGGGCGATAGCCATGCCAGATTTTGGCGAGTCGCCTGACCAATCTCAATCTCAGCCTCAATTTCAGTCGGTAGAGCATCATATAAAACCAGTCACACCTCAAACTCATAGATATGGCTCAGTCGTAGGGGAGGGAATCGGAAGCTCAAATTTGATCATGGCAGGGACCGATGACGAAAAGACTATATTGCCGCCGTCCTATCTCATGAGATTCGCGCCAACGAGGACTCCACAGCTCTCGCCTGATTCTACGGATAGTGTTGCAGACCCCAGCGCCAAGATTACCGGTTTGATATCGGATGCCACCGGTCGACCGCACTACATAGGGCCGTGTGGGAGTCTTGCCTTCTTTGGCAAAATGCGCGAGCTATTTGTGCAACGCTTTTCTGAGGCGGGCATCGTAGGTGGATCTGAGGGAGCAATCCGTGGTTTTGCGAGTGGTAAAAAACGGCTCTTTCACAACAACCCGTTGGCAGCTTCGCTAGGTGGAATTGGTGATCGTGGGCGAGCGGCTGCGTCTCCCCCAAGACGAGATAGTTCTAGTTCACCTAGCCAAATCCTAGACCATCTTGATGGCGACTCTCCTCCTCAAATATGCGAGCACATGCTCAGGGAACATCCAAACGACCCTGAATTTTGGAGGTATCGTAAACGAGTCTCCGAACTTGAATTGCCCCCTAAAGAGCGAGCAGACGCCTGCGTCGATGCCTTTTTCCAATGCGTTCATCCGAATTTCACCTTGTTCCATCGGCTTACTCACCAAACCGCCTATGAGAAGATGTGGCGTTGTTGGGACGCGCATAGAGGAAAAAAGCCCAAGATCTATGTCAAAGAAACTTCTGTATCCGTTGGATGGCTGTGTTGTCTGTATATGATACTTATCCTAGGATCTCGATCCCTTCCGCAGACTGCCGAGTCGCTCGACTTCCAACGGAAATGGTTTTCAAAAGTCGAAGAGCTCCCACCGCTCCTTAGTACTTCGAGCCTCCCGAACGTACGTGCATATATGCTCCTTTCGCTATACTATCACAATACCAACGACCGAACCGGCGCTTGGACGTTTCACGGTGCGGCCTGTCGATTAGCTATAGCGCTTGGGATGCACCGCGAGAGTTCTTCGGGATTGTTCGATCCGGTAGAGAGGCAGCTTCGAAAGCTAGCTTGGTGGACGTTGTACGGCTACGAACAATTTCTATGCTGTTCATTGGGGCGTCCTAGTGCCATCGACGATAGAGAAATGGATGTCGGAATTCCAAATGATGACTATCTCGACGCAAACCTCCTCCCTCCTCGGTATATCGAGCATTCGGCTCGGTTGGATATGCTGCTGGCTGCCGTCCGGCGCGGGATATTCGATCCAGGATTTGTCCCGGGGAAGATGTATGCCCGAGCCTTGGAGTTCCTAGAGACAGTCTCAGGTTGGGAAGATACACTGCCGAGAGGACTCAAACCCTTGGCGTACGAGGGCGGCTCCGACGGGAACGATAACCAGTGGCGGAGTGCTATATTACTTAACGTTCGGTATCATCACACACTCTGCTTCTTGACGCGTCCGTTCCTTTTTGAGACGATTGAATCTGTGAACGGGGGAAGCCCCCTCGGACCTGACGCGTGCAAGATAAGAGCATTATGCAAAGTCTGTCTGACTGGGGCGATGCGCTGTGGGAACTTGATCATCGACTTATGGCGCGCAGGTCACATAAACGGGGCTACATGGATAGATATATACTATGCATACATGTCTAGTCTAGATATCTCGTTGGCATTGCTTTCCCCAGATTCGTTATACCAAGATGAAGACCAACTAGAAATCGCCAAGCCAGAGCTCATACAAAGCTATGCAGTAGAAGAAATGAGGGACGTTGTAAGGCAGCTATGCGAGGTCATGTCGACGATCGAGGTATGCGGAACAAACGCTCGGTTTGCAAAGGCAGCGTTTGAGTTTGCAATTGCCCTCGGAATTATTCCTGAGGAGAGTCTTCTCTCCTTAGGTCTGTCACTCCTAGAGCTGAAGGCGAGGGAGCGAGATAAGGGACCTAGTGAGGAGAGTTTACTTCCTAAAGCAAGAGAGGATCAAGAATCTACCCACGATAAAAAACAAGGAGTCGATGGTGATAGAGTTGACCAAGGCATGACCGGAATATCTAGCTATTATCCCGCAGGTGCCATGAACTTAGATTTCCAAGGCAACTTGAGTTACCCCTTAGATGATGCGATGGGCGATGTGCAATGGGACATGTGAGTCGATACCGAATAACGCAACACTACCTTACTTTACTTCGGAGTTTTCTAACGCGCTGATTTTGAACTTATCAGGATACTTCAGCCTTCGCAATGGAACGGAGCTGCTTTGAACATGGATATGGACTGGGTCTGGCAGTGTCCGAACCAAAGCTGGCATGGTAATATCTACGGAAACTAGTGAATCCCCAGTGAAACCCTTCATTACCCTCTTACGGGTTGTGTCGGATAAGCTGGCGCTTCCTAGAATTAATAAAAAAAACCTTTGGACGCAATATTCCTGCAATTACGGTGGCAAAAAACATCATAGCACAGTCAGCTTCATAGCCAACAAAGTATGTGGAATCGTCGAATTAAAGTCTTGCGTGTCTCTTTATTTTCCTTGAGTTTCTAGCCGACATGAATCTTCTTACACCAGTCTCTCCCATGCTGAACCTGCCAACTACAAAGCCACCCTTCCATGGCCATGCTAATAAAACTGGCAATGCAGATACCAGCGCTATCGCTAACACTAGTTGCCCCGAGACTAAACTCTCGCTCAGAAGTTGGCACATTTTGCATGATTTCAGCAAACGTGTTCACATATACCGCCCCGCCTAGTAGGCCTTCCCAGAATATGACGATGAAAATCACGTAGACGCTAGGGATAAAAGGCAGCAACGCGTGTAGCGTCAACAGCACTAGGTTACCGATCTGGAGGAAAGAAGGGAGATATAGGTGCCGGATACGAAAGAACGCAATCGACGAGCGTGATATGAATACGCCCAGCTGGTACAAGAATCCGTACATGGGATAGAAATCTCGGTACTCCTTAAAGGGCGTTGATTTTAAAGGGAATAGTAAGGTCGGAGAGACGCCCTGGTTTATAGTGTATTCTGCAACATAGACCAATAACAGCGGCATCATGTAGGGATAGAATAAAGATCTAGCGCGTCGAATGTTGGACTTCAGCTTAGATAAAGCATCTATGCCGTCGGTGGAAAGATCAGCAGATATAATTGCCGACTCGGGGGCGAGAAGGCTAGAAGTAGCATTGATACTTGACAAGTCATCCTCGACATCATCTTGCCTTACGTCTCGATGTAGTACTGCCTGATAGCCCCTCGCCCCCTTGCCCTGACGGAGGGGTTCCTTTGGTAATATTAGGAAGAAGCTGATCAACATAATTGCCGGCAAGAATGCCGAAGCCAACAGACTGTCCTTAACAGAAAAGCCAATCCAGTCAGTGAACATGACGTATAATCCAGAACCAATAAGACCAGCTCCACCAGTGCCACTCCCCCAAGCAGCCAGACTCATGTGTCCGTAAAAATGGGTCAGGCCAAGGAAGCTCAGCTCTCCCGCGCCACTCGACAAGCTTGCTAATATTACTCCAGCCATCTTGACCCCGACAGATTTATCTGGTGGTGTAAGGGCGATCATGAACATGCCGAGGGACGAGGTGACGACGAAGACGATTATACGTAGCCAATATGGGACCTTGTGAATGAAGTACGGCGCGATCAATTTAGTGAGGAACGAAGGGAGGACATCGGCGAGCAAGACAAGTCCTTTGGGCACGTCGGATCCGACAAGGTCTTGGGCGGCAGAGAGGATAATTACGTATAAAACATTGTTGATCAAACCTTGAATACGTTAGTGAGATGCAGATGCGATTATAAGGAAGAGAATAACAAACCAAAGAGCCAGAACGCAGTCAACACCGACGTGTCGGCGTTCTGGAAGATGGAGGCAAGTCGAGCCCGGTAAAGGGCCCAAGACGATGATGGCGAGCCAGGCATAGGTAAGAGACCTGAAGACGCGGGCGAGCGACTCATCGTGGAGATGTCGTGGATATTTAAGATACGCTATAGCGCGCAACTACTTGCCTGGTGTAATCGCGTAGGAAATAGCTACATGCTGGGTAAGACCGAGCTTGTCGATGAGAGTCAGCCGTCAAGATTGTCGTCTGTTACATGTGGGTTGATAAGAATGAAATGACGAAGACTCCCTATGACGAGAATACGAGGATTATGCAGATAGGTCCCTGCTATCGATAGCACACGGCTTATTCAATATGTACGTGCATCTTACGTCCCTGGAGGGGGAGACGACGCTAAAATACCTACGTACGTATTGTACATTTCTTAAAAGAACATGCACTGCTTACCCCCTGGGCATACATAGTAGTATATTAAGTTAGACACTTTACCCAGGAAAACAATCTATCTGAATAGGTACCTAGGTAGATACAGTAAAGGTTCAGCCATCTACAAATCTCAGAAACCGTCGTTCGCTGTACTCGGTAGGTCTCCCAACCGTGACCTGAGCGTACTTGCTTGTTAAATCCATGACAATCGTGAACAGAGTCTGAGCCTTGGAATTGGCCTCCTGTTTCCTATTGATAGAAGCTGGGTAATCCTTAGTATCCTTGAAAATTTCAAAGATTGCATCAAGAGTCGGCTCGGATATTGTAGTAGCGAGCTCTCGGATGCGGGATAGACGCCAAGGGGAGTCTTCTAGCCAGAACGGTTCGTCGATGCCTGACTTATCTAGAAGAAGATGGTTCGTATGGCATACCCGCCCGTTGTCATCCATCGGTAATTCCTTCACCCAACGGCTTGTACACTCGAGGCCCACCGAGCCTGTCGCATCTCCTACCAAGATGTGCCCACCTCCAGCGACGCCAGAAGATTTGATCAATTTCACTGCTTCTTCTCGAGATCCTGATTCTAGTACGGCGCGAAGGGCGAAATGTATAGGTAACTTGGATCGATCAAGACCGTGGCAGCGAATTGCATTCAAGCAGCAACCAACACCCTTCGAATTAAGTCCTATTTTCCCTACAATACCAGCTTCGGTCACCATAGCGATATCCGGGATTTCTGTATCTGGATGTGATATGTAGCATATTATGAGGTTTGGTCCCTGTTCTATCCGCCAGTCCCAGTTCTGACCAATGAAGGATTTCGACCTGGCTAACCAACCTAAGCTCGTACAGCCATCGTTGGGGATATCTGTTATCCCGTTGGATTTATCAGAGAAGAGACCGAAAGTTATCTCGGACCGTATATTCAACGCTAGAATATCCAGAAACGGTATATGCGCCCCGTCGGCAATGCCGCCAATTTCCTCGAGATACCGTGCTGCGATCTTCTTCAGGATATCATGATACTTTGACGCTTCTTGTACGACTTCTTCCCAGGTCATCGAACAAGCCTCCCAAAACAGCTGCTTATAGAAATTGATAGACCCTGATATCTTCTCCTTGGCTAGCTGACCATGGGTGAACCCAATCTAGTAAGATTTTAGCGTAGTCTATCGAGGAGGATGGGCTACTGGTTCCTTTCAGAGATATTACCTCGTAAGGGGTTCCGCTGCACCGGATTTCGAGCATCTTGTTATTTAATAGTGATGAGAACCCGGCGAGTTCATGCGCCTCGTCTTTAGGTGGCGTAGAGGGGAAGGTTGCTAAATATAAGGGGATTTTTCCATGCTTCTCCGCACGAAAGACACCAAAGCTACGAACCTGGATGTGTTGCAATACTCCCCTTGCATGATGACAAACACCCCATCGAGTACTATACCCTCCTAGAGTTCTATTCGCACATGTAGCATGACATGCATACCTAGTGAGTAGCGAGAACGTACCTGCGTATTAGGTAGTGTATACTATCACTTGATGGAGACTTGAAGGCCTAGGAATATAGCTATTTGTAGTTTAATGGAACTCGACCTTAAATCTTTAGTGCAATTCTAATCTTAGCAACAGCATCTACAGAGGGTATAGAGTGTATAGGGTAATCTAGGTATGTACCTAACCTACATAGGTAGAGGTACATATGTAGGTACATAATTATGAATATATTCGTACTTTAGGTAAGCAGGCTAAATGGAAGTGTACCTATGTATAAGTGAGGTGTTGGACAGAGGTCCATACCTATAAACACAATATTGTAGGTACCCAGGTTAGGTATTGTACCTTAAACAGTGCACACACTAATGTAATATTACGTAGGTGGCGCATATGTAAAGCCCCCGCCAAGGTTTATACATTAGGCAGTATGCGCCTTGACGATAGCCAAGTTGAATTGGAGCACTTTCTTCATCTTCCTCACATAACACTACTACATATTACACTGGAGTTGCGACATACCCCAATCACGCCGACCACGATTTCCGGTGCCAAGTTGTCAGGTAGAGAGACTTCAAACTCGGAATGCATCATACTAAGCTCTTTACGGTACACTGCCCAGTATATTTACCATGTTGCTATGTAAAAACGGTCTCAGCATTGAGCATACCCATGCACGCACCGCCATTCCCTGCCTACGACCTAAGCTGAGGCAGCCTGGCAGTGTTGTATGGGAAGCTCTACCATGACGCTACCAAGCAGCTAGACCAGACGAAATGGGTAGACCGCCATCCTACATCTGACGGTTGACCTTAGCGAGTCTTGCTATTGATCGTCGTCTAGCTGCTTAAACAATTTATATAGGTAGTTATATAGGGATCGAAGTATATTCTCGACTCTATGAACCATCTTCATCTTTCAGTCGGTTATACACCCACCAACACAACACGACGAGATCGCGCGCTAGTATAGTAAATGCCCATAATATATATCAGCTACAGCGGCCATAGCGACTACAACCGAAGCTATCTATAGAAGCCAATCATTTTATAAACCCTTAAAAGCAAGCATTGTAAAGATGCTTACACACTACCGACATACCGGCGCGGTCGACATGCAAAAGCGCACACGACAAGAGCGTCGGTTTGATGAGACAGAACACGACCTGCCCAACTTCTCGCCCTTCACATCTGCGCAAATCCCGACCGATCGAGTCCTTCAGCTTTTTTCGTACTTGGGCAAGAAGAACCCTTTCCCTCGCTCTATTACGAACGAAGACACCCTTTGGTTGCTCGATAATACTGCTTACCGTAATGAAAGTACGGGAAAATGGGAAGCAGAATTTGTCTCAGCTGCCTTCTCTCAACATTCGTCTTGCGCCGTTATCGACGCCGTAAGTGCTATCGCTGGGAAGCTCGATTTGGATGGTAAGGACCCGAATTATCCTACCATCGAGGAGCGTATTCGACCGTTCGTACAGGATATCAAGCCCGGTGCTCAGGCCAAGGCACTACATGGAGGGAAGACACCGCTCAAGCTTGGTCCTGGTGGTAGAAACGGTATTAGTAGCGACATTAAGAGGCTTCCTGACAATAAAGGTGGTAGCCTTATTCCCACATTTGCCGAGGTTCCCAAAGGCGCCAATGGCATACTAGAAATGAAGACATTCTACGCTGATCCCGAGGGTTGGGGTGTAATATCCGGTAGGCATTTATTTAGTCGTAAGCCTGTAAGAGTCGCTAACAAATAATAGATATAGACGACACGATCAAGATCACTCAGACAAGTGATCCCATTGGCATTCTGCGGACGACTTTCCTTGATACGCCTGAAGTATGTCCCGGGATGCCGGAACTATATCAGTTCATACAATCCCTTGTCCAAAAATCCTCACCATGGTTTTATCTTTCCGCATCGCCGTATAACCTGTATGGCTTCCTTCGCGAATTCTGCGGAAAGAATTATCCGCATGGCACTATCATTCTTCGTGATGCTAGCTGGATGAGTTTACCGGGGCTACTAACGACTCTAACTCTTGGTACAGAAGATTATAAGGTTGATCGAATGGAAAAGATACACTCGTGGCTTCCGAAGAGGAAGATGATTTGCATCGGTGATTCGACCCAGTCTGATCCTGAGGCTTATGGTGAGATGTAAGTTGATTCTCCGTCACCTACGCTTCTTTTTATCTTACCACTGACCTTGGGTGAATTCCAGCTATCGGGCATACCCCAGTTGGATCAAGGTGATACTCATTCGTAAAGTTGAAGATATTGCGGCCATCGGCATAGAGGCCAAGAATGAACCAGAAAGATTCGAGAAGGCCTTCAAGGATGTGCCTCGTAACGTCTGGCATGTGTTCTCAGATCCAGTTGAGTGCCGCAAAATCATTCAAGATGCAGTGTTGAAGTCAGCTTGAACTACTTGAATAAACAATAGCGCTTCGCTTTGCGGGTTGGCAAGATATTGCGTTGGAAATTGCTCGAGGCGTTGGTTTCACCTGATATCCCTTTTGATTATGTGCCTTTACATTTTTAAATACCCCCCTTACGATGAAAGCTGGCATTTAGTACAGATCTGCATGATGTAAAAAATGCCCTCGACGTCATACGGTCGATATAATTCCCCCGCACAACACTGCATGCAAGGAGGTATCCACCAAAGCAAGACTCTGTCCAATCTTCTATCTCACGGCTATGCCGGAATTCATGACGCCGCAATATATACAGGCACTGGATGTTGATTCGCATACTTAAGCTTACCTAGCCCTGTCGGAGCTCTTCAGATATTTCCCATGTTTCCACCTTCATTAACCTTAGTCGACCTCCCCTTTTTATGTTCAAACGTCGACTATTTTCTGGAGTAGTCTATCAGAGAGTGTCTTCGTGGATCAGGCCTTCCCCACGACACTTCCGTACTTGCTACTCTACTTACCCCTACAGCCCCAATATGTCTGCTCCTAAGCGGCAAAAGTCGTCAAAAGACGTGCCCTACGAGCTTATATATTGGCCCGGCATACCCGGTCGTGGAGAGCATGTACGCCTAGCGCTTGAGGAAGGCGGGGCTACGTACACGGATACAGCGCAGGTTGAGAAGGGAATGGACAAAGTGACGGCGCAGATCGACGAGGGTAATGTAGGCGATGATCTCAACCCGCCACCTTTTGCGCCTCCCATCCTCCGCCATGGTGATCTTCTCATTTCTCAGACTTCCAACATCTTGTTGTATCTTGGGCCGCGGCTTGGACTAGTGCCAAGCGAAGACGATGAGGAGCACCCAGATGCGTTGTACAAGATCAACGCGCTTGCTCTAACAGCCCTTGATGGTCTGAGTAATGAGGTTCACGATTGTCACCATCCTATCGCTTCTGGGTTGTACTATGAGGACCAGAAAGAGGAAGCGAAGCGAAAAAGCAAGGATTTTGTGAAGACCCGTCTCCCCAAGTTTCTAAGCTATTTTGAACGTGTGCTGCAGGGTAAGGCCAGCGGAGAAGGCCCGTGGTTGTACGGCGGCCAATTGACCTATGCCGACTTAGTGCTATTCCAGGTGAGCTTTCTTATCTTTCTCGCCTCGTTCTATTTATATGAATGTTCCCACTTGGGCATCGTTCAAGTGTGAGAACCAAGTCAACGAACAGCCGCTAACATATCCTAGTGTATTGACGGCACCAAATTTGCCTTCAGGAAGGCTATGACAGCAGCCGAGAAGTCGGGCAAGTATGCGCACGTATTCAAACTGTATGACGCTGTAAAGGAACGGCCCAGGATTAGTGAATACTTAGCTAGTAAAAGGAGACAAGACTATTCGATGGGCATCTACCGATACTATGACGAATTGGACTTTGGTCCTGAAGGTCGAGATTGAGCTATCAGGGAACATGATAGGATATACTAGGCTAAATAAAAGACTTCACTTTTCTAAGACGTTGTTCTTAAGATCAGATCTAAATATGTGTTAGTCCGAAGCTTTAGAGTGTCCAACTCCAGAAAATATGTAGGCAAGCTACATTATTATAGCCCACCTATTTGAATACGTTTGTTCCTATCTCTTAAGCAAAATCTAGCCCTCCTGAAAATAGTTTATAACTTGTCTGTACTTTATGTTCCAATAACTACTAGCAATAAGTTATTGATATTATGACACAGGTCCAATGTTAATATCTCTCGTCGACACAGGGCTTTTTAGCCTGTAGTCTAAGTGATTCAAGAATCGAGTTCTCCCAAAAGAGTAAAGTTTATTGATTCCTTTGCTTCCCTTAATCCTTCTTGTTTACCCGGCCGTATTCGGTTTGTTTGTTTGCTTGGCTTAGCTTAGCTTAAGAGGCAAGTGTTAAAAGATAAAATAAAAAACTAGCTAGGTACCTCTTGATAATCCTCCGGACTTCAAACTTTTGACCAGCATTGCCGACACTGAAACCATGGTCCTGGGAATCGCATGATTAGACCTGGCCAGACTCTAGAGGCCACCGGTTCGGCTCAACTCAGGCCAAATAAGGCTTGGCTAAACGGCTGTTTGAGCTATAATTTGTACCTCCTACTTGCGCCCTGTTACCCCAAGCAATCCTACTAGCCTCTGAAAGAATTATATACCCAACTACATAGCAACTATGTCGGCTATCATTTCGTAACCTACAAGGGTTATGCCGTGCTGGGCTCAGGCGTTTTGCTCGGGAGGCGTAAATTCCGGTCGATAGGTGGCGATCATTGGCCATAATTCCCGAATGAAACTGTGGGTTGTGATTGCACCGCATGGTGGACTGTCTGGTCAATAGAGGATAAATGTAGTATTGCCTATGGTAGCACTTCGCATGATCCGCATGTAGAAACAAACAACATGCTCTAATCAAGCCAAGCTGTAGATTACGAATAGGTTAACCCAGATGCCTCTTAAGTCTTACTGACTAGATTTTCGGGTCGGTCTGCGTCTAGCACAATATTAGACACTTCCACGTAGCTCAAGCGTTTTGCTACAGTAGTGAATTTTAAGTATATCAATCATATTCCTTTCTACTGTAAAAGCAGATGCTGTTCTGCGTGTAAGTGTCACAATCCCAAGTCGTAAGCCTGGCCGAGGATCCCTACCATAAACCCCACAAAATGAAGCCATGGGCTGATCTACCGAACCGAAACATGACAAAGCCCAACTACCAGGGTCGATGTATCCTTGAGCGACTAGTTTAACCTGTTCTAGAAAAAGTAATATCCCATGAGCGTTATAGGTAAGAGGCTCAGTTTGTGATCTCCTGTCTCGAAATCCAAATATGATCGACGCTGTCACATGAGTCTGGCTTCATGCGGGTTCGATGTCGGTAGTGGGGTCAACAGGTTAAACAGGTAACGCAAGTTACGAGTTACATGGATGAGGTTAAATACCTTATCCACTTAGTGTTCAGTCGTCAAATACAACAAGCAGGTTGTGATAACCGACATAGAGTCACCATCGACTCGAGCCTGAACTTTATTCCGCATTAGAAAGTCATACATCTCCATTTCAAAGCAAGCCCCGAATGTGTAGGTAGCCAACATCTAGACTCTGTTCTCCAGGTTCGTACATCGATAAGCTGGTGCAAGTGTTAGCAGTACCTACCTCATATACTATTACTGCAATGGTGATCTTTCTCCTGCATAAACGGTAGGACCCATAGTGGATACTTATACTGTGCTTTGTGGGCAGTTGATGTCAGGGGATAAAAAGGACTAGAGGGACGAAAAAGAAGAAGAAAAGCTTGACTACCGTTACTAGTGAGGTAGTGTTAAGACCCTGCGTACATACACTAGAGCTAAAATAATGAACCGGAAATTATTGCACCTAGACTGCCTAGGCACTTTTAGTCTACCATAGTATGTAACGGGTTGAGTCCATCTTAGGTAGGTAATGGAGTTTCTTAAGTGATGAAGTTCTCGAAGCTTTCAAAAAAGCCTTTCTTATATAATATTGACCAGGACATATAATATCGATTTAGAACATAGTGAGCAGTGGATGCCAATGGATCCCTGCTTGGTAATTCGATGTATTGCAAAAAACGATAGGTTGAAGTAATGCGAAGTCTTGCTTGTTGCGACTTGAGTAAACGAAGTTACCGGACGGACGGGAACATTGTAAGTACAGCCTTATCAAAATGAGCTGCACCTCGAAAGAGGAACCCGAAAGAGGAACCTAGAAGAGGCAGGCTAAAGAGTCCCGAATCCACACAGACTACATACGCGTATACATAGCATAGTGACAGGTTTCTTGCAAAGCGTCTACAATATTCTCAACTCGGTATTATCGACTAGATTCCTCGCCTTCTTGGGTGGGAACCCCTCATTTGCCAGCGTAAATTTACCTCGGAATCCTAATTCCTATACACAAAATAACAACGAGATACTGATAGATTAGGTAGGTAGTTACATAATACGTAAAAAGTAGTTCATTGGTATCTTTGTAGGATTCCCGACCGCAACCGCCAATCATCGTACCTAATTAGGTAGGTTACATTGGCCATTGGCGACTCTAGCATACCTAGGTCAGCGTTAAACGAAGAAGACCGGAAGACATCCGGGATGGGGATAGGGATAGGGAATTCCCTTGCCCCGATAATGACGGGTAACATAGGTGTATTTTAGGTCTAGATCTAGAGCCTATAACACCATAAAGGGGTAATGTCCTAAATACCTACTCCGTACCTAGGTATACTCTATTGAGAAGTATAATAACTGGGTATTGACAGAATGCCATTTTGTAAAATGAATAATCCTAAAAGCCGATAAGCCAGGTAAGATCCTGCGAGGTTGCGTGACCTATGTATGATGCACGCAAGGTCGCATTCGTCCGTCTGACGTTAAACAACTATAGTGAAGACGGGAGTGAGCAAGCATATGAACATCACACCCGTGCCCATCCCCAAAGATATCGTAATATGGGAGGTTAGTCTCTATCAATGCATAGTACTGAGCTGGCGTACATCCTGCTACTAAGGTTGTCGATCAGGAACATCGGTCGCTTCTGTAGTTGTCATGACGGCCGGAACCGGGCCGCGCTTCTCTTACAGGTGAATTTGATACTTGGCCTGCCGGGCCGAAAAAAATGAATGATGCCTCGTAATCTTGTCAAGGGGTTTTTTCCCCGGTAGCCTTGTTCTTATCTAATGGGAATGCTAAAATAACGATACCTTGTTGGCGAATACGATTCGAAATTTTGGGGTCGTGTATGAATGCCCAATAGCAACGCAAGGCTTTTGTGGAGCGGGAATATGTCCAGATTGAAGTGCAATATCCGTAGACAGATGCGGCTCGATTAAACTATTTAGATGGCATATATGACCTCTGATAACGTGACGGCATAATAGGTAGTTTTCATTCAAGTAGACCTGTTCACCTCTATCGCTCTAGTGTAAGTTAGCACGCCTTATACACGTGCGACGGCATTTGGCGAAACTCAACAAGTGATGTTTTTTCATCTCAAGAGTCCTGGTCGTGTAATCTTATGATTCGCACTGCTTGCTTACCAGATGCTGTATGCTTATTCTTATTCTTATTAGAAATGGTGCTCATATGAACCAGCACATAACTAGGTACCTACCTAATACATATCCGCCTTAATTCTAGCTGATGATATTACCGAAGTCTCGCTTATCAAGAGAGAAATGGCTTTCGTGGTATGACTTGGAATCTTCGGGATCTGCACGATAGCTCTTGGCATAAGTGGGTGACATTTCTTAATAGCACAGAACCTAGTGTGTAAGATTCAAACTTTGTGTGCTGTGATCACCTATATCTGTCTACGGGAGACGTGCAGTCTTTCTCCGAGGTTGGCCATGCGCTCTACCGCCTTAAGACACCCATCCCTTGAGTACCAATAATCAACGGTATACCGTAATACTGCGATGTCCTTCCTATCCAAGTCATCTTTTACCACGCTTGAAGACGCTACCCTCGGGTTTCCAGAGCCCAGTCGCCTACATAACGCCGCATAACCATAAACCATACCTAAAACACCAGACTCCAAGCGTGCCAGATTCTATCTTGGCTACACTGATGTGCTCCTCACTCCTCAAAAATGCCCATAATTGAAAAGCGTGCAGCATGACCGAATACAAAGTGAACCGGCACTGTGCTGATGATCTATATCCTTGAAACAATCCAAAGCATTTCAACTCCTGTTATTTCCTTAATATGCCGTGTAACTCATTTATCGAGTTTGGTTTAGATGTATGGTGTAGACCTCTTGCTTCTCCTAATCATATACTCCCATGGTGGCGGTGATCGCGGCCGACAATCAGCTAAAGACCGTTAGTAAGTCCTAAAATTTAGCAATAAAAAAAAGTAAAAATTTCTCCTCTCCCACTTTCTCCTCCATGGGGGCAAGTAAAGGCTCTCAAGCCGGAAGATTGATATGCGAGTTGCATTGTTTCGTTATGTTCCAGAGCACGAAGGTGGGGGTGTCTTCTGAATGTCGATATCTGCGGGAGGATCCTTGCAAAAATCTGCAAGTGAGAGAATGAGGAGAGCTTACAGCATAATTCATCATGTCTGGTCAGAAATCCGTCAGTGACCAGTCAAGTGGTTTGTGAAAATGAAGCATAAGCAACATGTAAGTAAGCGTGCTGCAAGGCTAAAGAAACACTACCTTATTTCCAAATGCGTCACGTTCGGTGCGCAGACCTTGTTGGTTCTCTCATATACTGAACACCATCTCTGTACCACAAAGCGGAAATGCTGGCAACAATATTCTACCTGGGTATAATCACACATCGTCGAAGAATTTGGACGGCCGTTTCGATGCTATGTTCGAAAAGGATGACGTTCAGTGAATCACTGTCGTGCTATCTAAACGCTGGCGATTCTGGAGCCTAGGTTAGATGATTAAAAGGATGGCGAATTTGGACTGTATTTCAATGGACCGACTAGTAAAATTGGGTTGCGCTCATAGCTTGAGACGTATAAATGATAATAATAACGAGCGAGGTTCAAGGTGGGCGGAAGTATGTGTGTATTTAAGCCTGCTGTATCGTCGATCGTGCTTTTCGACTAACAACCCGAAAGAAGTACAACGCCAGGAACCCTTGGCCATATGTGCCTGGATTCATACAGACCACGCTACCTTTTCCAAAAATGCCAAGACCACCGCCCACACCTACATATCGCCGATGACATTTGGATGGGCTTGTTGATTATCGTCGGTGTACCATGATCCTTGCGAGACAGGAGTTAGCCGGTACTGGAAACTGCTTATGCGGTCCTGTCTCCTGTCTCTAGTAGTATTCTAGCCTAACTACCACACATAGTTGTACATATGTAAATAGGGCTTGGTTTGAACTTGCCCGGGAGAGCTGGAAGAGCCACTGGGGTCTACATACCGCGTACATATGTACGTATTCGTCCAAAGACCCATCTTCATGGTTCGAGCCAACGATTGACACTTCGTCGGTGGTCTGACAAGGCGGGTCTCTTTACTAGCGTTGGGCTACCGTGCTTAACCCTGTTAACCCTACAGAGTACATTACATAGGTAGGTTAACGAATTGACACGAGTCCAAGGTCCAAAAACAACTAATTCCACGGACTATTGAACTGGTGTGGTGCCACATCGCCAAGAGCAAGGGTATTATTATGTAATCTTAGGTCACAGACCATAAAAAGGTCTAATATTCGTCGTATTCTTCTGGTCAGTTAGCCACGATCATCATCATTCAGTTATGCATTCAATATAAACACATTCGTTACTTTCCCATATTTATAGCTTATGGCCCTATCTTGCGTATTTATCTTATATATCCTATCCGATCAGTAGATCTTTACAGTTCTTTCAGAGTATAGTGCTATCATCAGCTGT